TAAAAGCCTATGAAAGTTACCTTTGACCTGAGGCTCAAATCACTCTTATGCAAAACTTTTGATTTATTTATAAATTAATGGCTGATATCATTATCGCTATCGCAAAACAGCTTTGAAAATGTCTCCTTATGTCAGCGCCATCTAGTGTCTGTTTTGTATGGTTTCCTCCGTCTGCTGGCACATTCATGTCAGCAGATGAAGGCTGGGAAACTTTGCCCGTATGATCATTTTTTGGGTTTTTTTGCTGCTGCTGCTCCCCCTGCCTTGGCTTTTCTTGTGTGCACATGAAACATATGGAGATGTGCGATCTCTCGCTGCAGGCTTTGGCATTCCACGTAAGCATATGAAAGCGCAGGGTACCCTCAAAACGGAGCCATACAACCAAATTTAATGCATGCGTGTGAGTAATTAATCCTTTCAATGAAAATGGTCCCGACTGAAAGTGCTTTGATACTATTAAAAGGTTCAGCAGGCTTTGTTTTAGGACCTCACATTGTCCTCGAAGACCTCTCCATTGTATTTTCAGAGATTTCAATCCTCATACAAATATTGCGTCTGACCCCTTGGGTGAGATCTCTTGTCACATGATTTGCTTTGTACATGAAAAGAGCCATTGTTATAAAATCACCCCGGTTCTGGTCCTTGCTCTGAGAATCACTGTTTCTGATGTAACACTTTTTGCCTCACCAGCCTTTGTATCTGATCCCTTTGACGTGAAATCTAATTGGAGCTGCTGTACTGATACACTACTCTGGTCTACACTTAAAGGAGCAAATCTCAGCTTGAAGCTCCTTAAAATGAATTTCTAGAGCAATCTCAGTGAATGGAGTAAACACTTCCTTGCCTTTGACCGAGCTTTTTTTTTTTTTACTGACCCCCTCCTTTCCTACCATCCCTGTTTGCTCAAAGTGATTCCTCATCACTCATTAACGACACATTTGATTTTTTGATGTTCTTCAATCAGAAATAATTGACCTAATCAGACATGACATTATCAATTTAATGAGGTCTCTGGTCTTTCTGAGAATACGCACCTGCTGCTTTGGTGCCTGCCAGCATTTTCAGTCAGAGGAAGGTTCAAGAGACGTGTTTGTCATTATCTGATACAGCCGAACCAATGTCTTACCTGCTCAACCCACTTCCTGCCAAAGTCAATTACGATCTCTGACATGTTGGGAATTACTTTTCAGGTGGAACCTTGACAACTGAAGCAAGTAAACTTCATGCTACCAAATCATGTGATAAATTGACAGCACTATAGAAAGCTGGGCCATCTTAAAGGGATATTCCGGCGTAAAATTAATTTAGGGTCAAACACACCGAGACACCGAGTTAGACACCCCGTTGAGAGATGAAAGTTGCCGACAGCTTGCTTCTCTAGTCGTGCCAACTTTAATAACGACCACATGATAGCAATACAGAGAGCCACACGCTCAAACAAAAAGCCACTCTATAGCCACAAATAATGCTCAGAACAGCACCTAACTTCATCAACAGTACATATAGGGTCCCAGCCATAGTACTAGCCATCAAACATCTTTTTAACTTTGCCTGATTTCTTTAGCAAAGAGACTAAACACAACTCACCCTCTCTCTTCCAGCAGCCGCTTGTTTGTAGGAAGACCTCAGGCAAGGCCATTACAGACTACAGTAGGGTGACACAGCTCAAGGAAGAACATTTAGCAAGCGGTCAGCAAGATTCATCTCTCTACGGGGTGTCTAACTTGGTGTTACAGTGTGTTTGACCCCAACTTAATTTTATGCCGGAATATTCCTTCAAGAACCAAATCTCTTTTGACATTTCTGTAACTTTCCTGTATTTATGTACACAACCTATGCTGCATTGTGTCTTGGAGAAGGATGGAGGCACTACTTTTTAGCAGTATTTGTGCTTCATCAGGTCATAATCGTGTATTCAAAGCTAACAATTGGACATTAATGAGAAGATTTAACCTTGCCAAGTGCTGGTTTGGAGGAACTACTGACTCAACCTAGCTTTTGGTTGACCTACCTGAGGCAGGCTGTTTGAACACAATGTGCCAGCTCGTCAGTCAAGTCAGCTAGCCTCTGGTTCTCCAGTCTCATAACCTTGCTATCTATGCCTGAACTACCATGCTTATTGTTGTTTTAAAAATAGGCTTTTGGTATTGTTTTGCATGTGGTTTCTGGTGCTTCACTCCTGCATTAGCCTCATCTCTCAAGACTGGGGGTTGTTGCTTGGTTTACCCCAGAGTTGGGTTAACCAGGAGGGTCTCATAGTAAAGGGTAGTGTATGCTTATGCCTCTAGAGAAGGTGAAGTACAATAATGAAGCAGATGTATAAGACAGATGCAAATAAAAACAGGCTAAACTGACTTAATCAGTACCAGCATCTACAGTAGGTCAGACCTGAGTAAGAATCTTGTTTCTGCCTGTATTTATCTTGCTTTATACAAGATTACTGACTTTGTTTAATCTGTTTGTGCTCTCAAAATATTGTATAATGCATGACGACTCAATACTACCACTATTATTATTTTACTACCACTGTAAGTTGTTTGTTATTGGCTTAAACAGTTTTTAGTTGCACTACTTGCACAGATGCTTTCGGATGTGGAACAATATTCCAAACAGGGCCAATGCAAGCAGAAATACATTTTTTATGTGCAAAAACAAAGAAATTATGCAAAGTTAATTCAACTGGAGGTACTTGAATGTTTCAGGCACATTTATACATTTATTGCATGTTAAATTTTGTAGCTTAGTTAGACTTATTATTGAAAGAATAACAGAAATTACTTTAATTTATGTGGCAACAACAACAATTGCTTGCCTCTAAATAATCCAAAACTGAAATTATTCAAGAAATCTAAATTAATCACTGTTTGACACATTTTTACTTGTTTTCAACCAACAACTTGAGTTTTTCGACAGCTAAATGACATGCTTGAAACTATGTGTTGAATTTCTATTTCTGTTGAGTCTGAGGCTTTGTAGCAAACACCTGGCAGCGTCTAGCTCAGGAACAGGGGGACCAGAGACAACAGATGTCTTCTATCAAAGACATTGCTTCCATTAGGAGTTTGGCAGGGAATAAGTGCCCCATCATTTTACCACGAGAATGTTTCAATGATGCATGACATTAGAGTTATGAATTTTAAACGGGAAGGGAGTATCAGATTGTGATTCCCGTGTTTTGCAGATTTTATTTCGCTTCTATGATCTGGCTCGCAAGAAATAATTCAGTTGGAGGTTAAAAAAAAGAAGAGAAACATTATTCATACTGTTTATAAAATTTAGGGCCTCGCGATGACAGCAAAACAGACGGGAATGTTAAAAAGTGGGGCAATAAAACGGCTCATTTGACAGGGAGAATATACCAGCTGAAGATAAATAAACGTCAACTAAATAAAGCCTGAAACACAGGACCAGGTAAAGTCTGCTGGGTTTGTGCTTACCTCTGGGCAGAAAAACAGCTGACAGGAGTAAACACACTTGTTAGTGTACACTCTAGCCTTGCAAGGAATTAGACGCAACCTGGCAGGTAGCTCTCCTGATAATTGAAGACACTACACCGTAAACACCTCACGGCTGTTGTTATTCGAGAATCTTGTTAACAGCTGTGGATGACAGAAATGTGCGAGTGCCAACATTGAGGGCATTCAGCAGAGTGAATTTTGTGACAAGGCACAAAAAAACCAACATAAAGTATTTTAGGTGCAATATGTTGTCATATGGCTCACAGCTAGAGAGAGAGAAAAAAACAAGGCACCTTAATTCACTTTTGTATGAAAACCAGCGTGGTGTCAGGGGCTGTCTTGATATTATGAAGGTAAGGGGGTTTAGCGGTGGTGTTATTTATGGCGGCCTTCAGGTGAAGGAAATATCATAAACTTGCAAAGAAAACTTGAAATAATGAGTTTAGGAATCCTTTCAAGGCACAAATAGCACACAAACAATAAATTGTAGACTGACTCAGCTGTTTTGTAAATACTATCAAAGCATAATACAAGGTTTCTGAAAAATGAGGAATAATTTACAAGCGTATAGAGTAAGCTACCATACACCACAGCTGTGCTCTGTTCATTCAATGTTACATTATAATATGATTCTTTTGTTTCTGTGGGTAATTCTTTGGATTAATCTGGATTATTAAAAATTGAAGCCAGACTTTATTTTTTTTTTAATCATGGTAGCTTACCCTGATTTAAAGCAACAGCAGCTTTGTGCATCATGTTTACTGTCTTTGAATGAAAGCTATTTTTATCCATAACAACATATCAGAACTCAAACAAGAAAAGTAGTCCTTTAAAACGATATCATAAAACTAGCTTCAGGCCTTAAAGTGACAGACCACAAAATAAAAAGCTTCAGGTTTGCATTTATTTAGTAAAAGTCACAATAGCCACAGTATCACACTGTCTTATATCTATTTTTTATTACCTACATAGTTCAGATCATCTGTTAAGCCTTTGATTGAACAAAAATATTAAATTTGATTTACCATAACAGGGAGCTGTAATCTGAGACACTATAGCAGTTTCTTCTCTGTAGCAGCCAACTGTGCGTTGCTATCAGTCATATAAGTCCGAGCTATATACTGTATCTAAAACAGTATCTAAAGTTTAGCAGCTCCATGTGCTAACTCTCATCAAATGTAAGATGTTTCAATTGCATAAGACAGAAATCTGAGAGATTTTTTCGTGGGATGGTAGGGGAAGGTGCCGCCTTCTTCGCCTCTGATTGGCTAAGTCCCGTCTCCTTCACCTCTGATTGGCTAAAAAAGCTTCTAGCCAATCAGAGGCGAAGGAGGCGGGACCTTCTCCTACCATCCTACGAAAAGAAAATATCGCGACCCGCGCTATATTAACTCCAATTCATCACCGCACCGTTTTCTTCCTTCATTAATCCTGTCACACCTGCTCCATTTCCACACCCACAAACTACAAATCCACCAATCACAGCGCGTCACAACAACCGGTCAGTTTGAATTCTGGATCCCGGAAATGTTTTGAGCCGTCAAAAAAGCAGCAGGAGGGATGACAACGAGAGAGGAGTGCGGGAGAAGTCAAGCTCACGCGCGGGCTTATTACAGCCATTAAAGTCGGTAAAAGTCCGTTTTAGTGGCGGTCGCCGGAGTCCTTTTGTCTTCATGATATACCGGAGTGATCCGCGGACCTGTGGAGTTTCACCTGGCAGACATCTGAGAGGATTTTGGATTGGTTCTGTTCCTGTGCTGGAGTTTGGAGCTGCCTCCTGGAGTAACTACCTTCAATTTACCGGCTGACGGACGACTAAAACGTGAGTACTGACAACTGTCAGAGTTTTATTTGTTTGTTTCCTCAAAGAGAGTGAAGAAGCTGTTGAGCTACCATTTTCTTTTCCTTGGGTTTTGGGTTATTATCGTGAGTAAAGGACTCCTGTTGATTTGTGTTGAACTGTGGATGTGGAACCGATTTATTGAACAGACGGTATTTTTTACGCGATCGGACGAGATCGGGCTTGTTCAGGGCGGTATGGCCGCAAGCATTTTGTTTTATCCTCCCTTCTGTGGCTGAAATAATCTGTGTTACATTCACACACACACACACCTTACTCTTGTTTTCATTGCTGGTTGGAAAAATATGATTTTGTGGTGCTTGACTTTGCTGTGCTGGCTGATGTTTGTTTGGTGAAATTGTTGCTGATGAACTGTGTATTTGTTGTGCATGAGATGACAAACTTATTCACAGTTTATTGATGTATTATTTTTTGTGAGACCAGACTCTGACTGACACCCCCGACTTTAAAAAGAAGAAAAAGTTGCCAATCCTGCTACACAAAAAGTGGCACCCCAGATTCCTGGATTCACAAAGGAAAAGCCCTGGATCTTCTACAAATCAAATTGAACAAAATCAAATCAAACAACCATTCAACTCTAAACAAGTCATATCTAAATAGAATAAACTAAAATAAAATGATCTCAACTCAACTAAAGTTAAATAAAATTCAAATAGTTAAAGCAACTTCAAAAAACAATGGAATCCTTATAAAAAAATAAAAAATAAAAATAATGATAACAACAACAACAACAATAATATTAATAATAATCATAATCATCATAAAATATAAATTACAAATGAGAAAAATAAAGAAACCTCTGAGAATCAATATCACCTCAGGCCCCGAGGAGGAGGCTGCAAAAGACTAAGACTGTTGTGAGACCCAGCTTGTAGCAGAAAATGTGACCATACAGTCCTTGTTGGATATGGATTTAACAGATTTTGACTCATGTCAGGCTCAACCACTCATTCCACTGAATATGACATCTCAGGATGGAGTCATAAATCAGAGGCATACCTCATCAGTGCGGACAGTGGATGTTACTAATGTGGCGATTAACACAGAGCAATCAATTGACGCTTCTTTGGAAGAGAAGTTTCAGGTGTTCATGGAGACACAAAAGAAAAACATGGAGGAGCTGGAAAATAAAATAACTACTTCATTGAAAATGCCCCCCCAGCACTGGAGCAGTGTTCCCAACATTTATAGACAAGGTTGATGCAGTGCAAAGCTTTCCTCTAACAACCAACCTGAAGGCCCTTCAGGGGTTCTTGGGCATGGTTGGGTGGTACCACCAATATGTCCCAAATTTTTCTCAGATTGCTAAACCACTCAATGCTCTGAAGAAAAAGGAAAAAAAAGTTCCTGTGGTCATGTGCATGTCAAAATGCATTTGATGCCCTTAAACAACACCTGGAGAACCCACCTGTTCTCGGTCATCCAAACTACAATACTCACTTTTCTATTTACTCTGAGGCCAGCAAGATCGGACTACGAGCTGTGCTTGTTCAAAGGTCAGGCAATGGAACTGAGGAAGTCCTTGCCTTTGCCAGCCACAGCCTAAAATGCTGCAGAAAAAATAATATTCTGCTACTGAGCTGGAATGCTTGGCTGTGGCGTTGGCAGTGGAGAAATGGAGGACTTACCTGGAAGGTCGACTCTTCACAGTGGTGACGGATCATGTCTCCCTTCTGTGGGTGTTTAAAACAACCAAACCCAGCACAAGGCTCATCAGGTGGGCACCGAGGCTCCAAGAATTCACCTTTAGTGTTGAATTCAGAAAAGGAAAATACAATACTGTGCTAGAGGCTCTGTCCCAAACACCAATCAATTCTCCTTCAACCTTGCCTGTGTGTGCAACCAATGTGACTGCCTCTCAAAAACCACCCAAAGAACTTCCCGTTTCAATCGAGGCCCTGTAGAAAGCACAACAAATAGTGTCAAGCGCTGTATCAACAAGTGGTAGATGGGAATACTGTCCTCAACTAAAAAACACCACATACACCATATTGGATGACCTCCTCTAGCAGTCTAGCGATCTGTGGAGTTTCACCTGGCGGACACCCAAAAGGGAATTTGGATTGGTTATGTTCCTGTGCTGGTGCTGCCTCCTGGAGTAATTGTTCCCAATTTACTGACTTGACTGACTGACGACTGTATCGTGAGTACTGACGACTGTCACAGTTGATTGTTTTTTTTTGTTTCCTAAACAAGAGTGATGGAGCTGTTATGCTACCATTGTCTTTTCATTGGGTTTTGGGTTATTATCAAGACTAAAGGACTCCCGTTGATTTGTGTTGACTGTGGATGTGGAACCGATTTATTGAACACACTGTGTGTTTTGTTTTTGCTTCTCCTATGTGTATGGTCTGAACAGAGTTGCGCACACATACGCACTTGCACACCTTACACTTGCTTTCATTGCTGGTTGGAAAAGTATAATTTTGTGGTGCTTGACCTTGCAGTGCTGGCTGGTGTTTCTTCGCTGAAATTATTGCTGATGAACTGCTTTTATTTTGTGCATGGGATGACAAACTTTTTCTTAGTTTATTGATTTATTATTTTCTTTGTCAGACCTGACTCTGTCTCACACCCCCCACTTGAAAAAGAAGAAAAAGTTGCCAATCCCCCAACAAACTTCCTTGCAGTTGTAGCATAGGAGTAGACCCAATTACATCTAGGGCTGAAACGATTACTCGAGTAACTCGAGTAACTCGATTAATAAAATTCCTCGAGGCAAATTATATGCCTCGAGGAATCGTTTAAATCCGGAACCATGTGCAGCGCACGGTGTTTGACACGGACGGTTATTTCTGTTGCGCAGAAGCGTGCTCTTTCCGCTCCTTCCGCTGCCGCGCGTTTGGTTCAATCATGGAGGGAAACGAGGACAGACAGAAGCTGGTGTCCGAAATGGCATACTGCCTGCTATCTACTTACCTACTCAAGCAGTAGCTACTGCCTACTGACTACTCAAAGATGATTTAAGTATGCCGCGGCTGCCCGAGCGTTTACACACATACATACTAAATACCCCAGAATGCATTTCGTGCCGGCCGGACGCAGCGCCGGGAAAATTTAAATAGTCCTACCACAAGCTACATAGAACGACTGCATACCGGACAAATTACATAAATTCATTCAATAATAATATTTTTTCTAGCGAGAAAGTAAGTGTTTACATCACGATTATGAGCCCAGTTGTTTGAAATAGTGGCTGTTTGTAAATTTGTCTCGGCGTTTTCGGAGACCGAAGCGTCCACTTGGTCGGTGTTTGCGTCTATTTACCGTAAACACCGGGCAGCAGCAGCTCCCCCTTCACGTGTCCAAATTATTGCGAAGTGTTTTCATAATCAACATCTACACGACACAAACCGGGCGGCAGTGGATGAAAAAAATCACACAAACATCCGTGTATCCATGGTGATAATGCTATACACCACCTGCTAGGCGTGTGATGAGCAGCAGAGGGCTGCAAAATGACCAACACACAACAACATGTAAATAAAAATGTAACACTTTTATATATTGAATAAATGTACATTTGCTTGTCAAATTATGTTAGTATCCAAGAATTATATTATTTCAGCCTATTAATTAAACAAGTAAAATTAGATCCAAAGCCTGGAAATAGTTGTGACTGGTTTAGTGAAAACTGCAAAGATCATTACCATAGCAATTAAAAGACCATCTGCAGACCTTGCCTTCAGTAGTTTCATGTGAACTACATGGTAAAATGTAAAACTTTTGTTTCCTGATTTATGCAGTAAAAATATTCATTTGAAAGACCTGGCCTATTTCAGTTTTGTGTGTTACTGATGGTTTTTAATGAGGCAAACGTGATTCAATGCAAAGTATTACAGTGAGAGCAAAACATTTCTTATCCGATTACTCGATTAATCGACAGATTAATCGATAGAGTACTCGATTACTAAAATAATCGATAGCTGCAGCCCTAATTACATCGCTTCAAACTTTTGAGACTGAGTCTTCAACTTGTCTTTTCAATAAAAGATTTTAGACTACTCCCCTTTGAACGTGGCTTCAAAAACAAAAACACATGACAGAGCCGTGTTTTAAAAGTGTGCCTGCTAATAATGAGCATCTACTGTATGTTTTATCTCTTTTACTCACCACAGGGTGATGTGTACAGTTGTGATTAGTGAGAATAAGATTGGTTGGGACAATGGGATGGTGTTGAAACTGTCTTTTTGAATACACCACACGTCCTACGTACAACCTTGTAGATTCGGAGCATGTTCCTCATTGTCTGCAAGCACATTTTCTTTTAGTTCAAGCTGAGAGTTTGTGTTCTCTGCAACTTGCCACTCTGACCTTTATTCAGCTCGTCTTTTTGTCCAAATACCTGCATTCTTTCATTTTCAAGGTGTTCCTGGAGTCTTGCAGCGCTGCCTGAAAATACACTTAAGCCATTGCACATTTATTTGATGACCCCCAACATTCACTCTCAATATAATTTCTATCATAACAGCCTCGAAAACCATATGGTCAAATTAGATTTGTAAGATGACAGGAGCAGGACTTGGCACAGCAGGAGCATGAAGAGAAATGGTGGTAATGGAATTTGATACCTATATTTTATTGGAAGAGAACATTGTCCTCCTTTTTTTCTTTTATTGAACTCAGCGGTTAAATCGTTTAACAGCTTATTGGTGGCAAAAGAAAATGGGGACGCGGATAGCATTTCAACCATCACTGTAATAAGACAGTCTTCAGTATGATGCTTTATTAAGGTCTCATTCAGTTTTTGAGTTTTTAGTTTCTTCTATTCATGCATGTGTAGCACTTGGGTCAAACCTTTGTCTTAATTTTAAGCTATTGGACCAGATCTAGGCTACAACTCTGGCATGACAACTGAAAGCTCTACCACTCAGACCACTTTTAGAGACTTTAGGACCTGAAGTTTAGGTACAATCAACAGGACTGAATATTAGGACTGCAGTGTTCTGGAGGGGTAAGGGGGAGCTAGGAGCTCTTTTAGAAATGATGTTGCCCTACTGTGAAGAGCTATGTAGGGCACAAGAAGAATTAAAAATACTACCCAAAATTTAATGGGAAGCCTACAAAAAAGGATTAGGGCCTATTGAAGAGAAAAAAAATAATTGCAGGAAGGAGGAGTTGAAATGTTGAGATTAAAATCAAAATTTTGAGATTAAAATTGAAATTTCAAGATAAAAAAAAACAAAAAACAAAAAAGCAAAATTATGTCAAAGTCAAAATTTTGAGATACCAAAATGTGGCAATATCGTGAATAATGTCAGAATTTTGAGATTAAAAAATGAAAAGTTTTTAAATCAAAGTTGAAATTTCAGGATTAAAGTCGAAATTTTTGACTTTTTAAAATTTCGACTTTCATCTCAGAATTGCGACTTTAATCCCAAAATAGCAACCAAAAAAAATCTCTCTCCTATAATTATTTTTGTCTCTTCTTTTGGCCCTTATCCTCTTTCGCAGAAGCCAATGCAGAAAAGCAGTTACAGGGGAATTTTTCCCGTTCTGGTCAGTATTCAGGCTGCAGCATTTTGGCCTGCATCTTTTTAACCTTTTTAACAAACTTCTGTATTTACATACTTTCAGAAGGGTTATGTTATGTGCCAAAAACTCACCAGTTGGGGAAAGAAAAAATTCACATAAAAACAGCCAAAAGCGAAGTCATTCTTTTGCCATTACAACAAACCATGAGTTGTCATATTTTAACCACTTTACGACAGATAATAATCAAGTCCAGCTCCTCCTTCCCCATCTATCACCCCATCCAAGAATTAATTAAAACACACATTATGAGTGGAGTGTTATTGTTTTTTCTGCTTTTTTGACCTCCTGGTGAAAGATGGCAATGTGTCAATTCTCAATGGAAATTAGATTACAACCATTATCCATAAAATTGGGTTTAGTGAGGGTTTAAAAGGTCACTCACTAGATAAGACAGGGTCAATATAAGGACAGTTCAATGTGTTTTACATGTCGTTTCTCCCCAGTGTTTATGTGCCTGCAAATAGTCCCGAAAGCCTGTTCATTAACACAACTTCCACTGCCCTACTTACACTTTCTGATTGACAGAATGGGGCAATTTATTTACATACTGATGACCGACGGTGTCACCTTTACCACTTAGTTCTGTGCATGATTCTGCTGGCAGCTGTTTTGTCTCCCAGGCGTCAGAAAAGTGCAGCGTACAACACACTGATCCTTTGTGAACACTAACAAACTAGCTCTCCAGCCTGTTTGATCCAGACAGGCACTGGTGAGATTGATGGCTGTGACTTGAAAGCTGTATTTCAGAAACTGCCTACTCTCCCTTGACAATATTCTATAAACTGCTTCCTCTGGTAAATTCGGAGGCTCCCACTCCATCTGTCTCTGTCAGGGAGGAGAAAACACACACACACACCATGATCATGGTTTCAAAACACAAGCTTGGAACACCTCACCTACTTTCTAGGGATTGGTGCAGGATGGAGTAAGATTATTTGGACACATCCAAATGCATCCATTTGTCAGTATCTGGATAGTCGGGGTCAATGACAAGAAACCGGCTTTTGTCTGCAGGAGGGGTCAGTGTGCTACTTTTATTAAGGACCTGCTTCTGTTTTAGGGACAGGCTCCTCCTGGGTGTTGAGGGGAGCTCTGAGAGCTAAATGCCCAATTAACCTTGCCTGGCCCAGGCACATTTTTACAAATTTAAATGGTTCCCAAATGGCTAAAGGTAATTAATTAATTTTAATGGGACGGCATGCTCACCTCATTGTTGAAAGGTGCTGAGTTCACGCGACACTAATCAATGGGATTACCTTTGGCCTTATTTTGCATGGTACTGAGAGGAATCTTTGGCAAAACAAATTATGATTTGTAGGACAAGTAATTAGTCAATGCTGATACTGCTCGAGCCAGCCACACCAAGACAATGAGAAAATGTGTCTTCTTGACTTTGCAATTTTGCATCAAACTGATAGTGCAGTGCAAGACTATTTATAGGAACTGTGTGCAATTTTTTACTTAACAATCCAGTAAGGCATAGAAAAGGGTGATCCACATATAGGGTTTATTTTTTCTAAAGGGTGGGCTTTGGATGGCTGCCTTGCATTCCACAACAATTAAATTGTTCACTTCAAAAAGTCTATTTCTGTCGAGTTTTTCTGAGTTGCAAATCATAGAAGTTTTGATTGAACAAGAAAATTTCCACTGCAGCTCTGGCCGGTGTTGCAGTGTTAAATCTTTATCATCAAACTTTAGTGCCAGGGCGATTTGAGCGAAAGCCAGACTGAAAAATTAATTGAAAAGAAAATAGTGAATTATTCTGGTTTTGCTACTGTTTCAGAGGATGGTCAAGAGGGGCAATGTGTCTGTAAAACCTGTAGAAGCCTGAACAATTTCAGCAAAATCTGAAACTGTGCATGGTGCAGTGCATGGCATGCAGATGTGTTAAACAAATGCAAATGTGTAAATGCACGACAAGATAGATCAATACATTTAAAAAATAAGAGTTTCAAATGAGAAGCAAAACCAACCCAGGCTCAACTTTTTGAACCAAAGACTCCCTCGTCAAAAACTAGGAATCTGAGTATTCAGTCAACAAAACAGTTAACCTCACTAGTTGACACCAGACTTAAAAGCCAGTAAAATAAATGATTGATCACTTTATTATTGTAGGTCCAAAATGCTACTTATATGTAGGGTCTAAACTGGAAAGCAGCCACCGGTCTCTAACTCCCTTATTGGCCTACTACCTGGATGTAGACTAGCACAGTGGACAGATGGTTTAAATATGCATTACTACGGTAAAGGCAAGTAAATATAACAAAAAATATATATTTTTTAGATTTTTATAAATATTTGTTTTTCTGTTTTTATTTATTATATCAGTGTATTTTTATTGAGTAACAATTCCAGTCTGATCAATGATTAATGCAGCTATATTACTGGTCATAGTTTCAGTATTTCATTGTATTTATAAGGACTTTTTTTTCTTTTTTCTTTCTTTCTTCCATTTATTGACAGTGTTTGTGGATATTTCTTAACATTAAACGGTCATAGATGACAGCAGTCTTTGAATTTACCAGTATTTATCCCCAATCATCTTCTGATAATGCAATATTTGCCTCTGATGGAGGATTTGATTTGTTTGTTATTTTGCTGTAGCATTCAAGGACCTCGAGTCAACAGTTCTTTTTCAGTACAGCGTTCACATCTGCAGTGTTTTTACTTTTGCCCATTTCATCCCCAGAGTGACATCATCGTTCATCTGTTTTAAGAAAGTCTCAGCTCAACAGTGGATGAACCCTTACATGGACAGAGCACTCTGATTCACTTCAGGGAAACGAGCATGAAAAGAAACCTACTTTTTTTGTCATTTACTGACAATTTACTGCTTAAAAATGAAGGTAAAATGAATAGATGTGCCTTATTTTGACCTTCAAAAGCAAACATGACTACACTGTGAAGACTGATATTAAGTTATCAAGTTCATTTCAATGCCTGAAACTGCTGCTGGGGGGTAGGTGTCCCACTGAGCGATTAACTACTGCTATCACAAAGAAAAACTTTTTTTTCACATTTTTTTCTGGGCAAGAATTCCTGATGAGTGAAATGTTTGATTTTTAAATCAAAGCAGGATATATATTTTAATATTAACTATACCTGCAGTTGTGCAGATCAAAATTAGCAAATGGATGAATTGTGCTGCGTTGTCAGCAGGGGGCACTAGAATTTGCTGTTTCTCTCGGATGCTTTAAAGTTACATTATTTAAAAAATGACTGCTGGTTTCTTGCACCTGAAAATGCTTCCTATATCTCAGCGTGTTTTGTTTGGTTGACAGTCTTGGTTTCATGCTAAAGATTGACGCTTCTTCTTGAGTATTGCTTGAGCAGTAGGTTATTACAATTCAAACTCATTAAAATGAGGTTACTTCCTTCAGTTGCAGCACTTGGTTAAAACACAACTAGCATATGTGTTCTTGGTTTAGTAATTAGACACCCTACTTGGCATGTTTTTTTTTCTTCCATAATAAGTTCCCTAGGTTGCTAGATATGATGCATTTTTGCAATCTTTCCTTTTCGCTGAATTATTTACTCATACTATTTAAAAACAGGGCTTGCTATGCCACCCATGTTTCTGTGTTTAGTTCGCTCACACTGCAGTAAATAAACTTACCCTGCTTTGCAATAATTTCATCATCTCCACCAGACTGTTGCAGCTATTAAAGCTCTCTGGCTGAAACATACAGTGGGATAACTCTGTTACCTTCACGCTCTACTCCGTAGTTAACAAGCTTGTCGCCTGGCAACCTCAACCATGTGCATTTGTTTTGATGTTAGGTCTTGGAGTTGTTTGCAATTTTTATGAAGCCCTCTTGGTTTGACTATATAAAATATGAGCTGTCCAAATTACATTCCTCAATCACAGCAAAAAGGCAAAGGCTTATTAGGCTAGTAGAACTTTAGAGAGCGATCTCAAACAACTATGTGAGAAGCAGCCATGTTGAAAGTCTGTAAATGACTGAAAAGACTAACATGTTTAAAAAATATATCAACAGTAACACATCCTTCAACACTGAACCTCCTCCATTCACTTAAAGTCCAACATTAAAAGATGTTTTTGCATCAAATGTCATGTACCAATGTACAACTCTTGAAAAGTGAGAAACAGCAAAATGTTTCACATTGCATTGCAAATAAAGTGCCAACTTTATTGCTCACCCTAGTCACAGTGGCAAAGAGAGGCCAGCTGGCTACCACCCCATGGGAGAGCACACAGTTTTGCCATCTGCCACCAAAATTTAGCAGGTCTAATATGTGCCTCTTGCCGCTGCAGTAACAGCCAGAAGCCGCCGCCGCTGCCAATCAATGATAGGATGAAATATGATGCTGTTGACAAACACAACAGAGGTGACAAACCGTGCTGCATTTTGATGTGCACGCAATAGCACACCCTGTATTTTCTATGCTATCCTCTACACGCAGAGGTTGTAATGAATTTATCACCTTCCCCTGCAGCACTACAGAGTTTTTCTACTCTGTTCACAGTTTTGTTGAGTACAAGCAGCTCTCAAAAACTGCGTAGGAGGCTGCTGTCACCGAAAAAGTTTTTGCTCACATGTAGCCCATAATATCTTTAGGGTGTTCAAGTCTCTTGGTGATTACAAGTGTATGTATTGATGCTTGAATGTCTCATAGTGACAGAAAGTCAAATATTGAACATTTGAAATGATCTGCGTTGAAATGTACACACAGTACAGTAGCAAGTAACTTAACTCTGAGCAATTTTACTTCCTCTCTGAGAGGACTGTGATTTTCTGTATCACAGCAGCAGCTGATCAATAGAGGGTGCTGAGACACCACTCTACCACTCTTCACAAAGACAATGGCAGCCAGAAAAAGATTTTTTTTGAATACATTCATTTATTTTTAACCCAAAGTAAGAGCCATTTGGGTTGTGGATAGAATTAATAAGCAACAAAAAGAAAACGGTAGGGTTAGGAATTGTACATCAATACCTAACTGTTGACATGAGGAGGTATGCAGTGTAGCAGCAGTCAGCAGTACCTGAAAAAGCTAACAAACTGCAGAAAAGAAACTCAGTTTGCTTGCTAGAAAAAAATGCTGTTTGAGATGAGACCTTCACGGTAGACTTTAGACATACTGCAGTCTGAAAGGAAATCTTTGCAGGAGAAGCTGACAGTTAAAGAGCTGGACCTAATCAGCTGAATACCAACATTAAATGGCATTCCAGAAACAGAGGGGGAACAACACTTTATTTATGATGAAGGCTTAGGTGCAGGCATGTAGTGGTTTAAATGCTTGCTATCCCTGCTGCCTCCGTTTTTAAGACATGGGTATCAAGAAAAACATGACCAAACAGGGCTTCACATGCAATAGGCTATGTTCACTCAGCCTAGCAAACAGATACATGCCTTTGTATTGTATTTTATGTAGTTTTATGGATTAATGCAGAAGCCTAAAACAAGATGGCGACATCTACAAAGGTTATTTTAGCGCTTGCCTTTTTAGGCTTCCGATTTAGCTTTTTTTTCGACTTAGTAACTGAAATGCTGGTAACTCAGGTGTGATGTCATTTTCAGCTCCAACATCTGACTTCCGAGGTGACTCGAATGCAGCATAATATCTGTTGTTACTGTAAAGATATCTTTTGGATTTTGTAATGGTGCTTGCTCCCAGTGTTGCAATATCTACATAAACGTTAAGAAAAAAGTAACAAAGTTTCTAAACCTTTACAACTGTACCAGATAAACTGTTACCATTTGATGACTCAGTCCTCATTCAGTGTTTGTTTCGATCCAAAGGCCTCGGAGGTTTGAAAAATCTCTGAATAATTTAATTTTGAAAGCTTGGAAGAAAAATACAATATACTTTATCCCACGTATTACTGAGCTACCAACTAAAGCTATAAATGAGGTGATCTTAAAAAATATGCCCCTCTGATTCCATAGAGCTTATTGATCCCAAGGCAACAAATTCTTATTAGCCCCTTTGTGGGATTAATAAATACCAAAGTGAATATTTTAATTTGGGGTCAAGTCATGGTCAAACTTAGCCTGCCATCTTTGTTACAAGTCACTCTCAAATGTATGTTTGCATTGAAGGTAATGTTCGACAGGGTAAGCAGGAATATCTTAAGAAATATTCGTGACAACATTTTTCCTCACTAAGCTCTCCTTTTTTTTATGGGGTTTGCAGTCGATGCATCTTCCAGATAAATGAAGCGATGGCACTATTTCAAACTGTATGTCTTTCATCACTACTTTTTATGGTTTCAGTTACTCTGAAGGAACTGGCAACTTTGAGATGCACTCAGCAGTTTTGCTGCTGTTGCCTTGATTGCAGGACTGAATCCAATATCAAAGTACCCCTCGTGTTGTTTAGCCTGAAAACCATACGAAGAGTGAGCAACATTTTCATTCTAGTTCATTCAGACATTATATTTACATAGAGAAAACCTTTACATGCCTCTCATGGCTCAAGCAACACACACTAGAGACGGGCAAATTCCATGCAAAACTGTCAAGGCTGATGAGTTAAGTAGGGCAGGGATTCATCTAAATTTACATCAGATTTATACCCATGCAAAGATTAGCATGACTGATTCACTGTTCAAATTGATGAGATGATTGCACAGCCCATGTCAGCCACCCCAGGACAGGAAGACTATTAAATACAGTGACCTTTTTCATCTCAATATGACAACAATGATCTGATGGATATGACTGCATATTTCAACATTTTAATCCTCCCTCTTTGAGTCACCCTCTGTCTGCCCCGTGCTCCATCTATGACTTTTTATACACTGTTCTCCTATCCTGCCCATCTATCTCCTGTTTTTAATCCTTTGCTCTGCTCTTCCTCACTGCGCATTCAACCCCCTCTCAATCTGTTTTGATCCAATTCTTAACAGCCGTGTGCACTTCTGTAAGTAAGAGTGAATCACCCAGGGGGGCTCTCATCAAAGAACTGCCAGGAAGACAAAGCAGCCAGGCAGCCCTGCGTTAACTGCCAATGTCCTTAAAGGGGACTTGCTGGCAATGCCACCTTTGATCAGTCCACCATGACTGTATCTCCCACAGCTCTGGGACTGCCGGACAGCTCTCTGTGTCATGCTGCCCTGTTCAAACAAACACAGTCGGATTAAGAAGCCCCTTATCAATACAACTCATACTGTTTTTTCTGTTCTGGATTGCTTTGTTTTCAGCTCTGGTATTACTAATTATTAGCTCTTTGGTTTCTGCACAGGAGATCTGGATTATAATGAAAAAGGGAGGAAAACCTCTCAATGCTGAGCAGGGGTGTATCCAGAGGGTAGCCTATGATGGCCAATCTAAGCAGCCACTTGTGAAAACTAGACTCAAAAAAAGCTTTAGACGTACAGTGCTGTAACACCCTGCCGACTTAACCATTTACCTGCATGCCCTTTCTTATCTCTATTATGCCTCTCCTACTTCCTCCAGAGCTGGCTCAAAGGTAAAAGACTCCCCTGTTCGGTCTCTGCACCTTTGAACAGACAATAAGTTGTGATGACATGGAATGATAGTCCAGCCTTGAAGAGGTTGTGCAGAAGGAGCTGACATTTTACTCGTTGGAGGCGGAGCTTGTGTGTAAATCAACTGTTTTTAACTAAGAATAACCGGATATTGGAAAATGAAGCCAATGTGAAGTGCAAAAACCTGATTTTCCAAAGTCAAAAGAGGGGTAGGCAGGAACCTGTGTCGTTCACGAGCCCAAACAAAGTTAGCGCGCTGTAAAATCACAGTAGAAACCAACCAGAATGTACGGAAAATTGTCTGAATCCTCCTTCGCCCACGACTGCCAACACAAGCAAGAAAACGAAGTAAATACTAGAGACTCTGGCGGATTAACAGACTGTTAAAACTGAGGTAGACCTGACAAGAGCTAAAAGGCCGAGTCAACATCAGCAGAAATGATGGAGGCTTTGGGATCTTACGGACCCTGTAACCTTTCTGCTGGACAGGGAAACCGCTTTAACAAAGTAAGCCAAGTGTCTGTAACAGAAGTGTTTCTTATCAAACTGGACTTGTTGGAGCGGAAAGGGAGGGGAGAGGAGGAGCTGAGGGGAAAACTGGTTGGGAGGGGTAGTGTTTACATTCAAGATTTCACCCAAAAACTGGCACTTCCTCAGATCCTGCCTACCCCACCTCTTTAAGTTCAATGTTACAATGCTCATAGTTACAGAAAAAATAGTTTGACTTTTGCCTTGTCAGGTTTGATTTAGTTGATTTATTTAGTTGTACACTCCCTGTAGGGGTTAATTTTTTGTTCATTCTTTTAATGCCAATAGTATTAAGCTACAAGTTGTGGAAACAGCAATTCTACATAGTTAGAGGCACAGCTGAGTTGACTGACATTGCACTGCACTGACATTGTTAGCTAAAGACCTGCCTCTGCGCCTCTTTGCCCGTGTCTTGGATGATAAATAGTTCAATTGAGTCAGAATCATCTCCAAGCTGGTGACTGCCGTCTTGTGCCAAAGCAGCAACCTACTGTCATTAGAAATGAAGCTAATGTGGAAGTGCTAAAAACTACACAAGAGGTTGGCCCTAGAAGCCTTACAGGACTCATTCAGAAAGGACCATGTTTTCAGCAAAATTAAAGATATTTACAGTGTGGTTAATGCTAGGTCCACAGAAAGTCAGCTACAGGTCTGTTAATGATATGATCTGCAATACCCTCGTAGTGATCTGAGAGGAAACTATGAGTTAAGATAGAGAATGAGTATTATGCAGACAAATGTCTGTGTGCACACATATTTAATGCCTAAGGCAGTGCCACCCCAGTCTACACATTCTGGATACGCCCCTGGTGCTCTCCAGAGGATTATCTTACTGAATTATGGAAGTCATCAACATAAAGTGAGTGTTAACTAAGCAGTTTTTAGTACACACAAATTGCTGCTTATTCAAGTCAATTTGGGAACTTTTTTACCCCACTGAGTTCTCAGATTTGTGATGAAGCAAATCTGCCTTGACGTCTTCATGGGTGGGGGAATTATACAGGAGTCTGAGCGAGGGGCCTCTGGCTTCATGCAGAGTAGAAGGCTAAGGTTTTGATGTGGCAAGGTCGGGCCAGAGTTTAGGCCACCTGCTGTCAAAGCACAAGGACAAGGGCAGCCTTGCAGAGCTGAGCCAGTGCAGTGTCAGTCAAGCTGTGCACCAACACAACTGCTATCCCCTACGTTTTCTTCCCTATACCCACAACTTCCTCCGTGGTGCCCCTCTACAGAGGACAAGCGGAGGGTGGGAATGGTGCTGTGTCCCTCCCCTCCATCTGGTGCCGCATGCCTCTGTCAGGCTGTCAGCCGGCACATAGTAATGAAGGGTGTCATCAAGGTTACTGCAGGCTGGAATGTTGCCTGCTCCTCCTCCTCCTCCTCTCGCTCTCACTTCTCCCCCTGTTTCCCTCATCCTTGTCTCTTGTAGGACATATTGTCTGTTAGTGTAAGATGCCTGTCGTTGGTGATCATTATATGTTTTCCTACAAGGAGCAAGTTTCAGTGAGTATTTTGATTTCCTTTTAAAGCCTTTAATTTTTTTTTTTTCTCAATGCTTTTAATTTAGTATGCAGCAGTAACCAAGCATGTGATAGGATCCAAGCCTGTAGTGGGCGCTCAGTGGAACAGTTTACGATATGAACTGCTGTCACTGGTCATACTAAATACATAATCTAGTGTAGAAGAGCTTCTTTACCTTTTTTATCTATTTTTTTAACCTGTATAATAAGTTAGATCCTATGCACTAGAGCAACCAATGCAGCAGTATAAAATGCAGTGAGTGGTACTTTATTGCAGTACTGTATTTTGCCCAGAAGATGGTGTTTAAAAAAGCAAGTGAACACTTCACTACCAAAACATACTGGGTAGATAGTTAGGAAGACCAGTCTAGAAGCACCACAGTAACTTGCAATAATGTGTCTAAAGGAAACGTTAGCATACCGTGTGGTGAAATGATCTACTGGCATGCTGGTTTGATTGTAAAGATTCCCCATTTTAAGCTAATCAATGACTTGCAGGGTTGGTGACCTAAGTCTTGTCAAATTGGATACAGGCAATGGGCCCGTGCTACAGCTAGTACTTAACCTTACTGGCTTGGTCTGCCCATATCTTACATCTACAAACACTACATCTACTCATCCTGCTACCTCGCCAGTACCAGGTTGCAAAACTGGATGAAATAAACCTTTATTTGTCCTTCGGTGGGCAAATTTGGAGGTATTTTATGCTAGCATCACATAAAGTGCCACCCAGTCACCTTGCAACAGGTAGCTAGCTGACTAACTAGCTAGCTAACTTAGTGAGGGTCACATGACTTGACTGCCATCACTGTCATTTATAAAAAAATAATGTCAAAATTCAGAGTATCTTTTTTTTAAACAATACTCATGACTTCATTGGGTAGGAACCAAATGTGAATATTTAACTGTGTGTTAACTGGATTTATGCTACAGCTGTTTTATCTATTTGAACTCTTGGATTGTACACATATTTATCTGCATCATTTCTTAGATTGCAACACATTTCTCCCAATGAAAAATCAGTTTCAGATCAGTTATCTTATCTTATTATGGAGATGGTACACATCACTATGATTGTGCAGTAGTGGCCACTACACCTGGACACATGTTGAAGAAATTAATAATTGCCAATCCTATGATTTCTGTGTTCCCAAGATAATTGCGATACTAAAAGTTTAATTTCTTCTTCATTACTGTCTGCCAAGATGTCCGAAGAGGCCTTGAATTCCATCTAAATCCAAGTGTTGCAGTGATCATTAACTAAACATTAACTTTTAATCACTTCATCGTGTTTGTGACCCTTCAGCTAACATGATGAATTGTTTCTCCCTGAGACTGATCTATAATGTGTTATTAATTATAGCATAATTAAAGTGGGGGGCCTCTCAGAGAGAACTGTTCATCTTTGCACTCTGGTTATTCTTACACACTGTATCTCTCATGTGCAAGATACAAAACTTTTTCACTATCTTCACCATTCATTTAACTTCTTGCTCACTTTGATCAGGTTCAAAGCCGTTGCTTGTGAAAGCAGAAACTGAATAACTCTTGAATTCACTTTCTTAAATATTACCTCAAACATTTAACGCTTGGTTGAGGATAAACTTAGCTCATCTCTAATGTGTGCAGCCACTGTGTAAGATGCCATCAGTGGCACTGCCCAGCTCTGGATCTCTGTGACATTAATTTTCCAGTGTCAGCGCTGATGTATGGGGCGTCTGAGGAAAAAAAAAAAAAACATGGTAGGGAAGCCATGCTAACCTTGCGGGGAATTGTTAGGGGTCAGACCTTTAGCATCACAGAATGTATTAGGAAGGCATGCAGAATTCACATATTTGCAATGACACAGTGGGAAATCTATAACTTAAGTAGACAGAGTTTAAAGTTCTGATCTTAAATTTTATTTAGTTTCCAACTTTCTTTGATAAAACAAACGATTATAGCACTGACACACCAAATTTAATTCTCTTTTCATTCCTCAAGTCTAATCCAATAAAAATAAGATGCAGGTTGGGGTATTTTATTTTTCTAAATCTAATGGTATTCAGTCTACCAGCATTTGAACACAATTTTGGAAAATCACTGCAGACGACATTCAAGTTTCAGCCCCTCTGGCTCGTGAGAGACTCAGATAATAAGACTGAATTAATTTCCCTGTTTCAAACCTGACGCTGAATAAAAGGGTTTTGTGTCTTATCACTCCACGCTATCTGTCTCGTCCCTCTCTGCCCTGGGAATTGTGATCCAGCAGAGAAGAAAAGAAAAGAGGAACGCTCTCGACTTCTCACCATAGATCCTTGGAATAAGGGCGCGACATTGCTCTTGTGAATCTCTTTGTGCCGTATAATGTCTCATTGAATCAGGATAGGCTCCAAATCTATGCACCTGAAATAGAGCGCTTATAAGAGAAGACGGGTGGAAGGGGCAGGTGTGGAACAAGGTGGGCTTTGACCACTGCTGCTCAACCCTGTCAGACAGCAAAGGGAATACACTTTTGCCAAGCTTTTAAAGAACCATTACTGTCATAGGGAGTGGTCTGACACAAGCCAGGAATGGGACTACAGAGGGAAATAACACGGTAACCTTGGCTTTATAGTGCACACACACACACAAAGATATGCTCTAATGGAGCCAAAAATACTGGGTGCTGCTCCAAGCAGATAAACAAAACTTTTACTTTATCACAGAAAAAAAGGTAGGAGCAGTAAATTCCATATCTTATATAATTCTTAAACATTTAGAAGAAAAAAGCGAGACTTGAGGCATATTCTTGGTCTGTTTCACACTCACCGGTATACCTTTTAGAAAAATATCAGATAGCCTTGAAGTATTATCAGGTGTCATTCAGTCCATTGGTGAAAGATAGGTCAACTCCTGCTGGAAAGTCTTTCATAAGCAATAGAATCAAAATGAATGGCTTCATGGTCTGCTCAATAATTCATCGTTAGAATGAATTTAGTCCAGATGGAAATCACACTGACAACTCCATAACAAAAAATAATTTTTCACTGTAACTATTATGTAACTCATCAAAAATACATGTTTTAACCCTAACTGTATAAAGATGCTTTTATAAGAAACAGACTACAGTACCTAAACAAGCCTTCATAACAAATCTCCTTCAGTGTTGCTCACAGTTGCTTGCGCTGTTCAACTTTTACTTAACATGCTTAACTAGAATCTTCTGAAGAAAAAAAAATCATCCAGCTGACCATAAACTATCAAATATGTAAATGATTGTAAATATTTTATGTAGAAATTGTAAAAACAGGGAATTTGTTATTAGCTGCATGGCTGACATTTACCCCTTACACTTAGTGGTGTCCTGATATCAGATATTGGTCCGATCAGCAAAAAACGAATATTGGCTTATATCGGCCAGCATCTAAAATCTCCGATACAAGCAGTCCATTCCAGACTTTGCTCCGACACCTCTAACTAGCAGCGCCCTGATCAAGCAAGCTGAGCCCCCAAAATCACAACAACAGTGTGTGTACTAAGGTACAAACAAAGTAGCAAGGAGTAAGAGTGATGTTGGCCTTGTGGCAGTATTTTTTGTTGAGGTCCGAAAAAGACAATGCAGCTGAGCGAAAAACTTGTCATGCACAATTTTGTACCAATATCAGATCAGTATCGGTCAATATTGAAGGCTACAATAGCGGTATAATATCGGAGGTGAAAAAGTTGTATTGGGACACCCCTACTTAAACTGCTTTAAGGTATTGAAAATTACAATATAAAAACGGACTGTTTTGTTAGTAATGGTCTTGTTTATTCATAAAAAGGCATCAGCATGAGTTTTAACATTTTCAAATAGCTCCTCATTGAAGCTTTACATATGTTTTACCATACAATCCTTAAATTTGTTCCTCCTATGTTTTAAGACTAACTTGTTTTCAGCAAAGTTGAGTATTGGGTTGTGTGATTATATGGTGTGCTTTTTGCTTCTGCACAAAAACAAATTGGTCCTCCAGTACCGATGCTTCAATCAGTCAGATACTGACATGCTGCTATTCCATGAATAATTAATGTATATCTCTATCATACACAAATTCTATCCAAATGGAATCTGTGCCCTAGGGTCTGGACTTTCAGTATGGGAGGTGCTCTGGTTCCTGTAGAGGTTCACAAAGTATTGACCGGTCATGTTTCTGCAAAAATATGTGGAATTCGAGCCAAACTAACAACAGCTGGTAACCCAACAGTATATACCCCTGAACAGATACCTGCATGAAATTGCTTCTCTGGATTCAACAATTCCAACTTGAGCAACAAAATCTGCTTGAAGCTGTGTTACAAAAATCAATTAGTGTTCAGGCTGCCAAACTACATGAAAAGCCCCAGAAATGATTGATCAGACCTGTGTTCAACAAACATGTGGATTCTGAAAGTTTCTTTTCCCCTTCAGGACAGACTTCACAAAACCTGCATTTCAGCTTCAAATCTTTATCTTGATGTTATTTTGCCAAATGAAAGCCAAAGTGAAGCCTCTGTGTATTTTACCATCCACAGATGACCTGACTTTTACTTGCAGATGAATTGAACAGATGAATGGGCACTACTTCAGGGGATGATACGGATCAAGAAAATTGATGTGTTTTCATGCAGGTAAAACCGTGACTCGGAAAAGAAAGTCTTTGTTAGTGGTAATATAACACTATAAGCCCACTCTTAAATCACTGATGAGTTGGCAATTGTCATCCGAGACATTGCATAGGATTTGTTAGACAATGATAAACTGTGATTGCTGATGGATACCAAGAACATCATCTTAAAATTTCTAGGTGACCCCGTATGCCATCAATCGATATTCATATTTTTTGGCTGTTATTTTGTCCATTTAAATATACATTTCTGCTATTGTGTTAAAGTTGAATTTCCAGCTATTTTTTTGGCTTTTTTCCAATAGCAAAATCTTTCAAGCTGTGTTGACTCAACCCCAGCCTTGTTTAAGCATGAACTTTCAACAGTATGAATAAATATGTCCTTAAGACACACAAATGTACAAATGAAAACTTGTTGACTTTACCCTTTCATTATTTACAGCTTAACTCTCATTTCAAAATATAAAAGATTACAAATGCCAAACCCATTTTAGGAACAACGAACATAATAATTCTGTCTGTGAAAAGAATGCGGAAAGCAACTTGGCCTTCTTGGACTGAAAAAATAAAAAAAACAACATAACCCATGGGTTGGAGGGAAATCTAAATGGAGGTAGACGAGCTCTGTGGCTTTTAAATCCCTGGCCTAATGGACTGTATTGACCACATTAATAAAACAGGATATGTGTTTCTAATGTCCTCTCCGTGGTGCATTAGGCTTTGCTTAGACGGTGGTTCCATTTGTTTGTCTGGATGGCAGCTGGGTGCAAGCAAAGATCTGAATCCAAAAACTCATTTGATCACTTGCAGACAGAATGCAGTCAAGAAATCTCAAAATCTTCCCCTCACTCTACGCAGTATATTACTACAAGGTCCATTAAAGGTAACACAAGGACAGCATCTTTGAGATAATGTTCGTAGGAAATTTGACTTATGGATATAATAGAAAAAGGAGGATAAAAGGGTAATGATAAAAGCTGTGCTGAGGGGTTTCTTGATATTATTATGTGGTATTATTATTAGCTTTTTTATGTCAGCCCTTTGGTGTGGCAGATATCCTTTGCCTCTATTCTTTATAGGTGTTCTCAGTCTATATTCAAAAAACTGTGTGACTGCAATTTGCTCTACACAGGACACATGAGCCCTACACTCTGTTGTTTGGTCTATAATATTCAGGATATATACTTTATGCATCCACTTGTAACATTTCATTACTAAAATGCTGACATGCTGACGAGACAGAGCTTGTTAAAGTTACTGAAACACCCACACCAAATGCATATAATGTTCACAGTAGATACATCTTCATCTTCAATTGATGTCCAGTCTGTACATCATAATCAGGTTGTCTTGTTTTGTCTAAAATGTGTCTTCAAACAGCTGTTGTCAGCCATCTCTGTGTTCTTGTTGGCCATAAGTTAAATGACAGACACCTGTCAGCTTTCTGCACTGCCTTGAGAGACCTTCAAATATGCTGTTTGAAGTTACTGATGTCAAGTTCTCTTTCTCTGTCAATCCACCCATCCCGAGATTTTCATTTTTCCCACAGGCCGTTCCAATTGTGGCTTCCTGCCTTTTGCTATCACCTGAACTCCGTATGAACTATGTCTAAAGCACCCAACCACCTCATCGGTTGTTACTTTGACAGAAGTTTTGAGAGAGCTCTTGGAGGGCCCACCTTTATGTGGGTTTTACTTTTTTCACTCTAGATTAAAACAGCAAACACAGCCATGTTTGTGTGTTCTTGGGTTGCAAGTACCAATGCTGCTATATGAAAAATGGCACTACTTTAACACCTTGAACCCCATTTTGTTTTTGACTTACTGCCTGCTGACCTCTGTTTTTAAATAGATTCACTTCAACTCTAACTTTCTAAATCTCCAATGTGAACTCCGAGGCCAAACATTCACAATCATGGCCACTGCAGCAAAGCTAATAATCCCCAAATCAAGGTCTGGTGCACACTGAGCCATATCTTATATTAGAAAAATATCTGTATTTGGTTTTGCACTTAAAATAAAGACATAAAACGACCCAATCAGTCTAAAAGAAGACCTTTAAACTTTTTAAACCACTCCAGCACAAACTCAGTGTTGCGTTCAGGCCTTTTTCACCCTTGAGCGAGCATTGTAGAGGGGAGATTCATGGCTTTGCTAATTAAATTTTTGCAAACCTGGTGGAGCCCCTGGCAGCCATTATCTGCCAACATGATTTTGATTAACTGGACATGAATACACTATTATCTAGAGTTACTGTTTGGGGCTTATAAACATCGGCCCCCTAATTAAAAAGAATAATGCACCACATATCATGTCCCAGGCAATCTGCATTGTACTCGGATGTGGTAAAAAAAAAAATCTGGAAAGTCAAACACCTTTTTAAGTTTGTGCTTAAAAACAAAAAAGATAGGATTTCCTTTACACTGTATATTCATGATTAAGCTTAAACACTTTGACTCTCAGACATGATAATGTGGGCCTTGTTCATGCTGGTCATAATGAAATATATTCACAAACTTGAATGATTCTGAACTCATTTAGAAGCAGTACTACTTAGTACTGGAGGTACTTCATGTTGCAGATTCTGCGCAAATTCATTGTATGACCTGATTCTCTCAGAAGCAACTTGTACACAAAAGCAGTTTGTTGGCACCTTCTACGTAGGCTTTTAGTTTGATGTGAAATTAATGAATGCAATTTCATGTTTCCAGGTCCAACAGCTCTTCTAACATGTCAGCTTGTCACAATCCACTCTGACTGTGGAACAGTACAGAGACGGTGTGATCAGAGAAATAAACAGGTCAATGAATAATGTGAAAACTATTATGAAAACCATCTCAAGAAATGTCTTTGTCCTCTTCCATGATAAATTTAGCCAATAATGCAATAATGCAGCTCAGCCCAATGGTCTTAAAACGATGTTGTGGTTTGGGAAAGTGTAAGTAAACTAAGGCAGAAATCAGATATCTGTTATGGTGGTGCTACAAGAATATCTCTATAGCTGGACCTTTTGAAGTTTGAAGTTTGAAGTTTATTTCGATCTGGTCATATCCATTCAATATATACAGTAAATTACAAGAAAAGAAAGAGAAAAAGAAAAAGAAAACCAGACCGAAAAGGCATAGGCTGAAGCAAAAGCTTATTAACGCCTATCCTTCTTACTAAATAAAAATATTCAAAACATCTTATTCCACACGTTAGGTAGAAAACAAAAACAACACATCAACAAAACAAAGAATAAAAGATGACTCAGAAGAAAGAAAAAAATAAATAAAAATAATAATAATCAAATTAAATCCAGAATATAAATTAATCCATAACCTCAATCATTATTTCTATAATTTTCTATCACCTTGCTTTTAAACAACGCTTTAAATTTGTGAATAGTCTGACACGTTTTTAATTCATCGTCAAGGGCATTCCATAAATTCACACCTTTAACTGAAGTACACTGTTCTTTGGTCTTGGTTCTAGTTTTTATTTTTTCCATCAAATGTGTCCCACGGAGTTCATACCTACATTCCCTTTTTTTAAACATATTGACAATTTTACACGGCAATGAATTATTATGTACTTTGTACATGGTCTGTGCTATTTTGTAGTCCACCAGGTCCTTAAATTTTAATTCACTACAAAATAGCACCAGAGTGTGGAAGGACATACTTTCCTCACGTAGTTTAAATTGTGCTTTTGAACAATGAAACTGTAAAATGAAAACACCTGAAAAGCAAACTCAGCAAGGCTCAGCTGGGGTGTGGAAGGCTGCTGCTTCTTAATGGACAGATTCAGGGTTCAAATCCAGAAGAAGGGCTCTATATGTCAGCAAGGAAGAAAATGCCATCCTCACTTATAGTTAAAACCATTAATTCAAGCTTCCACTGTCAAAAGATAAAAGGACTGAAGACTTTAAAAATGAAGCAATGACAGGCTAACCTGTAGATGAGTGATGAAGCCTGCTACCTGTCAATGAAATGATCCTGGGTTCAAAACCAGGACAGAGATACACCTTTAAGTCTCAAAGGTTTCTTGTTAACCTGTGGTTAAGAGGTCATTGGTTCAATTCCAGGATAGAAACACTTTATGTCAACTGCTTTTTTAACCATGTAGCTTGAGCTGTGGTTTGAATTCCTTATTTGAACTACTACAGTCAAAAAGTAAACTTGATAAGGACGGACAAAAGCAAACACTGTAGTGTATTGGGTCAGGCTGCTGACACTTTATAAAAAGGGTTCTGGGATCAAGTTTAGGAAAATAGTTGTACATTTAAGCCAAGATTTAAAAAAAATGCTGTTTTCACATTTTTGTGAGGCTGTTTGTTAAACTTTCCGATCAAAATATGAAAGTCAATAGCACTTACAAAAGCAAGAATTCCCCAAAGTAACCTGCAGTGTAGTGCTTAAGGCTGCTGCTGCTTCACAAAAGGATTCTTGGTTCAAATCCAGGATAGAGGTACTTCATCTCAGCCAAGAACATTTTCTTTCTTTACACGTAGTTTGAGCTGCGGCTTGAATTGCTGTTTTAAACTGTCACAGTCAAAAAGTAGATGTAACCTACAAAAGCAATTACTGCCGGGCAAACTTGTAGTTAATGGTGAAAGCTGCTGCCACTGTATGAAAGGACTCTGGGTTCAAATCCAGGTCTGTTTGTGTGAAGGGGGAAAAAAGAAATCCCTTCCTGAAATGTCATTTGAGAAGTGATTTTAAAGAATGAATAATGAAAAGGTGAAATGAAAAGTCCAAAAAAAAAAAAAAAGTCCTGCGGTTCAATGGTTGCCGACTGTCAGTGAAATGGTTCTGGGTTCGATTCCTGTGCAGGGTGACAGTGAGGATGAGGCAGGGACAATAGAAAGGTGAGACAGGAAAGAAAGGAAGTGGAGGAGTGAAGGATGGAAAAAGGAAAAGGACAGATTAACATCGGTTAAAACATTTTCACTCCTAAGAGGGGTCAAGATAAAGAGGGGCCTCAGACATTTGAAACCTACGTAGATTTTTACACCAGTAAGGCGTTTCAACACATTTTGGGTTCCCATTTAATTAGTCTTCTCAAAAAAAAAATTTGAATTTGTGGACGATATTACATGGCACAGCAAAGAGCTTAGATGTTTCAAAGACAGCTAAGAAACACAGTATATAGTATCATCCCCAAGGACATGTCAAGGCAGAAAAGAAATGAAAAAGAATAAAAGAAAACCTGGCTGTGCAAGAGATGATGTCCATCATTTGATGCCTCTAGTCCAAGCCTCACAGCTTCTTTGGGAATCTATTGTGTTACTCACCTGCGGAGCCAATCTCCATTAGCTTTTGACACTTAAAGAAGTAGATTGGATTGCTAGGGCTCTAGGTATGTTATTTTTTTAGAGCTTTGTAATAACTTTGAAACTGTGTCACCTGACAAAAAAGCAGTGGGGCTGCTGGGTATGCCAAACCAGGCGGCAAGCAGTAACTCAAAATAAAAAAAAAATAAATAAAATGAGAGAACAGCATTTAACCGGATACCTTGTCCTCTTGCACTAATGCAACAGTGGTTCTTATTCCCATGATGACAGCTGCTGACTGAAGAGTAAAAAAACACTTCAATCTAAGAGTTTAAAGATCTTAAATTAATAAGAGTATAAAATGACTCTTCAAGTTGGAGTTAAGCACATGAATCTGTCTCTCCTTGAATTGCAGAAACTCCTCATTACTGCATTCAGTCCTGAATCTATTCAGTCTTTTTTAGCACATTGGCCGCATGACAATTTCTTCTCCCTTTTCTTCTCCTCTTTTCTTCCTCCTTTTTCCTTGGTTCGGCAGAAAATAAGAAATAAAACCATGTTGTGCTTATATAGACAAATGCATAAATCCAGACGAAAAATGTACATTTGGTGTTGCAAATCCTAATGTAATCATTTCATCTTTCAAAATAACTTTGACTGGAGCAATTTAGGTGTTTTGAAATATGGTTTTGATTCCAATAACAGAGACGGAGAGAAAAAGTTTTAAAAATAATAATCAAGAAGAAATTGATATCAAAAGAAGTGAATGCCTTTGATCTCCCTTTGATTCTTTCAAGAATTAAAAACATTTAATACCCAGCACTCTTACTTATTTCCCTCTCGTGTTAAATATTTGATTTTGGTTGGTCTAAACCACAAAAATAATAATGAATTCTGAGCTGCAATAAACAATCGACATCCAGGTCACACACATATCGAGTAAATGCACAGAAAGACACTTTCATAGCATTTGTAGTTTATGATTTTACCTCCTATACTTTTCATTGAGATGTTGTCTTACTCTGTCTGGGTTTTATTTCCCATAACAAACCCGTACATCATTACTTTATTTAGCTTTTTCTTTTTAAAGTATGGGATAAAAAGTTCAAGCTAATTGCATTTGGTATTACATTGTAGCAGAAAAACTCAGCCTGTAAGTGCTTTTTACAAGTTTTATAACAATGTGTTTACATGCAGTTTGAAATGGATTTATTTCCCTAGTCAGTCTGAAACTGGACTTTTCAAAAACATGTAAACTCAGTCCAACTGCTGTCGCAGTTTCAGACTAACAGGACATAACTGTAAAAATAACAGTGTTGTAGTTTGATGTACATCCTGTTAGCCTCTTGCTAACGCATTTTAATACAGTAGGCGACCGCACAGCAATGAGCTGAAAGGAAACATGTCGCCTCCTAATGTAGCAAAGGTGGACACGCTTCTGTTGATAATTAGATTCTTTCTCTGTGCTTCACTGTGACAAAGACAGTTGCATGGTAAAATCAGCTAATCGAGCTATGAACATAGCTTAACTTAACTGTGCAATTACAAATACTGACTGACAGCATTACAGAGTACTGCAAGAGAACATTGTTACTTAAAAAAACCAAGACCCAGTTGATATTTGAATTTTCTATGCAAACTCTTCTTCAGGATTTATTGACAAAATCTAATTTATGAGACACCATGATAAATCCTCTCTAATAATTGCTCTTGGAGAAATATAAATCAACTTAAATTACACAAATTGTGATCTTCATGGAAGTGTTTAAGAGGTATCCATTTGTTCAGCGAGACGGATGGCAAAATTAAGTGCAGATTTATTGTTGTCAAAACGTATCTTCATTTATTCTAACTCTGGTTGCGATTCTAATTCTTAAATCACTAAATAAATTTTAACAGCATTGTAGTGCATTGCAAAGGAGCAGGGTTGGTTGTCACAATTTATACTCTTTTAATGAGCGTCTCCCCATCAACACATCTCAGAATATCTTTATCACAAGGAAGCTTCATGTCTTGGGTTGGAATCGATATCCTTTTCAATTTTTCACTCTTTATTTTTACACATTGTGACAAGGATCCTTATACTGGGGTTGGTTGTCATACATAATAGGTTTGGTTATCCCTCGTTATTTGAATGACTTTTTATTTTTAGATGATGACATCTGAATGAAATTCAAGAGGTTTTGTTTTATAATAAAGTATCTTGCCAATGTTCTATAATTGATGTTAAACGTATTGGTAGTGCTCCGGATGCCCTTGTGCTGTATCTTTATCTGCCTGACTGCCATCATCATTATCACCTCAGTTGGAGTCTCGCCCTTCTTTCTCGCAAACTTCCTTGTGGTCTTCTTTAGCATAAAATATAGAGCTGCATATAAATTTTCCCATATTCAAACTACTTCAGAATTCATTGAAGGAAACCATTTTCCGAGAACACATGTTCAACCTCTGAAGGGAACAAAATTTAACATGGATGTATCTTCACCGTAAGTTATGTTTAATTTAGCCTTAACTGATTATAAATGCCATGAACCAGTAAAAACGGTTCCTGTGATCTCAGTCTGACACAAAACCACATACAGAAACCTTGTGAATGGTCTCTTTCGGTCCAGCTCTGAAAGAGATGTGCAATTACATTTGAGGATTGCTCTTTGAAGGTTGCCCTTTGAGGATCATATCTTTTACTTTGGCATCAATCTCAGGAATCAGTACGGAGCTTCCACAGGATGTTAACGCAATAGACTGTAGATATCGCCCACACAGCTTCAAAGAGACTTAAGATTTCTTGATGTGTTTTTTTTTTTTATTTTTATATATCCTCTTGTGGTAGCTGCTTAGCTCAGGTACTCTGAAATTATGTGAATATATTTTTCACAAAGATATAAGGCTGCTTGACATTAAAGATTTCTACAATCCAAAATACTGTGTTTGAAAGTGTGTAAAGTTTGAAGGCTTAATTCCTTGAAAAAGTTTCTGACAAAGACACTTACAAGGCTTATCCCACCCAAGTACTGCTTCATGTACAAGTACTTTTACTTTTCTGAAGGGTTATTCAACCACCATCCAAGCTCTGTCCATAATCGTATTCTCAAACACTTTAACCACTTGAACTCTGGTGGCCTCTAGAAAGGATGATAAAAGAAAGGCACATTAAAGGAAAAAAGTTAGTCTTACCTGAATTTGGGATGCATTAACTGATGACTACAGCCTTGTTGGTACTTCTCATTCATTATGCTTTTCTTAGTATTCCCTAAAATCAGCTTTGATTTGTCTTGATTCTAAAGCATGGACCCAGCAGCAACGAGGGCTTCAGCTAACTCCCATCCTCATCCCTGTAATTTTGTTTATACCTGCCACAGGCCGGAGCATAATTTGACGTAACAGAGTTTTACCTCCTTCTTGTCTGCAGAATATCGTGACCCTTCATTACAAAGCTTTCATGTATCCAGTTCCTCACCGTAGCACAGGGATTTGGTTGGGGTTGGAGTGGATTGGTTTGAGTGAAGTCTGCAGGAAGCACTCTTCTTAATGCTGGCACTGGAGCGATGTTTAAATGTGCTCCAGGGCTCTCAAGCAAAGACCCTTCCCCTCAATTAGATTGATTCAGAAGCCTGTGGCTTTGACCTCCTCTGAAACACAATTTGTCTAATTTCTCTCTGATTTTAGGATGTCTCGAGCAATCTCACAAGTGCTTACAGTTTCCAGGTTCTGCAAGTGTTCTGCCACTCCACTTCTTTTTATCTTACATCATGCACTACGGTATATCTATTCATGAGAGCTAAGAGGTTTGACCAGACCAACACTTCCATAGGCGCTGACATGGACGCAAGTTTATTTACACAATGTGAGCATCGAAATGAAAACTGCTTCAGTGGAAAATAACAATGGTACATGAGCTACATACCACGACACTTTGCTCTAGGCATACAAAAGGGTCCAATGACATTCAGGTATGTCTCAGCAGTAATCTCCATGGCACAGGGAGGAATCTGCCACACGACTTTATGCTGTTGAAGGCTTGTAACAACACAGATTTGATAGAAATATAATAACCGCCCTTGAAACGACTTCATTAAATTGCCTAAAAGCTTTAAATCCCATGACCTGAATATAAATAAAATCATTCTTTGTGCACAATCTTATTTGCTGCAGTTGATTTAGCCCAGGCTATTAGGTGGACTTCTCCATCTGTAAAAGAAAATCCCAACTGCATTGCTTTAAAAGCTCTTCACCTCCAGTGCCGCCTTTTAGGCAGAGATGTTTTGTTGATGGCTATTATCTTCAAGTTGGATAGATCTAGAGCAAAGAAAATGTTGCTTTAAAAATGTCCTCCAGATTTCAGACAGGACAAAAGCCCAAAGTGGCTAGACGGTCAGGTCAAACCTGGTGTCTGTATGAATGTCCTGGTGCAATTATTCAACTGGTTCTACATCGTGATATTTATGAAAAGGATAGCAGCTCCGGAGGACATACGTAAGAATAAAGAAAAAAAAATCTACATATTAATTGACGGGTAAATGATTTGCCCAGAGTGCAAAAGTATCAAACTCTTAATTAATTTTTATCTATGCAGCAAAAGTTTTCTCATGACCCTCAACACAAACGGCAGGTCTATGTTCCCTGTAACATCATTTGCAGAGACTCAACATTGATCAACCATGATAAAGCTCTTGGCAGAAGTGACCAAAAACTCTGTCCACTGAACAGGCAGAAACCTCAACTAGATCCAGACTCATTGGTGGACAGCCATCTGCCATGAATAAACCTAGAAAGTAGAAAAATTGACCTCAACATTAACCTTTGACCTTACTGAAGTTCAGTCACTTCCCCTTGTTTTTTTTTTTTTTTGTCCAGAGATATTCAACAGGGATTACTGTACATGTTCCCAGGTTCTGGTAGCCTGGCTGGGCCATCCAGTTGCGTGAATCACTCTCCGTTCCTTCCCACAACAGTCTGGACTTCGGCCAATTGGGAGCCTGTATTAGAAATCAGAAAATAAGCGGGCCAATCAGTGACTGTGTTTCCACTGTTCCCCGGACAACAGGGAAAGGCAGCCACTTATTGATCCATGTGTAGATGGTGACGTCTAACACGTGCTTCGGGACTTTTCAAAGCGCCGTTCATACAGAACGCCGTTAATTCTGCAGTTGACCTTGCAAAGTCGTCAGAAATCGTTTATATCCGCAGAAGAAGACGTAATAGACATTGTTTGCTCACACAGAGCCCAGCAGGTAACACAGTTGCACACTGTGATGACGTCAGATGTTTGGTTACGGTGATTGGTTACAGTAGTCTTTCTATCAAGGAAAGTACTCCCACCCACTTTTAGGGCTTCCAATTGGCCGAAGTCCAGACTGTTGTGGGAAGGAACAGCAAGTGATTCACGCAACTGGATGGCCCAGCCAGGCTAAGGTTCTGGTGCTTACATGTGAAATATTTCCAGTAGGGCTGTTGTGATGTATTGGTACTGATAATAACCAACACTAACATTGTTTTTATTAGTGTTTCTGTATGCTGGTTGCCATATATCATAATAAAATAGATAATATCCAGTCAGCGAGCTAGCTGAAGCAGCCCACTGAGATGGGATTGGGCACTTTTTGGACAAATTTTAAAGATGTTTTGTACAACCAAAAACAATGTAAGAGCCTGTGACTCTCTGAGTTACCAAGAAAAACTAGACATTAATACTTAATAAGCATTCTTTTGACTGTTTTCGTTCAGTTCTGCAACAGATCTACAGGGAGTAGCATAAATAAATTGAGGCAACTATAATCCAAGATAGGGAAAAAAAAATCCAAATAAAAGCACACACACAAAAAAACAATCCCTCAAAGAGACAATGAGTCAGTCCCAAGGCAGATGATAAATCATGTTTGAATATTTTTAGAGTTGGATGATGACATGTAAGGCTAATTGGGTTTATCAATTAAGTTTATGAAATAATGTGTTGCTCCACCCTTGTCTTGCAGTGCCTCAATTTGACTGATTCTATTGTTTTGCTTTCAAGTTTTACCGCAACTAAAATCTGATATTATGACAGCTCTTATTAGAAGCAAAGCAAAGGTTAAAGCTATGCTGCCGTCCCATGGGACATATTGGTGTATAATTGAACAGTTAGGTATGACATGCATAAGTAAAAGCAGGAGAGAATGAAGAGAGAGTATGACATCCTAAATTAACAACCCTATTGGTGATGACAGTATGCGCACTCAGCAGATCACAGACGCACCATCTTGTGGTTGACAAAGGATACGTCTCCATTTAGATCCTCGTGTGGTTTGAGAAGCCTGAGACCAGATGTGGCCCAAGGGAGAAGCGGACCAGCTGGATATTTTTTATAAGCTCCGCACAATGAATGACGACGTTGTAAATATTTATTGAAGTATATACAGGTCCTTGGTTGAAGGGAACATTTGAAGCACAAAGAGCTGCATGGCTCATTTGCCCTAAGAAAATAGATTGAAATAATTACGAGTTATAGAGCTGATAAACTTATTGGTGCTTAACTTTAATCTCTGCTTACATAATAGCCTTTTAGCATAGATTTTAACACTGTACAGATAATGGTCTCTTATCCCTCTGGTGTTTTGCTGTTGAGAAAAACTCACTTTTTAAACTGACCTTGGAGAATTTGACTTTGATGACACCGTGACTCTCCGCATTGTCTCTGCCACTGCATTCTATAAACAGATAGTGGCTCAAATAGGATTTTCTCCCCTGGGATGCAGTAGCAATAATCCACTTTGTTACGTTACCTTACATGACAGGCAAATTTCTCAATTTCCCCTAAGTGGTGGGGAGTCAAGACTGTGCTTAGGTTTGCATTTCGAATCTGAGCACACACACACACACACATACATTTTTGAGTATTTAGATGTGAAAGTCCAAAGACAAGACTGGGACTAGCTTAGTCATGGCAGTTGAAGCCATTTCGAAATGCTTTTAATGACTAAGCTCTCCGTTCCAAATTTGGTGCTGCCATTTTTCCATTTCTCTCTCTCTTTTGAGTGTCGCCCAGCCATCTGTAGTATCCTGGAGTGGTCCCTAAACATATCCATACAGTGAATGGTCAGACGTGGCACACAAGAAAAGGACAAGGAAAACATATCATAAATCATAAGAGCTCCAGGCCAGAAAGGCAACAGCAACATCACACCATTTGTCTCTTTCTCTTTCATCCGCTCTATCTCTCCTGCCTCCATTTTATCCTCCTCCCCTCCATTCATCATTCCCTGTAGCCCATCCTTTTAGTCCAGCCTTAATCCCATTTTCCCTTCATCCACTTCTCCTCCCTCACATCTCCTACTTTTGACTTCGAGGCTGTGTTGAAGGCCAGTTTTTGTCTGACTGTTTACTGTTGCTAGGAAACATGAAAGTCCTCAGACATGGCGCATTGATTTGTTCTTTTTGATTTGTGAGTGCGTGTATCTGCGCAAACGAGCAGGTGTTTCTCTAAATTATTCTCCAAGGCCAAAGGCAAATCTGTGAATCAGATACAAAAATGGTGGTGAGATTGTTGTAGAGAAAAAAAGGGAACATTTGAGGCACTTTGAGTCAAGCTGAAAATAAAATTCACGAGTTTCATACAATTACCAAACTCTTACTGCTTTCGCCCGTTTGTGATCAGACTAGATTCTTCTTTCTTGCGTAAGTTGTCAGAAGATGTTAACAGAGTTGTTCCAGTTGTTTTTTTTTTCTTGCCGGTAGATCAAAAAACTGGATCAGCAAAAGACCAAGAAAAACACCCATGCAGAAAAAAGTTAGTTTCTTATCATTTCATTGGTATTAGTGGTAAGAGGCGCCTGCTCTACTCAATAGTAGAGCCGATCGTGGCTCAATCAGAAGGTCGGGGGTTCAATCCGAGGCCCACGTGCCGAGGAGTCCTTGAGTGAGTCACTTGACCCGGTGTGCCCTCGTTGGCTGAGCACAATGGGATTCACTGTGAATGGGATTAGTCAAAAACTGATAGGCTCTATTTAGCAGCCTCTGCCATCAGTGTGTGAATGTGGTGTTAATGTGTGAATGTGACATATAATGTAAAAATACTTTAATACTTGAGAAAGTGCTGAATAATCAAAGTTCATTTACAATTCAACAGTCTAGGTGCCTATGAACTGGTTTATAGCACCATTTCACAGTTCTGATCTGGTTGATTGAGGTTTTGTTGTGCTATCTCTGCAAACTATTCTCAGTGTCTTTGCTCTCATGACACTCAGAAATTGGCCTTTGACCTTTCACAAGAGTATTGCCAGTCTGGGTGACCGACCAGGCAGTGTACGGAGGAAACAGCATTGACATGCAATTTACTGCCTCCGCCTAAAATTAGGGTGACCATAGGTCCTCTTTTACCCGGGTTGTCCTCTTTTTTGGGGGGCTGTCCAGCCTTGTCTGGCCTTGTCCGGGGGAGTTTATAAAATCCTTCAAATGCCTGGGGTTTAGTATGGAAGTTTTGAGTTTGTGTCACATGGACTTAATGAGTTAGAAGCGCGTAAAAAACACTCAACTTGACTTGAAAACTCTCAAGTTTACTTTGCGTGACTCTGTGACTCCGTTCCCACGTAGTTTTTGGGGATTCAGAATATGGTCACCCTACCTGAAATGATGCTATGTGGACTCATAATGAAGGCAAAAAACAGAGAAAAAACTCACGAAAAGCTCGTCAGCCTGTATTTTAAAGAAAATAAGTTGTATATTCCACAAGACAGATGTCACAAGGCTAAGCCCTATGAAGAAACATGCTATAAGGCTAGCTTTAGCAAGCAGCAGCATGAGTAACCCAACAATAAACAGTTTTTCTTATCATTTGGCTTGATGCCTTTTGTAGTTGGTTGATTCATTCAATCAAAGTTCTGAGACACCAAGTAAACAGCATTATATTGAGCATGATAAAACTATTTCACAAGTTAAGAATGAAGTTAAATAACTTCTTAATAAAGAGAGAGACAAAATATCTAAATGTCATGAACTAGTCATTCGTCACAATTGCGGAGAAGCTGAGAGGATAGATCAACAGTGTTATCGTTTTCATCATTACAATTTGAACATGACAGAACTGCTCTGTTGTCTAATGTGGTACAATGAGCTCTGTCATGTCATATAACACATTTTCATATTTCACTTCCCAGCTAGCTGTCATAGTGAGACAACTTAGTATAGGTGTTTAAAAAAAGACCACAGTTATTGTTTAAGATTTCACAGTAGGCCGAGTCTGTTTTTTGTGGAAAAGTAATCATCACTATGATGTTATTTTGAAAGACACTGTCTCTTTTTCTTCCTCATCATACAAAATTAAAATAACTTTGGATTTTAAATTTGTGCTAAACCAAACATTATTGAAATACACTGAATTGTTTTTTATTCAGTGGTTTGTTTTGAATGGAGTTAAAGCCAACAAGGTTTAAATTGGACAACGAATGAAAAACAAGCATTTGAAAAGTTGTTAACTTCCCATCTTGAAGGCAGACCTGACAAACCCTGCATTTTCACACAATCATAACACACGGTGTTGTTATTTTGGCTAAAATGAAACCTGTTGATTGCGAGTAAGAAAAAGACCAGTTTTTGTTATTTGTTGTTGTTTTATACCCTTGAAGCAATCCAAGAGTGAAAACTCTGTGAAAATTACATTTTTATAATTAGACAGATGAACAGACACTATTCAAAGAAAAGTCTTTCTGATGCAGCCATAAATGCTGTGGGTAACAGTGTTTTGGCTGCAGGTAAACCAAGCGTCATGCCTGTGTACCTTCATGTCTACGGTAAAATTGGGTCTCACCAAGAACAGATGAACCAGCACTGTTCCAGGGGATGTGGAAAAAAAGTGATGCAATATAATGATCACTGCGTCCCTCCAAAATATCAAACATCAATATAAAATAAACTAAATATCTAACCCTAATTCATGTGCGCTACAGGTAAATAAAGGTAAACTACCTTATCAGTGAATGGTGGACCCATAATAGAGAAGTTGTGCATCACAGCCACCTACGTAGTCAATGTGTAGAGCTTTCTTCAATTAGGAACATGAATTCACCAAATTGTTATAAACTTCGCTTTTCCAACTTAAGGACACACTAACAACTGTCTTGAGTTGTGGTGTTAAGTTAGTGAAAGGCTGGACTAAATCTAGTCTTAGGGTAAGGAGTTCTTGTTCTGTGTACATCTATGTGACATATAAAAGCTGGTGCCTTTCATTGAGTCTCCCATGCTCAGAACATTCAGTAATATAGTTTTATGATTTTATTTCTCATTTGATTTTGTCGTCTCTTCCCAGGCTCTCTGCTTGAACCTAATCTAAATTTACTGTCGCTTCAATTATATTCAGTAATGAATTGTTTTGAATTCTGTTCAGCGCAAACCATGACCAAGGCCTCTCCCTAAAAACATGACAAAACAAGTAATAAAGTAAAATGCAATACTGAGGATGGATGGCGTGATCCATGTGTGGACAGCAAAGCAGCTACATCTGCAGCTTCAAAAAAAAAATAGCTCTGGGAAAATCGCTGTAGTTCCTCAGCTGCAGAACAGTTTAATCACATTTTTCATACGATAGGGTAAGTATTAAAGGGAGGATGGAGAAGGGAAAATGTCTGAAGGACAAAAGCATGATGCATGCTTCGCAGTGTGATGACTGCAGATAGGGTCTGGATGTCTTTTATTGCTTTTATATTTGCTCCTGTCCTTGGGGTTCTTCATGAATTGGAATTTGTTTCCCCGAGGTGTATTTCTTCCCCCCACGCAGTGACAATAAGCACATCCAAATGCCAGGTAAGGAACATGCCTCTCACAGGCCTGCTTAGGCTGTTATGAAACTCGTACTTAACACTAAAATAAGGTTTCAAGTAATACTTTAAAAAGGTAACCATATTAAATTTCAGTAAACTATGACATAAAACATGTTCTTATTAACAAATAAGATAAATAATGAAAAAAAGAAAAGAATAAAAGACCTGCAGCACTGGTGAAGCAGCTGCACTTAAGCAGCTTATTAACATCAAAGATGCACACAGTAGCTGCGTTTACATGGGCACAAATAATCAGAATAAATGCCCAATCAGAATAAAAATGCATCATGTAAACATGTCGATTGGAAGATTCTGATCCAATTCAGCTCAATTGAAAAGAATTGTATTCCGCAGTAAGAGGGGTGGTTTATGCCAATCATTATTCGGAAACACGTCCATGTAAACACTTACTTCGATCGCGACTCTCATACCTGATTCGATCTTCACTCTTCAGCCTTTGGTTAAAGGCATAAAACACAACCCCATGTTCCGTGTCTGCTCCTTCGGTAACATAACAAGGCGTACATACAGCGTAATGATGTCACATCTGCACGCACAGTGCAAGTTTGACAGAACAGTAAAGTAAGAGCGCCATCTAGTGACAACATTCAACAGGGGTAAAACTCCTGAATTGGATGGAGTGAGCCACTACCGCGTTTGTTGGTTTGTTGACAGCACAGGCGTAAATGCAACTCTTCCTCCATGGTTGTTCCGCACATGTTCAAATGCTTCTAATCTAAATAAAGCTTGGTGCATATATAGGCACGTCATGATCGGATTATTTGACTTTACACATATATAAGTAGTGGATTCAGATTATCCGATCCCTCAAATTTTTAATCGGATCAAGAAATTCTGCCCATGTAAACGTGGCTACTGTCGCCACAAAAGTAGAGGTACCTGTAGCTATTCACTCCAATATATTTGTGGGCCTATCTTTCAAGGGCTTTGTTTCATTTCCCTCTTCAGTCCAACAGTCCAACACCTCATTCCCTCAATTTATGATGATACAAAGGTTAGAGACTCAGAGATAGACATGCACAACTGCACAAGTGTACTCCAAAAGTCCTTTTAAGCTGTCTGGTGTTCCAGGGGAGGCAGCCCCCATATTCACACTTAAAACTAACTGAATGAATAAAAAGCTGAAGGTGCTCCTGCTCATGCCAGATGCCTGCCAGATGTCATATGGGAGCCAAGAAAGCATGGGGGCTGTCACTTTCCCTGTGACAGGGAGCATGCAGGGACCTAATGGTTTGCCCTCACTGTCAGCTGCAACCACCCAGCAGATCCCACCGAGGAGTGCTCAGGAGGTGTGCGGCTTTGTTGTTTACTCCTCCCGAGACAGCTTGATGAATGGATTTGTGAGTGAGAGGATAAATTCTTTGCCCCCATAGATTGGTTGTCCCAACCTGGTGTGGCCAGTTCCCATGTTCTCTGCAAATTGTTTCAATAAATAATCATTCCAACATGTCAAGAGACAACACATTTAACATGCCCTTCCATACATGTGGTTCCCAAACTGTTTTCTTTATGCTATAAGATCAAAATGTGCTCTTGTCTCAAGTGTGTTCATTTGACACTGGTGGGCGGTTGTATTTAAACTAGGCTACCAATCAGGGTGTCATTCAGGGTTGTGTTATTCCTGTCACAGTGCTGCAGTATAATGATTATTCAATTGCAAACACATGTCTAGAATGAACGAATAGTGCTTGGTGACTTTCTTCAGATATTAATTTGCCACATTGGTGTCAGTCAGGAACAAGTACTGACTGAAAAAAAGCATTCTCATCTCAACTGAGTGATATAAAACTTCTATTTTACAATTGAATACCAGTCAATCAGTACAATAAGGCATAATGTATAGCAAGCGGGTAGTCAATAAAAATACTATTGTGTAAAGACAAGACAAATGAAGGGTTTTGTGCACCCTATACATTTTTCTGCTTATTTCTGACTACTATCTACTGCCAAGTATTGATTTGAGGATGATTTTAGTCTTAAAATCTATAGTCTTGGTTTGCCGTGCTTCCATGGCAACAGTGTACCTATCAGTGCACTAGGGGGTCAAATTATCATCAAACATTTCTATTTAGACTTAAATTGCAACTAGTATTCTTAACCAATGTAGAAAATAACAGTAGCACCTGTAAAAAGTTGCTTTGACTCCTGTTATTTCATTTTCACTCAACAAGTCCCAAAAAGCTGCCAAAGCCTATTCTTTTCCTGTTTGTTTCATGTCTGTTTTCTTCAATTTGATTGATGTCTCTTACACTCAGTTCCCTTTCTATTTTAACAACCTTTACTAGCCCCAGTGCTGTTTTCTTCGTCTTGTCTTCTTTGCTCTACTGGTGACTGATCTGCTATTTACCACAGAAAAATGGCACAAAAACAAAGGGTCTATCTGATGGCCAGATTTTCAAGGTAGAGTGTACACTTACTCTGAGATTAGGTCTTGGGTCACAGTCTCTCAAAAGCAGAGTTGGCCCCATCTGCCAAAAACGATAGCATCCCTTGCGCCGTGTTTCTACCAGCAGTTTAGTTTTCACTCTTCGTTTTTGATTTTTTATTTTTTTTTTGGAGCCAAGCTACCTCTGCATCTCTAACTAGTCCACTCAATAGTTACATGTAACTTCAGAAATGTCCCCCCGTGTTGTTTTCCAGTTATACTAGAGCCTGTTTTTTGCCACAGTGTCAACAGGAAGAGGTGAATTATCTGATTTGACATGATATGTGTGAACTGGTTGTCTCCTGTGTTGATCCTACCATGCAGGATTAAATGACTGTGATGGTGTTTTGACCGATCAGGATCAAGTCTTTCACACTGCTAGGCGCAAAGTAGGGAAAATCAGGTATCAAGTTTTAGTATTTAAGCACCGAGTTACAACACAGTTTTCTTATAACATTTCATTAAACTTAATCTAGTCTTTATGCTGTATAATTAACAGAGGCCCAACCATGATCAGGCACCTGACAACACTATCAAGGGAAAAACAGTTTTAACAAGAAGAAATCTTTAGTACCAGATTTATCAGTGCAAGAACTGGGTGGCCTGAGAAAGTGGGACAGAGGGAGGGTCAGGAAGAGAAATGGACTGAGACAAACACAAACATATGTACACAAAGCAAAAAGGAAAAATAATACCAAGAGCAGACGGTAAAGACTTACAAGGTGCCAAGAATAATACCCAGTGCGCATAATTGTGGCCTCAGTCAAAAAGGTGAAAATTCAAGTCATGTAAAAACTTTAAAACAGACCAAAGTGTTTCCCAGGCAAATGCAAAATTAAACACTATACCAAAAATTTAAGATGATAACTTAAAATGATTACACACAAATAAATCTTAAATTCCTGTTTTTAAAATGCTTTCACCTCTTCCGTCGAAAAAGGACACTTTGAGCTGTGCTTTGACAAAATGTGTTGAGTAGGCACATCTTGTGTGAGAGGGCAGTCGCCTCCACAAATAGAGGCACATACCTGAAAAAGTGTGATCCTCCTGAGTTTATGTGAAGCCTGAGGGACAATCAGGAGAGGCTGCTCAGAGGACCTGAGTGGTTGTGCTGGAGTATAAGGATTACAAGGTCTGATAAATAAGAGGCAGCCAATCCATGACTTATAAAGTTTTAAAATGGCCTCTAGAATTTACAGGGAACCAGAGGAAGGTAGATATAAGAGTGGAGTACAATACTTAGAGTGTACCAGGTAAAAGTCTGGTTGCAGCTTTTTTAAAGGATAGACAAACTGACTGACCTCCTTATAGAGGGAGTTATAACAGGTGAAAAAAACATGGATGACCTTAACCTTGGGTAGAGCTTACAGTTATGGACGTCATTTATAGACAATTTTTGGGCTTTGAGTATTAAAACTATATTTCACTGGAAAGGTGTATCCCATAAAATGCAATAGTTTAGTCATTTTCCCCCATTTCTCCTCTGCTGACTAATTACTTTGGAGGTATTTCTTTGCAATAATCATTTCTGTTCTCCTTTTACTAAACTTTGCCAAGTGTAGGGAAAATTCAGTTTGAGGGTGGATCCATCTTGCAAAGCTTCAAGCTGATATCATTGCTTCTGGTCAGAGAATGACCAAACCAATTATGCTCTCTTTGGAAGTTTATCTTAAAAAGTTAGAGGGGATTGTTGGCACCACAGATAAATCGTAGATCACATGATCATACACATACCTAGCAGTGTTTGTAGTTCTGATTGTCTTCAATGTCAAAGCCTTTTTCCAATCGTGCTCTTTTTTTTAAGTTTCCACACTTTCCAAACACCATCTTTGGGATGTTACACAGATAAATTCAAAATATATCCCATGCCATGGACACATTGAATAGTCCATCTGGTGTACCAGGCCTCCTTTTACCTTTAGAGTAAAGATGCATATCAAAATCTCCAACACAAATTGGTGTTCAGGCACATTGATTTCTATTAACAGCATGTTTAACTGGTTGTAATTAGGGTGTTGGCCTACAGATCTGACCTGCTTCCAACCAAATTTCAATATTTCATCCTGGTCAGTGCTTACTGGGTGAAAGTACCTGTAAGTATCATCTGTAAGTTTAATTATGATGCTTAGAGTAAAACAGGTCTTCAACAGAAGGGAAAATATTGTGCAGAATTGCAAAAGTATCCACTTCAAATATTATTATCTAGATGTAACCATGGTCTCAAACCAACTCATTAATGATATAATTAATGACATTAACATGAATAACGTTCCTCTGATACTCATTATTTGATTGAGAGGTGCTTCAGTCATATCCAAGGTTGTTCCTACATGGACTCATTCAAAAGGGAGGCAGCGTTTTGCCACTGCAGTGAATCATCAAGGTCGGCCATGGCGTTCCATTTCCTCCTACCACATTCAGCACATAAGAAATGAACACTAGGCGTATACGTTCCATTACAATATTACAGCAAGTTAAAAAGATAGCTAAGGTTATTTCCTCTCATGCTGATAAAACCAATTTTCCCCTCAGGCCTTAATGAGGACTGCAGAGCCTTTTATATTAGGCTATAGCGCCTTAACCTATGGGATATTGATGAGAGGCAAGCAACTGCAATCATGAAATGATGGTCTTTAAGTCACAACAGCATGAATAACTTAAAGCATTTTCCCAGTGATACAGAGGGTCTGTGAATATTTCTTTTTAGCTCTGTGCATGCTCATAATTCAGCATCAACCTCATCATATACTTTGTACGACACAAGATTAATAAGGTGTGGCTAGAGAGGTCAGAAAGAGGTTAAAAATGTATGTTTGATTAGTCATTTGGGCAAAACATGAGATCAGAGTTTGCAGGTAAACCATGTAGAATTGGTTCACCCGGTGTGGTTATCATGGTCCGAGCTTAACCATCAGCCTTCAGTCTTTCTTGCAGCTTAACCTCCACCTTGTCATGTTGCTCCAGTTGAATAGCTGCATGCCAGTTTCACCAGGCTCAGCCTCCAAACAACTTTATCCTCATTATCTAGACCAAAAAACAGGCAAGACATCAGGGCTGCACGATATATGGTTTGAGCATCGTCATCGCGATGTATGTGTGTGCAATAGTCACACTGCAGAGCCTTCGATGTAGGAGGCAATCAACTCATCTAATTTCAAGAGTAGCTGACTGAGATACACTGCATGTGCTGTGCAGCAATCCGCCAATCACATCAGGCGACCCTGCCAGCCTTCAATCAAAATCAGAGAGGAGGAAACATCGCTCCTGCACATCGAGTGAGTCGCTGGCGCTGCTGGTGTTGTGCCAAGAAACGCATACCTGCCAAGGTATTTGCTTTGGGAACATTTCTTATCACTGTTTAGCCCCACAAATAAGAACTGTATGGGTTTAAGGCCTGGACGATACAGAAAAAAAGCATATCGATAAAAAATAAATCATATTGATCGATAGCGATAATTATCGATATAATTGTTATAATTATTTAACATATATTTTAATTGCAGCCCTGGATGTTTTATGCTATTGCTTAATGATCTATTTTTAATAAAGAACACACAAGCACTGAATTCAAATTCAAACCTTTATTCAACCACCTTTTTTATTTTACCACAACTGAAAGTTTTTTAAAAAGGAACTTAAAAAAAAAAAAGAAATCAACTTAAGTGGCCTGAGTGACGTCAGTAAATACTGACAAACATAAAGACTAAAGTGACCAGAAAATCTGATGAATAAATATTTAAATAGTCTTTTGATGAAAATAAACAAAACAAACAAATATATTAATAAACAGAATAGCTTTAGGTGGGAATAGCATACTACCAGTTTTAACTGTGTGGGAAACTGCCCACAGCCTGGTGTCTGAACACTGAAATATTTCTCCCGGGGTCGGGAGATTTGTTTTTTTTAATTATCATGTGATTGACACAAACTAAGCACGAGAAGCAGGACTTATCCACGCCGGTGTTGTGTCGTAGAATGCACCCCTGCCGAATGCACCCCTGCCGAATGCACCCCCTGCTAGTAGCCATGATCCAAATACTCGCGTCTTTGTAAAATATGAGGTCATTTTCTTCCACTTTAAGAAGCTACACCGGAACGTATTTCCTCCGCACCCTTCTCACCTTTTCAACCCCTGACCCATTTTCATGCCTGAAGCGCTGTGTTTGAGAAATACTTGCGGCCGGGCACTTCATATCGCGGGTCGAGAGTGGCTAGAAGCTGGTCGAAGCCAGGCTTTTCAACGGTAGTTATTGGCAGTATGTCCCTCGCTATGGAGCATGTTACTGCATGGGTGATGTCCTTATGCCGCTCGGACGCTTTGTCGTATTTTGGCAAGAAACGAAGTCCAGTTTGGTCTGCTTCACATGCTTTGTGCTGGTGCTGGCAGCGGTTCCAGAGGATTCCTCCAACGATGACGTGGAGCCGCGGCGCGGCCGACACAGCTCGTACTCCTGCGGGTGCGATCGGTTTAGATGGTAGAACAAGTTGGTTGTGTTACCAGACTTGGTTTTTACTAATTCTCTGCAAATTTTGCAAACGACCGCTGTTCGCTTTTTGTCAGACTTCTAAAAACCAAAACACTGCCATGCTGGTGAACTACTGTAACCTTTTTTCGGGACAATGTCCTCCGCTTCTCCTTGCTGTATCATTTTTTCTAATACACGTGCTGTCTGTTGTGGTTTGATAGGGGCTGGGCTTGGTGCCGTAGCGTACCTGGGTCTGCGTTTGTGATTGGTTGGGAGGAAGTAATGACTGTAGTAAAAAGCTACATGATAGGCTATGATGAAAAAGAAAGGGAAACTGTGTTTTTCTATCGAACTTTTTATCGACCCGTTTTTTTTTCTATCGCACCACACGTCTATCGATCGATATATATTGTTATCGAATTATCGTCCAGCACTAATGGGTTTTAAATTGTACATTTCCGTAGACCAATCTACTACAAGTGGTGCATGTTTTGCGAGGTGCATGCAATCCTCAACGGGCATGTGTTTCTCAGCACAACACCGGTAACATCAACAACAATTGCAAAATGAGCAATGCCAAAAAGAAAAGAAACGTCACTTATCTGTAATTATTTCGGTTGTGTCAGCAGTGCCTTTCATCTGTTGCCACAAGGAGAGATAAGTCCAAGCACAATAAAAGCAAGCTAAAAATATCTGAGACAGACAGAAGCCATTCTACTAACATTTACAAAAAGAGGTAAGATCAGTGCAGGTTAACTGCCGTCAAGATTTCAGCAGTGCTCAACTTATGGTTGGGCCTTCAGGCCAAAATTAACAAAAATATAAGAAATCTGTTTGACAAACTAATAATTCTGGTGCTTACCAGGATGAATGACATGCAATGTCAGTCTTGCTGCCAACATTGCCATGATTATCTTGTGCACATTAGTTCAGATACATCCCTGTTCATTTAATACAGTATAAAATTGTAAGCATATACCTTTTATAGAAGATACTTTTGTCAGCCATATTTTCCCATCTCGAGGTTTGGTCTGAGGTTTGTCTAGACCTGCTCTTTTAGAAAGCGTTGGGATAACGACTGTTGTTATTTGGCGCTATAGAAATAAAAATTGATCAATTGATTGATTACCCTGCTGTGACACCCCACCAACTCAATATGCTATCTATGAGCTCAGAGTAATCATGGAGAATTTGTTAACAAAACGGCTTTATGTAAATCTTTTGGTTAGTGAGGAGAAGGAAACTGAAAAAATGTCATAATTTTCAAGATTCTTTTCTTTGAAAACAAGTCACGCTCTCATTATTGCAATAGGCACACATTCTGTTGTTGATATAAACTTGTGTGTGAGTTTATATGGCAATATTAAATTAAGGTGACCGCTGCAGTGATAGCATTCAGGCTTATGTCAGACACCACAGATGGAGCCTACCTGCTGACTTCAGTTGGCTGTAAAAGGAGTTAATCAACTGAAATTGCTTCTACTACATGCAAGCTGTCGTGGATGACATATGTTGTAAGAATCTCATTATATATTCTCTGCCTTCCAGCTTTACTGCAAATAATCCTGTTAAAACCTCCCTTTTAGAGACATCTTGATGCGTCTTTTGATGACTGCATAATCAAGTATAGGGGGAGATAAACAAACTAAAATAGTTTTTTTTTTCTTATTTTTATATTTTAACAGCTTTAGGATGTTGTGTTTATGTCATCACACAGTGGGTAACACAAATCAAACACTAAATCTTTTACTTTTTTCATTATTTCCACTGTAATGACATATAATTGTTTAATTGTTAGAATCAAATTGCTATTTTTGCACCATCCCCATCTATGAGATCCAGACTATCTCTTTGCTGTCCTCAAGAGAAAGTTCAATCGAGTGAATGATTTAAGACAGGCTGAGAAAATGGTGAAAATTCTCAGAACACAGTAGCCGATGACAACATCCAGTTGACAGACAGAGAGGGGCCAAATAACTTAAACCAAGACTGATGTGACAGGGGCCACCATTAAGACACTGACCAGTTGACAGACTGTGTGATACAGACAGACAGACAGATAGACAGACAGAGGCAAGGAGGCGACAGGGAGAGACACACACAGAGGCACCAGACAGAAAGATGAAGGGAAGGGTCTGATGGATGAAGAGAATGACAGAAAGATGGACAGACGCAGAAGCTAGTGGCAATAAAGTTTGAAACTCTGATTTAAAGTGATATGAACTGTTTGAAAGTGATGCACCAGACATCAAGAGAGTCTTCTCCTCTTTAATGATAGAGCCATAAAACTGTTGGTGGATATTTCTCCCTGCAAATGCGCCACGATGGTCATGACGCGTTCAGGCGAGCAGAAATAAAATGCGACATAATCAATCAATAAAAGCATGTTTTAAATGTAAGCTTACATTCATATTTTCTTTTTAGATAAACAGTAATAATAAAATTATTCTGATGAATATACATAAAGATCATCTAAGCTTTCTGTCACAGATAGAGCAGACAGTATTATAAAAAATTATCACACCTTGCTCTGAATAAATACCTGTTAAAAAAGCAACAAGGCAAATTACTCATTTAGAAAAGTACCTAAGCTTTGATAGCTAAACAGCTAACCAAACAGCATACCTCCAAATGTCACTTAGCTGTATTAAGATGCAGGTGTAGGTTTTATCCTTAAGTACCACCCACAACAGCTGTCTGCTCATGTCACAGAGGCTACAGTGCAAGTTTTGTTTACTCTCAGAGTTGTTGTCTGACTGTTACCCCGGCAGCTGCCAGCTGCTCTTAATCAAAAAAAGACCCCAACACGCCCCTACATCTGGCAGAGATTAAAATGGGCATTTCTGATATTTTCCCCAGACCTTGTTCTTTTAAATAAAATCAACTCCATACTGATGTTATCTGACTACAAAAGGGATGACTAATTTCTTTTGGCAGCAAAAAAAAAAACTGTTTTGAAAAGTCTGTCCTCTTTGATAATGAATTACTTTCCCTGAACCATCAGTGCCAAACTTTCCTTTATATTTGAGTTATGTCACCTTTCTTGCTTGTCTTTGTTAAATACTTGATTTGTGTGTTAAAGCTCCATAAAAAAAACTGTTGTTAAAAGGAAAAGGAATTGGCAATAGATTTAGAAAGAGACAGGGCAGAAGACCTCAAATTCCAGCAGTAAACACTGAAGTCTTGACTTTGTTTAACGTTAATCTGACCTTAAATGGGCTGTTGAGAGTATACTGCTGATGTAAGAGCGCTGTGAACGGTAAAAACCATAGACTGTATATACTATGGACAACTTGGTTCCGCCTACCGCCTGTATAAGGATTTGAAGCCAAAAAGCTCTCAGTATTTCCAGGATTTTTGTTCATTTCCTGAAACCAGCACTGTGAAGTAGCGATGCGCGCATTCGGCCGCGCAGTCGTCGAGAGGGGGGGAGGATTATGTTCTGTGTCATTAATTTCTAAAGTTTGTCCACAGCCCCATAAGCTTTGCTGGCTGAGGTGGGATTTATGACCTATACTGCAGCCCATCAACAGAGGGTGCTGTTCTCGGAGTAGCTTCACCCAGCGAGGAGGCAGACTCTGTCCATTCTTTATTCAGTCTATGGTAAAAACTCACATCAACCAGCTCTTTCTAACAGAACTGGGCATTGGAAGGATGTTTTTTTCTGCTATTACTTATTCAAAATTACAGAAAGATGGGGTGCTGGTCTTTCTCATTTGGCAGAACAGGTGTACAGAAGCAGTGGTGATAGTCCGTCTGGTTAGAGGATGATTTCTGGTCCAAACATGATTTGGTGCACATTCCTCCCCTCACATTTTCTCGCTCTTTCCAGCTGTTTGGCCTCAGAAAGAGTAAAAGCCAAAAAATAAAAACCTTTAAAAAAATACAAAAAGATCCCCAGTCTTGCCCTGTGTCATGAAACATCGTATGCTGTGATCTCCAACAACTTGAGATGAGTTATCTTGAAGTAAAAGAAATTCTCTTTTGTTGGACACAGACTTTCTCTTCCTCCGACTGCTGTGTAACCCTCCAGTGTGAGTTTTAGGTCTATGTTTTGTTGTTTGTATTGCCTTTTTTGTGTTTCTACAGTGATATTTGAACTCTTTTTCAAAGAAAATTCCTTCAAACATTTGATGGAAGTTTTTCTTATCTTCACAAAAAGTAAAAGCTTTTGTGAATGCTTTTTTGTGTATCTAGATATGACCTTGACTGGCTGTCGTGTTTCTTTTGATCTGAGCTTCACAGAACTTACAGTTACTGTATGTGCCGGCATTACTTTAAGCTGCTGTACCCTGTAGCTTTTCTGTCACAGATGAAAGTGTAAATGCGGTCACTTGTCAATGCAAATTTCCAGATAAGTTTACCCCTAACTTTGCAGGTCAAAAACTTAACAAAACAAGTATGCAGATAGTCTTCTATCAGGAATATCTACCAAAAAGGTCCTAAAATGGAATAACAGAGGAAAGACCTTGTCAGTCAATGCAAATTTCAAATCCAGTGTGTGGGATTTCCACGATCTGAAAGTACAGTATATGCTCAAAAGCAGAACACTGGAACAGCAGGTTACCTTTATTTCACACAGAGATATCAATCCGTCCACACAGAAAAATCACACTTCTGCATGTGGCAAAGATTACAAATTTCACAGTGACTGATTCAAAGATAATGCAATCTCCCACACATCCCTCCACAGTACTTTTCTTTTTCTTTTGCCTTCTTGTTTCCAGCAGAATGTTCCCGTTCAAGGTAAATGTAGTCTGCTTCACAAGAATCTGATCTGGAAAGTGGAAAAAAAACAAACAGCTCTAGCTGTGTGGTGCAAGAACCAGATTATGAAAGCTATTTTATAAACTGACGGTTTACTCTGTCTGCTTATTGCCCATCTTATAAAACATCATTTAGAGACACCCTGAGGACCAAGATCCTGTTTTGTAATCATGGGATCTAGTAAGAGCATCTTTAAGTTGCTGACAGCTAAATTACCGTATTTTTCGGACTATGTGGTGCACTTAAAATCCTTGAATTTTCTCAAAAATTGACACTGTGCCTTATAATCCAGCGCACCGTATGTATGGTTACTTGTTGTGCCTATTGACCGATTTTATGTGGTACAATGCGCTAAAAAAGCAGTTGAAATGTGTAAGTACGACTTTGGTAAGCGACGAAGCCGCTCCGCTCAATGGATATTTGGAGCACTGTGTCACTACCGGATCGGCCCTGTAACAGGACCCCTGAGCATCTTACAGGACTGTCTGACTGTAATGTCTAAGCTAGAGGTGCATTCATGTAAGGCAGCCTGGGCCCGGAGTACACGCTAGCAACAATAAACCAATGAACGCCTAATGCGCCTTACAATCCGGTGCCTCTTATGTTATAATAATAATAATAATAATGCGTCAGATATCATACAGCACTTCATCAGAGACCCTCAAAGCGCTTTACATTGGATACATCAATCTTTCGCTCACACAGTCACACCTTGGCGGTGGTAAACTACCATTGTAATCACAGCTGCCCTGAGGCATACTGACGGAAACGTGGCTGCCAGTTTGCGCTTATGGCCTCTCCTACCACCACCACACAACACTCACAATCATACACAAGTGGAGGACACACACTGGGAGCAAGGTGGGTCAAGTGTCTTGCCCAAGGACACAACAGATAGACTCAGGATAGGGGGGAATCGAACCGCCAACCTTTCGGTTATTGGACAACCACTCTACCTCCTGAGCTAATTAATGTGTCTGTGTGAACATAGACACGTTGATTCACATTGCGCCATATAATACGGTGCGCCTTATCGCCCGAAAAATACGGTAAGGTCTTGTCTCACCCTGATACCCTCTGCGTTACATCCTGCTAACCCTTTTAGGATTCTGATACGCATAACCACCCACTCACTACACGTTTCCTTATATGCCCCCCTGTACTCAAACATTTGTGTTGGTCAGTGTGCTGCAACTTGTGCTTCGTACATCTGCATCTGTGACTCTACAAAGATATTTTTGCCCTTTGCGTTATTGTGGAAACAAAATGGCAAGCTGTCAGTTATGTGAATGAATTATGACAGGGCGTGTATGACATGATGATAAGGGTTGTTGTTTTGATGCCAGCAGAGAGAGGCAAACAAATACTGCTGGCACAGACCGAAAGCTTCATCAAATGAATTTAGCAAGAATCAATAAACAGCCCTGCATTTTTTCCACATTATTTATAGATTTGTTTCTCGACTTGTTTGGGTTCTTCAAAATATCAGAATGTAGAGTAACAATGAATCTGACAGCTATGTTTCGCTTCGCGAATGAGACGTGTGCTTGTTAAGTTGTTTTCATCACTCAGGTCTGTCAGGCGTTTTAGCATTCTTGGCATCACTGAGCACTGCATTAAGAAACGAAGTCTTTGGGAGATGACTGACCTGTCTTAAAATAGACTCCTCTGTCCTTCAGAGAGCATAGAACATTTTGGAGTGGCACAATAAACTTATGCATGGAGAAGTATCAAAAGCAACAGTTTTGGAGAGGCTTCCCGATAACCTAATGGGGTTTTAGTCGCAAATTCTGCAGTGTGACCTTAAATTTCACCTTCTGGTACCCTGATTGGTGCACATCAAAGAAACTTCAACCAACACATCTGGCTTTAGAGAAAAAAAGATGAAAAAAGTGATGCAACCTGAGGCTTTCCTCTTAGAAGTCTTAATCTCCTGTGGTTAAAGGTAGCTGAAAATATAAAAGGGCTGAATTTAGAGACTAAATGAGGCTGAGAAGGAATCTTCTCTCTACTCAGCAACACTTTCAGCTTTTTTCTTCGCCTTTTCCCTCAAGTACATGACTTGATCATGGCCTATGATTTTAATATTGTAAGCAAACTTCATAAACCATTCCATAAATCTGTGCTACGAACAGATGTAACAGACTAACCAATCAGCACTACCAACGAGATGATATAAGGAGGATGATCTTAGCTAGATGACAACCCAATGTGTATATTAACAGCTTTTGTTTTGGCCAGGTGTACCTAATGAACGTCCATCTGAGCATTTCCACTTTACCCGTCTATCCAAATGCCATGATAAATAACATGCTAGATTTATGTTAATGCCAACAGCTGTTACTCACCCGTTCTCTGAATTACCTTTTTCTTGCCAACATTTCTCAAAGCAGATAGTGATGGGAAATCCAGCTCTCTATCATGATACAGATCAGTCCTTTTTTGGCTCCCAAACAGCCATATTATGTTAACCCTCCACACAACTCAACTGTAGCAATTTGTATTTGTTATTGCACTGAGAAACAATTAATGTTTGTACTGTTCCCAACTGATATATTGGGAATTTTCGTTGCTGTATCTTTGTTTAACAAAATTCCCAAAAGGTGTTTCATAGGGGTGGGAAAACAATAGATACAGCATAGTTTTGTGATATTTTGTCTGGTGATAGTCAGATATATGATAATAGAAACATCAAATCAACCGTTTGTCCAGTGAGGTTGGCAGAGGTGGCATCATAAAGCAGGAGAAAGTAAGTACAACAAATATATAGGATTTGCAAGATGTGCTACATGAAAATAAATACAGCATAAATAAGACTAACATAAAGGAAAGCCAAATGCTAAATTAGCTGAACAGTTGAAAAAATTATAAAAATTGCAATATATTGTATCACAATACTCACTGTATTGCAAAATGTTAAAAATCGCAACAATATCGTATCTTGGCCCAAGTATCGTGATAATATCGTATTGTGGGGCCTCTAGTGATTCCTACCCCAAGTATCTCAGTTGTTAACCAATTTTAGATGGAATCCACCTGAAACTTTATTATACAAATTTTTGCCTCATGTTGTGAATCATGAGTGTTGATGCTCGGATCAGTCGACAGTCGATTGCATACGTCACGTACTGTGGCGTGGGTTAATTCTGCTACAACCCTTACAAAGTCATTTGTACTTGGGCTGTTGTTTTTGCCAACATGAGTCTACACTTGGAGGATAATACATAGCTGTGCATTTCTGTCCTCATACAGCTCTCCTTCCTCGCAGCGCTTTGCAGCCTTTTAAAGGTGAATGTCACAGCTTTTAACATAAGCTGTTAACATAATTTTAGCACTGAGTCTTGTCACATCCAGAAATACTCAGATGAAACTGCTGTCGTGGCATATCAGAAATAGACAAGAAGCCGAATACAGGGATCTGATAAGAACCTTCAGGGACTGGAGTCACAAAAATTGCCTCCTACTCAACACCTTAAAGACACAACAAATTATAATAGACAACTGTAGGCTGAAAAACATGGATCATCCACTTCATAACACTTTGATGGACCAAAAAAATGAAGGTGGTGGACAGCTCCATTCAGTTGTGAAGATCTTTTGTAAATAGTAGAAGACGTGAGACATGAGACAAACGAATTTCCCTTTGGGGATCAATAAGGTTCTTGTATGTATACCATTTAAGTTTCTTTGTAGCAGATGGCAACTTGGAGATTTACTCACAAGCTCTGCAGCCACAGCCTTGATTGCTGGACAGAATTAAGTATCAATACATCTGTGTTTTTCACAAATGGAAACCACTGTTTTCACTAGAGTCTGACCAATAGGATGCTACAAACGAATGCTTTAGACTTTATGTAGTCGAGCAGAAGAAAAATGTGCCAAACTCTTTTCAGCTGAGTGATTTAATATAAGTGTGTGATGTCTGTTGCTATTCAGAATTAATAACTGTTTTTGTAACTTGGGTTTTGACCAATCAGAATCAAGTATTTCATGCAGATTAGTGATTAGTAAAAAAAAAAAAATGCCAGGTAATAATTCTGTATAATCTGGTTCACATAAGATCAATGCCTTTGAAATCCATATACCCGCTCAACAGGGGGACTTAGCAGCACATGAAGAGAGGGGCATGAGCTTCATTGAAGAAGACCTACAGATGCTTTCTTGGCTGAATACAGATGGATGCGCTGTTGCATCCTCCATTAAAGACTCCTTTGGTGTCAGCTGCACACTTGATTTCCAAGTAGCAGCACTCTGATACTCTTGGTTCCTGATGGCCATTCCACATGCAACAAAGGACTGGGGAATTGCGGAGTGGGAATCACAAGCTCCCATCTGCTCATTCATAAAGTTGCTCTCCAGCTAAACCAGGAAAAGAGGCTGCTCGATGTTGGTTTCATCAAAGAGAACCCTGTCGAGGTAACCCACTGAGTCCCACTTCGTATAAGCAAAGAGCAACTGGAAAGCCTCCTCATTCTTTGCTGTTCTCTACCATGGACTCATCTAGACAGATGGCAGCCCATGATGTTCCTGCCAATTTGGATGCTCCATTTGCTCTCCCAGTATGCACTGACTGCCATCTTCAGGTGTGAGAGGTTAGAGTGACTTTTGTCTGCTGGCCCTCAAAGGTTGTGTGCAACTCTTCTGACTATAGGGGCTTCCTTCACTACCTTCTTCCGACTTTTCTCCTCTGTTTGCTCCTTGGGGCGTGGTTTTACTGCAGTACATTGTCCCACTAATTTTTCTGCTTGAGAGATCCTTCAGAGAGCTGAAAAACTCGACTTCTGCAATGTTAACCATTCAGTAAAAAACAAGGAGTTCCACAAGTAAAAGATGGCATATAATATTTGGAATGAAATATAATAATTTGAGGGAAAGATTTGGCAGATTTTTAATAATAGCAATTAGGGCTGGGTGATACGGGACAAAGTTTATCACAATATATTTTTCTTATATCAGTCGATATCGATATCACAATATAAAAAAATCACTAGTGACTCTTAAATGTTCCCTGTCACTCTTAAATGAAATTTAACAGTGTTTATTGGTAGCATGTCTTTTGCAATACAATAAGCTACTGCATCTGTGAGGTCTTTGTGTCTCTTTGACATTTTATTGTAAGGCGTTACAGAAAAGCAGACTGAATGGTTGGTTCAGCGTGGCGGGGACCCGGAGCAACTCCCAATTTTATTAGCTATTCGTATAGTCTACCAAAAGATGGCAGAATGCCGGCTATCGAAAAACATATTGACCATGTTTCATATCATCGAGGGAAATAAATTTTTGATAGATATCATTATTGTTTTATCGCCCAGCCTTAATGACAATGTAAATATGAGTCACGTTAACCATCTGTTTTGAACGTATGTACTGCTGATGCTTTCTTCTTGTTACAACAAAACCATTTCCTGTCAACATTATGTAGTCTTCTCTAGGTGGATTTCCACTCCACTCAGCAAAATTTCTGTGCAACTGTGTAACTTTTTCCGTTACTGCCCAGAGTTTGGGGCCCTACGAGCTCCCAGTAATTGTTGCTCTGCGTTCAGTGATGCTGTTAGTTGTAAGAGGTTGAGGCTGCACCGGTAGTCAGAAATGGGCATGGATGTGACAAAACTTTGGCTTCACTAATGCGCCATCTTCTGTGTAGAATACATTATTTTAACAAAAGATACAGTTTGTACTGGCATATTGACATGAGAGAAAAACAGTAAACAGTTTTATCTTATTCATAGACTTTTGCATTGGATATGCTATTTTGTTCCACCAGCGTCCCTTGTGCAGTCTTCAGGGAGTAATTAAATTAGCTATCAGGATCCACTCAGTCTTGTTTTCCTCCGTTTTGCGTTAAATCCCTATGTCCCTTTGTCCAAAAAGTATGAATTGACCAAAATAGGGCCTAAAGCAGAACTTTGGAAACCATTCAAGCCACCAGGAGTATCCTTAGTAAGTATCCTATAGGCAATGAGCTGATAGAGTGCACTCCCACTGTTTTCACACCTGAAGGAGTTAGGGCTGTAAAATCCAAGTCGACTGGTCAACATATTGGTCGATACATGCTGAGTTGACCAAAATACTAATTGGTCGACTCAAGTTTTTTCTGTGTCAGTTTACAGTCGGAGTTTATTTCAACAGGAGGAACTTACAAAGTGCTAATCGGAGTGTTTTCAGAGCACCCCTATTTCACAGGTAACAGCCTGTCTCTGAACACCCCCCCCCCCCCCTTGTTTCCAACTGGAGACTGGCTGGAGACAGGAAGATTGTAGAGTGTCCATGTTTATCAACATCCGGTGGTTTGCTGAATATATTTATTTGTAATTGCCTTCTTGTGCTGATATCGCACAGAAAGGTTTGCCATCAGAGTGGGAACCCCCTGTTAGTCGATTTTTGGTCGAAAATTTCAGGGTTTTATTAAACCAAGAATTTCTTTGGTTGATTACAGCCCTAAAAGAAGTACAACTCTTTCTTTATTCTTTCTTTATTCTTTATTCATACGGATCCCCATTAGCTGCCACCAAGGTAGCAGCTACTCTTCCTGGGGTCCACAAAAAACAAACAATACAATACAAGACAATACAATACATAATTCAATAAAACATGTACAGTCTTGCAAAGGTCATTCAAGACAATAAAAGTCCAGTAAAAGCAAACCACAAACAAAAAAAACAAAACAAAAACAAAAACAAAACAACAAGAAAAAAACAAGCAGAAAACAAATTAAACTAAAATTTAAAAGTCAGTTAAGATTACAATTAAGATTAGTGTAATTTGTCAGGTGTCTTTTAAGGAGTCTCTTAAAACTAGCCTTACTAGGTGCTTCCGTGATCATTGTCGGTAAAGTGTTCCAAATGGTAATTGCTCGATACATTACAGATCTGCAGACTGCATTTGTTCTGGGTTTTTCTTTAACCCTGTCACCCCTAGTAGCCTGCCTGGTATTATAATTATGACGATCTCTCACATACTGTATTTGCGAGTTCAAACAAACAGATTCTTTGTTAAAACAACTATTCCTAAAGAAACTCATTAAATTACAAGCCAACCTCTCCTCAACTCTGAGCCATGAGAGACTAGCATGCAGTCTCTCAGTGCTCTGCCTTACACCCAATGGACTGTGCAATGCCAGCCTTGCAGCTTTATTCTGAACTATTTGAAGTTTGGACAAATGTTTCTTGTCGGCACCTGACCATAATGCAGAGCAGTAATCAAGGTGAGATAGCACCAGTGCCTGTGTCACCAGCACTCTAGAAGCTGGAGTAAGAAATGAGGAACATCTTTTAATGCATCCAATACCCCTACCCATTTTTTTTACAATGTTTTCAATGTGTTTTTCCCATGTTAAATGTGCATCGAGTGTGACACCAAGCAAAAGTGCCTCTTGAACCTGCGCAATGTTTGAGTCTTTGAGTGATAACCTAAGGTGATAATCCTCTCGAGTGGCATGTCTTGCAGTAAGCACTAAGCTTTTAGTTTTTGCTACATTCAAAATAAGTCTATTTTCACATGTCCAGTCCGATAATAGTTGCAGTTCAGATTGAAGTGTATTTCTCAACTCTGATAAACTGTTTGATGCAAAATAGACAGTCGAATCATCTGCAAATAAAGTGCAACCACTCTTCTCTAAAACTAAAGGCATGTCATTTGTAAATATAGTGTACAGCAGAGGACCAAGGCAGCTCCCCTGAGGCACGCCACACTGTAAACATTTGAAAGAGGAAAGACAGCCATTAAAAAACACACACTGAATCCTATTGGATAGATAGCTATTCATCCAATTGATTGAGTTTCTCATTGTTTAGAGATTACTATGACCCAATGGTAGAGCAGATCTCTTAGCTGAAAGGTTTGGTGCTTCAACAACCTTTTTCAAGGGTTCTTGGGCATGACACCAAACGCAGGAGTTGCTCAGGAATGCATCGCCATAGCCAATGCTGTGCAAATGTGTGTACGTGTCAAAGGGTACATTTGATATGTAATTTCAAAGCACTTTGAGCTGTCAAAAGATGAGCTAAGAGCAACATGGGTTCAGTCCATTTATCAATTCTGGATTACACCCTTCCACCTCTTTAAGATGTCTTCCACACCTTAACTCTTCAGAAAGCATTAACATTAAATTTACATGATCCAGATGTTTTCCTGTTATGTTGCCAGACTTGATGACTCTCCTGACTCGGTCTTTTCGTACCTCTCGGGGCTGAGTATCTGGGTGCCTTTCTTTTGAAGAGAAGTTAATGTTCTGTTTGGACTTTTCAGTGCGTCAGTGGACGGGGGAAATGTTAAATAGAATACCAGAAGAGGGGTGTTACTCAGAAAGTTTATCAGCTGATGATCAAACAGTGTCAGATGTCAGAATGCTCCTCAGAGAGATGATAAAGAGATGCTTTCATCAGGAGCTGGCTTTGATGAGTGCCCCGCCCGTCTCCACACCCCTGACATAGACCACAACCTCTCTTATTGCCGTCTCTCCCCTTGTCTGCCTGAACATATGAACACACTTGGAATATGAATTCAAATAGGAGGTATTTAGCAGAGTGCCGTTTGATTATTTAATCAGACAAAATTACACCGAGACACGGTCACACGGCAAAAACGATGGACTGATTACATAGAGGAGGAGGAGGAGGGTTGGGGTTGTGATCAACTACACGAAAGTGTACACGAGATGGGGAGAGAATTACAAAGAGAGAATGAAATAGCTTTAAATGGAGAAATTGAACTGAGAGGGCAGACACATCGGTTAAGGCATACAGAGGCACAGAATTACAGAGTGAAATAAGATTAAATTAAGGAGTGCAAGTGAAAAGAGAAAAAGAATATAAATCAGAAGATGGGGATAGAAAGAGACAGAAATGAGCGTGATAAGGAAAAATGTGTTAAATGTAAGCTAGACAACCTGATGAGAATCTAGTTTAATTCCCCCTTAAGGTAACAGGGCAGAGAGGTTTCAAATACGGCAGACCAAATATGAGAAGACATTATGCGAACACAGGATTCATTACAAGTTGAAAAAAGAGGCAAAGTTTAAGAGATATCATCTCTGTCGTGATGTGCGAGGCACGAGGGATGTGCATGAGTTTCAGCAGCTCCAGGATCAGTCGATAGAATCTGATTACAGATACTCTCAGATGATCATTGAGAGAGCTGAGTAAAAGGTGGCTGCTGATCTTGCTTCATAACTTAAAGAATGACAAGTAGAAAATTACAGGTAGTCTAATATCCAGTAAATGGCTCATATGTAACGGATGAGAAAATGAGAAATACTCCTCGTGCACAGTGCCTTGCCTAGCACCCTAGCAAAAATAGGGTCAGAAAAACGAGGTCTAATTCAGTTTGCACCATGCACTTTAGCCCATGTGTTTCAAATCGTTCAAATATGGCCCTCTGTTCATGGACACATGGTGGACATAGAAGAAAAACCTGTCAGTAAAAAGTATCAGAAGACCTTATTTTAGAGGCATTTATTTACTTCTCTCCAAATCTGAGGGAGGCCGTTGAGCACAAACAGCATCAGAAGCTTCATCACCCCGTGTACTAAACCTTTGCCTTTAAACAGTCAGAAGTCCCTTCAGTGAGGACATGCAAAGAATAAGAAAACGGTTAATGGAAAAGATGGCCTGTGGGCAGGTCATTTTGCCAGGGGCAGGATGATTTTCCCAGCAGGCAGGGCAACTCTGTCTGGTCTGGTAGGAGTAAGTCATATTGATAAAGTTGTAATTCTTTGCTGCTTTGCTGGAGCATTAGGCACAATGAAACAACAGTGCAGCCTCACTTGGAAAGGGGCTATGTAAAGGGGCTATGTAAAGGTCACAGTTCCTGGGGGGGTGATAATCAGTGTAACCAGGGGGATTCAAATAATCACAACACACTTAATGAGTTAATCTTTGGGCTTAAGTTCTTGAAATTGAGGGAATAACACAACCTTGTCAATATCACACTGAGGAATATTGAACCTGTAATGCTTTATGCACTTTGAAATCATTGAGAAGTTCAATATAATGTGTTAGAAAATGCATTGGTTTACAAAAAGGAGTTTTGGCTGGTGTTTGCTCCCTTTGAGTCTGATCCGTTAGATTGGAGAGTTTTTCAGTGAACTGTGACATATTCTTAAAAAATGCTGCTATACTGTATGTCTGTATTATTTATCACCGAGTGTGATCTCACCACTCTTGTTTATGGTCAGGAAATGTCATTTTTTTGATACTGATTGGTAAAATCTGTTTGGAATCAACATCACCATGCAGATTTTGAATCTGGGCTTTTTGAGAGTTAAAGGTAGTGAGGTCATGTGAGCTGTTATCAGGAAATTAGAGTGCATGAACCTACATAGTGGTGCTTCAATGTAGGGCTGGGCGATACGGCTTAAAATCAATATCACGATATATTGAGCCGTTCACCTCGATAACTATAAATGGACGATAACTACTCAACAAACTGCTCACCCCCTCCCACATTTCCTTATCTACTTCAGCAGCCGCTCCAGCTGCTACAACTTTTGAACCGTCCTCCATCTCCTCACCCGTCTTCCTCCCTTCGTTACGGACTGGATGGGGTGGAGTCACGTCTCTGATGTAGGACAGCATATTAAAGGGACATGAGACCATAGCCTACCTACACACATCCAAAAACAACTTTTATTTATTTTTTTGACACCAAGTCTATTGACATGGGCAAAACGATGTTGGTCATTGTCGCAAATTTGGGTATTAGTAAATTTTCAGTTTATCGCCCAGCCCTACTTCAATTCATTTGATGAAATTCAAGAACATCTGCATAAATGCCTCAGCCATCATATAGCATATCACGTGTGCATTTTCATTTGCATATAATTAATAGAAACTCTATTGTTTAATGAAGTAATCAGGGATTACATCAGCAACAGAGATACTGAAACCACATGGGGTGAGAGGTGAGGAGTTAATAGGACAATTGCCAGGCTTACAAGTGCTTGCGTCTGTAGTCTACGTTGCTGTCCAATCGTTCCATGGCAGGTCAGGTCCCCAGGGCATCAACTTGATCAGTAATCAAGATACAAAGCACAGGTTAGGACACATAGAGTCGAAAGCACTTGTCAAATTATCCACCAAGTATTGATCTGGTATTGATTTGCCTGTGCTTGCCCCAGATGGCAGGGTGGGGACCAGGCGCTGTCCCTGTTACTGAGTGGCATTAGAATATCTTTTCCGTGCTACAGCTCAGAGCATTCATTTGAATCATTTCAAAGGGAGTGTGAAACTGTGAGAAATGAGGAAGGATGACAGGTGATGATGAGACAGATAGTGCAAAATAGAAGTCAGGGATAGGATCTTTTGTTAAACATGAAAATCAATCCCTGAACAGAGGGAAAGACCTGCAGCAGTGCTTATCAGCTACTTACAGCACCATCCTGACGGCCCCTCTTTGCCAGTTTCCCACCAATTTTACCTCAAGTTAGCGTGACTTGATGACTTCCATGCCTGCCATGCAACCTTGATACGCCACATGTGATGACAGCAGTTCTCCAGTGATCTTAATGAGTGAACAACCCTGACAGCTCTCAATGCCTGTGAACTCCCCAGCTATTTTGAACTGATGAGCTAACACTTTGACTTGTTTTTTTTTAGACTGATGCGCCGTGTATTCCATAATTAAAATGTTGAAAAGCTGAAAAATATGTATGCAAACAACCTCCTCAAGTTGACTTCTTCTAGTCCATTTAAGTAAAGGTGCTTTCAGAGTCGTTGCCATCAACTGTCAACATCAATGTTCAGCATTTCGAATGTGCAGCAGCAAGACGTCAGTGCTCCCGGCTACATCTGCCATTCTGCATACTACTAGCTGCTGCCATCCACCTTTATAAACCTCATCGTGCATTTACATAATGCTAAATAAAGCATGATGATCAGCATGATAGAATGATAGAGATTACATAAACTTGCTGTTTTAATCCTATTTTCTGTATCTGAAAATGCTTACATGCATTGAAAATGTTATGATATACAAATGAAGAGGAAAATGCTCTAGGGGGACATTTAATTATTATACACTGAAGACAGAAAGACATTCACATCTTTTTTTTTTTTTTTTTGTCATGTTAATGAAATGATCAGCTAGCAGAGCAAAGTTGTCTCAGCAGGAAACTGAAAGAAAATGAGGAAATGTCTTCCCAAATACTCAAATCATTAAATTAAACCATTTGTGAAGAACGCCATTTACTCCTAATCTGAGTCTGTGTTGACATTAGCGCTATGGTGATGGTCCTGGAGCAGAGGAGAAGCCTAGGAAGTTGGAGGATGTCTCTGATCTGTTCTTTTTTTTTCATTTTCTTTTCATTTATCTCAATTTTGAAGCATATAGAGTTAAAGAATACCCGGGGGCTAAAGAAGTACTGTGAACCCTGGGTTGAACCTGACCTGTAGACAGCATGGTATAAGCTGTGTCCCATATCAGGGGCTGCAGCCTTCAAAGATTAAATGCTTCACAGTGGTGTGTTGAAGGCTGTCCCATTTCGAAGGCTCCTCCAAGTGTGTCCTACTTTTCCTGGGTCATGAAGGCTGCGTCAGGTGCATCTTTAGCAGCCCCACTGATCCTGTGATTCTTTATGCGCTGATACAATCAAGATAGCGGACTCTGAAGCTGCTGAGTGATACACTGTTCAATGATAGTATTTGGTTTTAACTCAGTATCTCGCTCTACCAATGCTAAAAAGAACAGATCTATACTTTGCAATGTTGGTGGTGGTATTAAAGCTATGTGACGCAAGCCATCCTATCTGGTTAGCTGAGTAGCCACTTGTTGCTAAGTGACAAGAGCAAATGGATATGCAAGTGTGCAGTCATCCCAAGCGTACACTTTCTGAATTCACTCCAGCCTTACCTGATCTGTCTGCTTGAGTCTTTCGAAGGCTGCAGCCCCTGGATTGGGACACAGCTCGAAGTGTTTCTTACTGTGTCAACAGGCAGAGGTAAAATGCACAAGGTTGATTCTTAGGAACCAAATGTTGCTTTTGCTGTTGAGAATTAATGACTGTTGCCGAGGTGTTTTGACCAATCAGAAAAAAGCATTAAATATAACTGTGAAATATACTTATCCTGCGTTCCAGTTGTACTTGGAAGCTGGAATTTCCGAGCTCTGAGTACTGTATTATTTATTGCACTTCTGATTTGTTTTTGTTAAATTAAATAAGTGATATATGTTGTACCACCCAATGTCTAACTCTGAACACAGTGCTATGGTGTTTGTAAGAGTAAAATTCTGTATTATGCGTTGTTTACAACTGGTATCGCTAACAACAACCAACAACCGCTGACAATGGATGACAACCGCTATCAACAACTGACAATGGCTCACGACAGCTGACATTTGTAAACAACAGCTAACAATGGGTAACTGTATGCGTCCATCTTGGTTTTCTGACCTGTTAACTGGAACACTGTCAACTGGGGTGTAACGTCATTCCCAATGTTGATATCCGACTTCTGATGTAACTGGAACGCAGCATTAGAAACAAACCAAATAACACTCATTGAAGAATTGAACACCCAATCAAGTACAAAGTACGTACTTATATACATACATACTTATATCCAGATCCTCAAGGCGCAAGTTTCAAATCAAGTCTAAAATGGAAAAATGCCATCCCTTGCATCGGACAGGGCAGCAGGGTTGAGTTGGCTGATAATCCATGGCTCAAGGTCTTATCTTTAAGTAACATTGACCTGCTATAGTTCCTCTTGCTTCGACAGCAAATTGGGTGAAGACTTAAGCGCATATCCTCAGACGTAGGGCCTTGTGCAGACAGCGTTTATAGTAAACAGAGTTTCCAAGGCAGCAGAAGTTGTGGGAGGACAGTCAATAGATTTCCATAGCATAGCAAAAAGCAGCAGATGGTGATGATGTAATGAGCGATCAAGTCAGAGGCAGCAATTCTTTATGCCCTCTTGTTCACCTTGCTATCGTGCCGCTTATGCATAGGAGACGGCTGTCAGGAACAAGCATTCACCCACTCAGCAGTGTGGGACAAGATAAATTAGACCCTGATGCAATGAGTAAGCTCCTGATCACAACAGCTGCATTTCTGTTAAGTGGAGGGCAACTTGGAGACATTTATTTTAAGGAATTGACAATTTAGAGCGAATGCTGATCCAGCTCAGTTTGGCAGGAAAGCCTCTGTTTCAGGGGGCTTTTGGGGATAATGCTCCTAACAAACACATGGACACACATTGATACTTAAAAACAAAAAGTGAAACAAAATGTGAAAACGCTAGTGTTGAAGGGTCGCCACCAAAATACATCAGCTTAATTGGACAGATAAGCATGGTTACAATAAGTTAGCTGGCTATTAAGTATATTTAAAGGAGCAGTTCAACAAACTAGAATATAATACCCCAGAGATTTTCTGAGTAGTTCAGGTCAGTCAAGCACGGTAATGTTATGGGCAGCTGACCATTTGGCTGTAGTTTTGGCACTGTGGGCAGGTGCTAAGTGTTGCTGGGAAAGGAAATCAGCATTTCCATGGAACCTGTCAGCAAATAAGACAGCTGTTGTCTCTTTTCTTAAGACCTATGTATGTGGTGGCTCTTGATGCAAGAGCCTTAAGTTGCTTTCACACCTGAACCAATGGAATGGAATGCTACAACATTGGTGAACGCAACTGTTCCTATAATGCTATCGGAGCCTGTCAGGAATTTATCCTGTTATTTTTCTAGCTTTTACGATCGAACATGTGACAACATATGAGCTCAGAGTTTAAGGACTGTGACTGTTGGTAGTTGTGATTTGATTTTGTTGAAATACGCCAAATTGTGAATTTATGGGTTGTTGTTGTTCAGACAACTGAGCTAAGCTAGCTAGCAACTGCTAATGTCAGCGGTCACTTGTTGCCATAGCAACAAGGGACGCTGTGCTTCCTCTACCCAAGATGCACTGCGTATGCAATGTGTATAGCATCATTACGTACATTTGGTCCTGTATTTGGTCCGGTGAGCTTTCACACTGCATACGAACCGAACCAGAGTTCACTTGCAAGGGAACCGAGACCCACGTTTTCAGGCAGACCATAGTTGCTTGTTTGGTCTGCACCAGAGTTCGGATGAGCTTTCACACCGGCCCAAACGAAGTGGACTATCTGAGGAAACGTACTCTGGTCTGTTTAAAGCGGAGCAAACAGCTCTGGTGTGAAAGCAACCTTAGTGATGCTTCCCTAATTCCCTGAATTGACTTCTTTTTTTTTTCAAAATTCTCAGGGTTTTGATTATTGCTGTTGTTTGTGCACCATTTCTTACCACAGTTTTCCCTTCCACTCTGCTTTTCAGTACATTTACATCATGCAGCACTGTGGACATCCATTGGTTTGTTGCAAACAAAGACTAAAAACATGGATGCATTGTCTCATTTTCCCTTGGGTTGCTTTGTGTTCACATTGCACTACTGTAAAGCAGGCTAAAACACTCCCTTTGTACATCATTATGTCACAGTCTTGTTTCCAACTGTTTAGGTTAACAGAAGCCATGAGTACCAGTCCCCCGTTGCATAGTGGGAAGCCTGTGCACTTTAAACTGAATGTGACCCTGCATGTGCACGTCATGGGTACAGCAGCTGTTGACACGTTGTGGTTTTCTTCATTGTATTGTCCAAACACAATCATCATGCCTTAATGACAGGCTAAAGGCATTTGTGAGAGATGTATTTGGCTGAAAATTACCAGTTGAAAGGGTCACCATTCATGCCAAAGCACGGCTTTAAGTTGCTAACTAACTTTGCTGGACTACAACAAAAACACTCTGGGGTCAACTCAGAGCAGCAAGAAAGTTAAATGCCTCATTAATTAAGCCTATTTGTTAGACGTCTAACTGGCAACTGTACGGAAAGGTTACAAATGTATGTGTCAGCACATGAATCACTATCACCAAGACACGTCATCAGTAAGATGTAAAGGTACGAGACCAGCTTGGCTAAAGTGAAGGTTCCGATAATGAAAAGGAGAAATTCTCTTGGAGTGGAAATTGGATTAGACGAGCTGGACAAAACTCTCAAAATCAGTAGATGTTAAGTCTCTGGATTTTGCCTGCCTGGCAGCAGTTCCTCTGAATGGCCATTACTGCATCTGCTGCTACTCACCTATTACTACTATTGTGACACATCAAGCAGCCGCTTGTTCCTGCGGGGTCGATTATACCCACTCTGAATCAAACCAGGTTTGATTGGAACCAAACGGAGACCACCTCCTCTGAGCAATCTGAGCTAGCTTGTTTGTTTGTTGTTGTGTTTACATACGTCAAGTGGATCTGAACCAAGAGGTCGTTTTGACGTGTCTTTGAATAATCCAGTGTGAAAATGTAAAAACCATTCATTCATTCATTCATACATATAATAACTCTGGGATATATTGAATTATCACTTTATTGAATAATTGATGGAACCTCCTTCAAACTCTACTTTGGCTAAAGTTGAATAATGGCAACATTTACGAGAAACTAGACACTGAAGATGTTTCTTGCAAAATATAACCAAATCTTTAATCAAACTTACCACTTTCAGAGATCTATATCTTCCATAATGCAGCACAAATGTTATTCAATGATGGAAGTGATTGCTAATCGTTGTATACTTAATGCTTTAATGCAAGTCTGATGCGGCTCCCTTGTTCCTACACTTAATCTAACTCTGGGCTGTGTATCAGTGCTCAGAGATGATTGTAGAGTGATTTCTAGCCACCACTTTGTCTGTCTGCATCTTCACCTTGTTGTTTTCCTGCTATTATTCGACAATTTCTGTCAATGCTCTTAGAAAATTATAGACTTCTGCACTGACAACTACACAGAATACTTCTGGAAAATCAAACAAGAAAGAAGTCAACAAAAAAAAGAAAGATGAAAATGTATTTTACTTCAAGATTCATGGTTAAATATAATGAGTTGTTTGAAAGGTATCATCTTTTCAAACACGTGATGCTGAAAGGTATGGATTTTGAGATTTGTATTGTCCAGTTTTAATTTTCTACTTCCATCAGAAAAAAATAGTAAAAAAAAACAAACAATATAATTATCCCTCTTCCTGGTTAGCATCTGGCCTGATGCAGACCAATCAAGTAAGATGTCCATAAAAGTCATTTCCTGTCTGATTTACTTGTCTTTAGGATATTTGCCTTGGCAATAGACAGTGACACGGTCTGTGCTTAAAGTCCCCATTGGGGCTGTATGAAGGGTGTGTCTAAAATGTGCACATTCTCTCTGAGGCAACACTATCACCACGCCATCTGTAGTCACTCCACAGGAACATAACCAGCACCATTTATTGCACATATGATTACTGGTTGGCATACCTTTTCCCCCTCTTTTTACAAGCCATCTGCTCAGGGAAGGTGAGAAGGGAATTGTGAAAAGAAATACCGTAGCATATTGGTACCCTGCTTTAATACATAAACATCCATTCTTAGCACTTGGCTGTGATTTACATGTGTGAAGTAAGACCTGTTAATTGTAAGTGCCGCTATCAGTCTGATCTCAAGAAAAAGTTATGTACCAAATCTGCTGTCTTATGGAAACTAAAGGAAAACATCAAACAGGCCTCCTTTGAGACAAGCCGTGACATCCTGTGCAACACAAACCCTCAACTTTACAACATTTAGATCACATATTGTTCCTGTTTGTTCACAAGCAAGTGGGCTGTTTGAGGTGAATGATTGGAGTTGGCGAGTGTATCTAAGGGGGCCTCTTTTGTGTGTGTTTGTTTTTGAGCCCATGCCCCCATAATGTCTGACTCATTTAAAAGCTTTGGAGTCAGTTCCATTAAAAGCCTCTCTCTCTCCCTCTCTCTCTCTCTCTCTCTCTCTCTCTCTCTCTCTCTCTCTCTCTTCTTTTTTTGTATGATGTTGAGAGTGAGTTTAACTGTCACTACAGCCTTCTCAAGAGGAAGTCTTTGTGCCACAGTTATACTAAAGTGTCATTTATTGTTGGTGGTATTTTATTTTTGACAGAATGAATTTGTGTTTCATTTTCCTCAGACTCAGTTTTGGGCTTTTTGCTTTAATTTTTTGACAGCTTTTAAAAGACAGGAAATTTTGGGAGAGAGAGAGAAAGGGGGGATACATCGTGCCTGGACTGTGATTTAATTCTGAGACCACTGCGATGAGGACTTCCCTGGTACTGCTCTACTAAAGGGGCTGAACATGATCCCCTTTTGACAAAATTTTGAATTTTAATTAATGTAGTTTTGTCTGAAAAGGGGGCATTTTTCTCTATGTTTTGACATTGTATGTTTGAATAGATATTGTCTATTTTTATGATAAATAAGTGCAGACTGTTCAGTGGTATACATGTAGGAATGACGGGATTATAATAAAAATTCCACCCCATATCTCTAATACAGCAGAAATATAGAGCTTCTGTAACAGTTATGCTGCATTCCAGTTGTACTCAGAAGTAGGGATTCCCAAGCCCCAAGTTGGAAATTCATCTGGAACGCCCCCCTTAAGTTGTATTTCCGACTCGGAAAGTCGGACGATCCTCACCAACTCCGCCTTGACGACAGTGTCACAATTCAAGATGGCAGTGCAGTGCATCAACAGTAAAGAGTAACAGTCAAAGCTCTTGTAATGTATTATTTATTAGCCGTTCTGTTTTTTTTTTTAAATTACACAAGTGGTTTATGTTGTGCTGCCCAACGTCTAACTGTGAACACGGTGCTATGGTGTTTGTAGAGTAAAATACTGCGTTATGCATTGTTTACAACTGGTATAGCTAACAACAACTAACAACCGCTGACAAAGGCTAACAACAACTCACAGTGGCCAATGTTAGCTGACAATTGTAAACAACAGCTACCAATGGGTAACTCTAGGCGTCCATCTTGGTTTACCGACTTATTAACTGGAATGCTGTCAACTTGGGTGTATCGTCATTCCCAGCTCCGACATCTGACTTCTAGGGTAACTGGAACGCAACATAATATTTAGGTTTACCCTACTCCATCTCTGACATGGCGTCTTATGCGGCACTGTGTAACAGGGATGGGCAGAATCGCTTACTAATAATGTGGTACTTGTGTCTAAGTATACCAAAAGTTTTGATTAAATTGGCCTCATATGAGCCAGCAAAGTTGCTTCACTCCCGTTAGGTTGCATTGGTATGGATGAAATGTAGGTGCCAGCAGAACTAACAGCCTCAGGCATGTTTGACTTACAGCAATCCAACCACAAGAGGACTTGAATTTGGAGTACAAAAAACAGGCATAAGTAGGGGCTGAAATGTTGGCCCGACAGAGCTGTTTGTCTTCACATCGACTTCTGCCACATAAACTGGTCTTTGCACTTGTGATTAGAAGAGGTCTGAAAAATGTCTCACCAAAATATGCAGCAAAATCACACTGTGCCGCTAATCTGCATAAACACAGAATCAGCTGTGCCTCTGCTGAACTCAGATGCAGGTTCATTTGGCAGTAAGGGAGCACTTTGGGGCAAAGATCAATGGCAGACTTTGTAGCTGTCTCATTAGGCCTGAGGTGTGATGTCCTGGGTGAGGAGGGGGGCTGAGCTGTCAACCGATTCCCACCTGGCAGTGATTTGGATCAGATGGTGAAGAAGGAAGTGTATGCAGTGCTGAAATGTGTGTTCCTCTAATTGCAGAGTGGATTTTTTTTTCTGGTCATGAGACCTGTCTGTTTTATTCCAACTTTCACCTCAGAGCCAACACCCACCACTTGTATGCAGAGGTTGGGAACATGTGAACCCTGTTCAAACTCTGGAGCACGGACACTAGCAGTGAGGAGGGCTGTAGATAAGGAGGTCATCCAAGCCTGGTTGGCACAATTTAGCTGCAGAATGAGTGGATGGGTTTCCACAGGCCAAAATATTATTTGTAAGCCAAAAGGCTACATGGGTACAAAAGTACAAGGGTGTTTTTGGAAAGCCATTGAGAATAGCTGATTTTAATATGGATAGGACTTAGCCATTTTAGAAGCTGACGGGTCAGGTAGAGTATGAACGCTTAAAATGGGTCAGACTGAACATTTTATCCAAAAATTAACACTGTTGCTGTCTAATAGATGGTATTATAATGCTGACCAGATATTAGCATATAGATCTGTACAGGGAAAAAAGTGGTATAAAAGTTAAACAATTCTAAGCAAAAAGAAATTTTAAAGTGAAAATCGTGTCAAATTTACTCTTGTACCTCATAGCTTGGTGGACTTGAAAAAGTTGATATAACCAAAAATAGATGTATGAATATGTTAAGGTTAGGACTGTATTTCAACAATGTTTGCCAAGTAAATATGGCATTGTTACAACTACTTTAATAGTGGGACTAAAAACCCCAAACCATTAAACAGCACCACCATTGATAGACCCTTTGTCTAAAACTTGCAGTCTTCACCATAAAGATTTGATAACATGCAAAGGCTAATTTGTCAACATGTATCAGATAAGTTTATCCGAGTTAGATGAGTACATCCATTGTATAGCATGTATTTTTGGCAAAATTAAAATTTAAGGACAAGAACAGTTTGAATAGTTTTGGCTCTTTTTGTCACAAATCTAAAGTGGAGTACGTGTAAGGTTTTAAAAAAATGGTTCGATTGGTACTTGAAAGGTTTCAGTAATAGACCTTTATGTTGGTTAAAATGATCCATCAGGTCGGTGCCAATACAAGTGGATGCACAAAACCCTAAACATTTCATTTTTTCACCAGTTCTGAGATGTGTAAAAAGTTTGATAATTTTTATTGCATGTTTGTGATATTATCGTACTATTTCTCTTTTTAAACTCATGGAAATTCTAAGAATTTTCATTTGAAACACTGAAATTTGTTTTTCCCTCATCCTCTGAAAGTTTCCAAAAGCTTTGACATGTTAATGAAAATTTCGGCAAACTTTTGATGATTTTTTGAAAAACTTTGAGGAATTTTTAAGAGTTTTAAATTAAGATTTCTGGAACTTTTAGAGTACATCTTGTCAAACTTTTGGGAACCGAAAGCAACATTAATTATAATGGTGTCAGCTGGATCTGTTGTTTTGGGGTATTTCATTCACGAGCTGAAGGCATTAAATTGGCTCAGCATTTTAATCATACATATGAATTTCCTCCCCTGACATCCTCACATGCTGTCTCTTTTTATTCAGTGGGCGTTCACAGATTAAAAAATAAAAAGCCCTTAATGCTAAATTACATGTAACATGGTAAGATAAATAGTTCTAGAGCCTTTGACCTGTCTGACAGAAAATGTGAGTCGATTAAGTCTAAACCCGTGCTCACCATTAGCTTCTGACTTTTACAACCACAAGTCACATTCAAACAAATCTGTAAGGCGGCTTTAATAATCCACTCTGACTTTCAGTCTTTCTGATCACATATGCTGCCTGTACGTCAACTGGCTTTTCTGCTTACTTCTGCTTTAGTATATGTGCTGATTTCTCCCTCCTCCTGCTCCTCCATCTTATTACCATACTTGAGATGGCGTCTCCTGCCTTGTACATTATGTATGTCCCACATCTCAGTGATATACACCCTCTGGGTCCTCTTCTGTATACTCCTTGTAGTTTTAATGTACTCCCTCAGAATTTCATATGCTGCTTGGATTTATTTAAAAAGCAATATGACACACAGAAAACTTCTTCATCTGAGTGATGACAGTGGCTCAGAACTCCAGCTGCACTGTTCCTGGGTTGGCATGTAAAGTTGGATGGATCATTCTTTGTGAAATTGATGAGATCTCCCTGTGCCTCAGGATTATATTTTGGATACTCTGGTTCTTCTTGGAAGTCTCAAAGAGAAATACAATAAACAGTTAGTGTATCTATGAAGCTGCTTCAGCCATTGATTAAATACACAAGCAGTCTACGGTGAAGAGAGAGGTTTTAGAGGCGTTTCGGATGAGTTGACCCTGGACAGGATCTATCAGTCTATCCTTTGAATGCTTCAGTGTAACATTACATAATTTAGATATCATAAGGACTTTATTTTCCAAAGTACATTTACTTCGCTGTGCAAACTCGTCCCATCAAGCCCTACCAAAAAAGAAAAAAAAAAAGTCTCTTGCACCCTTACCCTTACTTAACCCAATAGGTATTTTCATGATGTCATTCTAAGAGTTTCATCCAGTCAAGTCTATTTAAACACTGTGTGTTAGTTAGAGTTGATTGTTCAAAACTTCTGTCAATAATAGGTCCTTTCATGGATATGAATAGTAAATACGACATGCCCTTTTGAGCTGCTGGCCTACAATGAGGCTAAGCTATTGGAGGCATTATTCCCATTAAAGGTGATGCATGTACAATGAAAATAAATTATAACTTGCTCATTTCAACGCCAAAACATGTGCTATTAATACAGAGCATTTGATAAAAAAAACTCCTGTATTTATAGCACATGTTTGAAGTTGAAGGTAAATTAAACCTCATGAAAATCGGTTGAGAAATGAGAAAATATAATTTATTTTCCATGTACATCTAATGCTTTTAATGGGAATGTTGCCCCCGCTACCATGGCTGCCACGTTGGCACATTGCTTAGTGGGCTGCTACAGCACGCTGGCATATCTAGTCTTCTATATATATCTGTGGCTGCTTTTGCCATGAAACAGGAAGTAGTTTTTTACCCAGCCAGGCATAGTCCAATCTGATCCAAATGTTCCACAAATAATAAGGGTCAAGGCCTGAACACATTCATATGGTAATATTTTATCCCACTCTTCATCCCAGTTGCCAAATACTGTGAATTTTTCATTGATTTCAGTATCATTCTAGTCATGAAATTTCAAACCGCTCTTTCTCAGTCCTACATTGAAATATCTACACGACACTGTCTGTGCTCATAAGCGGTCCCTGCCTGGACTAAATGTCTAACAAACACGCCAGTCACCACAGGGACCAATGTAAGTGTGCAATTCAGGCCTCTGCATCCTGTATATGTGTGTGTTAATTGTACTCTTATTTGAAATCTTCAAAAAGTAAATACAGCCATAGTGGTCAAGGAAAGAGTGTTTTTTTATTTATTTTTATTTTTTAGTTGATTTGGAAAAATTATATATTTTTTCATATTAACACTTTAATTTGTGCTTTCCTCACCTTTGAAGGTCAACGGAAACAGCACAGCAGTATACACTGGTAGGAGAGTCTTGTCTAAGTCATCAAACTAAGATCGGGAATCAAGGTATTACAGAAGTAAAAGTGTTAAGATAGTGAAATGTGACAGATTTGAACTCTTTGTACAGGACTGATACAAATATATGATCAGCTAACTGAATCAAAGGGAGAAAACCTTTGAAACTGATCCTCTTTATAAATGTTTTGACTTTTCATTGACTAGAACTAGACTTAGACTATGAAGGGCAAAATGACGATAATGCAACCACAACTTAAGCTTATCTGAAGAATAAGATTAAATCTTAAATAGCTGCCACAGCTAACACTTATTTTAAGAGGACTTGTCATGGATACCTAAGCACCTTTTTCTGAAACCTTGGTTTAAACTTTGGGCTTCATAAATTTGAAGAGAATAATAGAACATTTTAAAAAAATGCATTATCTGCAGAGGTAATATTTGCTCATGTTACCCAATCTTTCAATCTGCCACATCTGCTGCACTCACTGATGGGTTAATGAGGGGCACACATGTCCTGTCCTATTTCCTGCAATCAGCTCACTCAGACGTTTTGACAGGAGGCAATTATGGACGAAAAATAGTGAGGAGGCTGCAAAATTGCTCAGACACACACTCTCAGATATGTCTATTCACAGGGTCAAAACTGCATAAGGGATTAGGCTCAGTGCGCCTGATTGACACACACATTGGAATTATACCTGACGTAGGAAGATTTTGGACCATTTAAACCCCAACCTTAATCACTTTTGCACACACAGTAGCTATAGTAAAGTTAGACATTGAGGGAAGCAGCATATTCCATTTTATAATATAACTTTAAGAGGAGCACAGAAGAATCAGCCATATCCATAGAGAGAGAGATCACCTTTAAGTGCCTTTTGATACAGTTAACCTCAACATGTTCGCACTTTTTTATTATCCATAGTTTTATCATCTGAAGACACTTACATTTAGATTTGCTTCCATATGTGACCTACTTGAAGCGGCTTAGATTACCTGCTTCTGACCGGGTTCGAGGTTGATGTTGTTAAACAGTCCACCTGTACATCTCCATCTTGCTGAGTGATTGAGTGATAAGGGAGTCAAAAATGATGCAGGCCAGTCATATATCAACCAAATACTTCGCACAGCCCACGCCAGCAGCTCTGCATCCCTCCAAGGTGATACTGACAAGAGCTTGATCGAGAAGGGCAAGAGCAAAATGTTCAGTCTCAGCACGCCAACGCCATACTTTAATCAATCTAAAACATGTCACAAGCTATAACTGTACTACTTTTATTTTTGTCAGCTGAAAAAAGAAAACTCGACCTGAGTTGTGCCAGCTCAAGTGTATTAGCTGCGTTATTTAGACCTTGAGATAAGATGTTTAGAATAAGCACCAATAACCATTTTGGCATTTTCATTTACAATTAGATCCTGCTAGATACTGAAAAGTTAGCCAATCAATGCATTAGACACTTACAAATAAAAGGCTTAAGAGTCTTATTAAAGCTCCTCAGACTTACTCGGAGATGCCTGTTTTCTGACAAGACGCTGATTCAAACCTGTAAAGTGTCTCCTAATCTGCCCCTCCACCCTGGGCAATCTGTCATGATCGACAGCGTTTGCTCAGTGGTAACAACACAAACATTCACTCTGACTGTCAAGGTCCCACAAGGCATTTAATTCCTCTCCGAGACAGCTAGGGAGTAAACCCTGTGATTACAGGTATAGGACTGGTTAAAGTTCAGCTTGGCAGAATACTGCTCTCTGGTGAATCAAGCGCATTAGCAACCCAGACACTCAAGATGATTTGCATGCATTGTCAGCCCCTTTAGAACATCACACAAAGTACTTGAACAGCTTGCTGCTACTGGGGCCAAGAGGCCTCAGACCTCCCTGCTGTCAAAGATTTGTACACTCACAACCCTAATCGGGCTGCTGCTGCTGCTGCTGCTGGTGGTGGTGGGTAAACGAAATCTTATCTGAGCAGAATGACCCTACCAGCAATTTATTTAGCTATCTCATGAAATAGCTTTAGTAGGCATTGGTTGTGGCCTACAGCATAACAGATATAAGTCTGTAAGGCTGCACGGAAAAAAACGAACATTGCAATTTTTTTCAACCCTGCGATAAATATTGCTATATTAAAAAATACAGAAATGTTCACCAGATGACCTGATTAGCACTTCATGCTATTCTGCACTGCTGAAATCTAGTGGACAATTCACCTCCACTGATCTTCCCCCTTTTTGTGGTTGTTAGTAGAATGGCTTCAGTCCGTCTCAGAGACATTTTTAGCTTGCTTTTATTGTGCTGAGATGTTATTGTGGCAACAGATGAACACAGAACATGCGTTATGTTCGACATCATCCGAAAAAATTCCAGATAACTGACATTGCTTTTCTTTTTGGCAACAAGTCTTTATTTTTGGTGGTTTCTTGGCTCAACACCGGCAGCACAGCAACTCACTCCATGTGCAGGGGTGTGGTTTCCTCCTGTCTGATATTGATTGACGGCTGGCAGGGTAGTCTGATTGGCAACTGTGTAAAGACCGAATACGATTGGTGGATCACTGCACAGCACATGCAGAGTCACATGCAGTGTATCTCAGTCAGCTACCCTTGAAATTACATGAGTTCATTCGTCTCCTACATCGCAGGCTCTGCAATGTGACTATCGCGCACACGTACATTGCGATGACGATGCTCAAACTATATATTGTGCAGCCCTATAAGTCTGCATACATATGTTACACCTTTTCCCCTCTATTTGACATTATTCACTTATTGTTTGATTGCCTGAATAGATATTTTTATGAAAGTAATAGCCAAAACTTGAGTGACAAGGGTTTAGACTAAATTACACTTAGTAGGGCTATCGTTGTGAACTTATTATATTTTAAATCCTGCACTGTTTTGTCTCTTTCACATCCTACTTAAGTCTTTCTACTTCCTGCTGCTGCTGTGATGAAGGATTATCTTTACAATGGCACAACACACATTAAATAAAAAAAATAAATAAATAGAAAAGTGCATAACAATGTTGATTTATTAATATTGAACAGCTGCTTTGGGTAATCCATTCAGTGTGCACCACAAATTTAATTCTGATGTTGAATAGCCCTAGACTATTATCGTCCCATCGGATGCAGATTCATAAACTGGTCTTGTGTTGAGCAGAATGAATTCTGTATTTAATTAACCCCAGAACATCTTCCCAAGGATTAAAACTCAATTGTTTGACCCTGCGATGTGTCACAGCCCAAAGCTGGCTCAGACCTTTTGACACCCCCACAGGGTGCATGCCTCAGTGCTGTTTAATCCCAAATTAAATCACGTTTATCCCTACTGTAAAGATACAATTTATTCCTTTTTGTTTGTCAAATTAAGATTAAATAGTCAGAATTGATCTTGTTTGTTCAATTGTTTCCATATTACAAACTAACTGATTGAAGTGATGTATGTCAGCTGTCATTGTTATAGTCGTTAAATCAAAGAAATTAAAAACAGATCACATTGGTGAAGCATTGCAGCATTTATTTGAAAGATAATTCTGAAAGTCAAAATGACAGTGTATTCATTTGCATTAATTTAATCCTCAAATGAAGAATAGCCTTTTAATGTGGATCTGGAAAAAAAAACTATCTTTAAATGCAAAATAGACATACCATTAAAATGATAACTGTCAGCTCTTAATCAGGACTGTAAACGATGTATTGTCTAATAGCCTGCGTACAAGGAGTTGTCATTTGTGTCAAACCAAATCGAACTGGGCTTCTATGTCCAAATTTTATGTCAAGGAGACCCAGAATAAACAGCACAATGTAAGGTAATGACGTCTATCACACAAAGATAAAAAGTACTAATATTAAACGGGACTGAAGCCAACAAACTCACTGTCAGGTTTGAGAACAACACATGAATACTCCTCTATGCTGAAACATTGACTCCCAGAGTCATCAATTGGTGGGATTGGTTGATCACTATCATCATCATCTCACTTCCATTTTTCAAACCTCACTTCACCCGTATGATGAACCTTAAAAAGGATCTGTATGAACTTTTTAGCCCTGCCACAGGAGTCCCCCAGGGTTCTCTTCTGGGTCCTCTCCTTTTTTTTCCCTTTAAACACCTTACTCAACCTTGTTGTATGTTCAAATGTCTTATCTTACAACATTTCATGCAGACAGTACTTGACCTTTTCTATCCTTACAACAGTCAATGGATATATGTACAACACCTTGAGCTTTGATAGTCATTAGATGGTTTATGGCTGAGTCTAGATTGCAGAGAGAACCGCAACAGATCAAGTAACATACAAACAACTTGTCTTTTCCCTGCATTTGGGTCTAAATTAGGCCTGGACGATATAGAAAAAAAGCATATCGATAAAAAATAAATCATATTGATCGATATCGATAATTATCGATATTATTATAATTATTTAACATATATTTTAATTGCAGCCCTGGATGTTTTATGCTATTGCTTAATGACCTACTTTTAATAAAGAACACACAAGCACTGAATTCAAATTCAAACCTTTATTCAACCACCTTTTTTTTTTTTTACCACAACTGAAAGTTTTTTAAAAAATAACTTAAAAAAAAAAAAGAGATCAACTTAAGTGGCCTGAGTGATGTCAGTAAATACTGACAAACATAAAGACTAAAGGGACCAGAAAATCTGATAAATAAATATTTAAATAGTCTTTTGATGAAAATAAACAAAACAAACAAATATATAAATAAACAGAATAGCTTTAGGTGGGAATAGCATACTACCAGTTTTAACTATGTGGGAAACTGCCCACAGCCTGGTGTTTGAACACTGAAATATTTCTCCCGGGGTCGGGAGATTTATTTTTTTAATTATCATGTGATTGACTTAATACGCAAACTGAGCACGAGAAGCAGGACTTATCCACGCCGGTGTTGTGTCGTAGATTGCACCCCTGCCGAATGCACCCCCTGCTAGTAGCCATGATCCAAATACTCGCGTCTTTGTAAAATATGAGCTCATTTTCTTCCACTTTAAGAAGCTAATGAGTGGACGGGATGCAGGGGTGCATTCTACGGTACAACACCGGAACGTATTTCCTCCGCACCCTTCTCACCTTTTCAACCCCTGACCCATTTTCATGCCTGAAGCGCTGTGTTTGAGAAATACTTGCGGCCGGGCACTTCATATCGCGGGTCGAGAGTGGCTAGAAGCTGGTCGAAGCCAGGCTTTTCAACGGTAGTTATTGGCAGTATGTCCCTCGCTATGAATCATGTTACTGCATGGGTGATGTCCTTATGCCGCTCGGACGCTTTGTCGTATTTTTGGTAAGAAACGAAGTCCAGTTTGGTCTGCTTCACTTGCTTTGTGCCGGTGCTGGCAGCGGTTCCAGAGGATTCCTCCTCCGACGACGTGGAGCCGCGGCGCGGCCGACACAGCTCGTACTCCTGCGGCTGCGACCGGTTTAGATGGTAAAACAAGTTGGTTGTGTTACCAGACTTGGTTTTTACTAATTCTCGGCAAATTTTGCAAACGACCGCTGTTCGCTTTTTGTCAGACTTCTAAAAACCAAAACATTGCCATGCTGGAGAACTACTGAGACCTTTTTTCGGGACAATGTCCTCCGCTTCTCCTTGCTGTAACATTTTTTCTAATACACGTGCTGTCTGTTGTGGTTTGATAGGGGCTGGGCTTGGTGCCGTAGCGTACCTGGGTCTGCGTTTGTGATTGGTTGGGAGGAAGTAATGACTGTAGTAAAAGCTACATGATAGGCCATGATGAAAAAGGAAGGGAAACTGTGTTTTTCTATCGAACTTTTTATCGACCCGTTTTTTTTCTATCGCCCCACACGTCTATCGATCGATATATATTGTTATCGAATTATCGTCCAGCACTAGTCTAAATATTATTTTCTCTTCTTGCAGCACCACTCTCTACCCAAAAGCAAACACATTTTCCCTTAGTAGATCATAATTTGACAGAGAAAGGTTCATATGAGTGTCTATCTGTCACCACTGTTGTAGCCAGAATATGATCACTTACAAAATCATCACAAGCGAGCCCACTGGAGCACTCAGCACAGTAGATCAGTACTCTTGCCCGGGTCAGGGAAAGTTTAGACGTGTAACTTGAACCAATTTGAGTCATACATTCAGGATGATGCAAAAAGCAACAACAAAAAACAGAAAGATTAATGCTGGGTAAAGCTATTTGTGTGACCATCCTGCATCTTTTTTTCTTCACATCTTGTTTGCTTCACTGAATATATCTGCAAGATTGCCCAGCCAAGCAAACCACTTCTAATCCATCTAGACATCTGCTTGATCAGGCCTCTTGTCACACAGAATGAAAGCTCCTTCTTCAAACAAAATGGACATGTCAGCATTAGATAAAGGAACCACTTTGGCTCTTTGTGTTGGGCCAAGGACCGATAGCTAGTTCCTACTTGGCAAAGAAGGGAACTGTGAAGATCTGGAGATTTTGGTATTGATATGTTAGATGCACTTAGAATAAAGCCTAAAACTTGTCAGTGGGAAAGTCTTTGCTTCAGGTGAATATCTACACCCCCAAAAAAGACACAAAGCCACATTTATAGGGAACAAAAGCACCATATTTGACAGGGATAGATCCCTTGGTGGGATTAAGAACTGATGTAGCTTTTATACACTGTACACACTGTTAGGTATTCTGCAATACAACCAATAAAAACATTTATGAAAGCACTGATTTATAGAGTTTATAGAGAGAGCTTTGAATGGTGTAAAGTACAACTTGTTGTGTGAATAAAACTGTGCTTTCATTGGTTGAATGCTCCCTACAAGAGGCATCTTTTTAGCAGTAGTCCGAAGTAAATTAAGCAAACACGAAAATGGGGGCTGACACAAAAGTCACGAAGCCCATTTCCAAACAGCTCACACGCTGCGGTGCCTGCTATGCTTTGTTGGTATACCTATTGTTTACCATTCAGTAATACTTTATTTATTATGAGCAAAGCAACTGACTAGTAACATAAAACTCCTGTGAGTTTTTCGACCTCAAGGAAATACACTGAAAGATGGTTATATTGTTACTTTGAATCCAATACAGGTTCAAGGTAGGTGACATTTCAGCAGATGAAGGAAAAGCCTTGCTTTTAAAATTCAAAGGTATAATATTCAGAAATAATTATTTATTTAACTTCAGCTTTGAGTACCAAAATGGACACAAACACAAAGTTCCATATTGGAGGAGTACTGGAACTTTTTATGTACTTTTTGAAGGAGAAGCAGAGCGTGAAAATTGGTCAAAAATACACAAAAGTTTAAAATAAAGAAGTTTCAAAATTGGGTTTGTGAACATATTATTCCTACCACTAACTTTGGTCTTTTTATTTTACCTATTTCCTTATCGATTAAGTTTGAAGGAGTTTTTATTTTAAATTGTTCTCTCTGAATGGCATCACTTCTACACTGTCCTAAAGAGTTCTTCCTATAAGGCGCTTTTACTGGAAGAGCATGAATCACTGAACTCTGGTGAACACAGGTCAGTTTTTGAGAAGCGAGTTTCCAATAATGATGGGGTACTTTTTCTGTTTGAGGACAGGATGATTCTATGCTGTCTGCAATCATTGGATATTTCTCTTTGAACGCAAGTTTTTGGCCTTGAAGTGATTTAGATGTTTGTAGCTGAAGAGCATGATGCAGCCAGAGGATGTAACGAAATCCTGAAAACTTAGTGAGCGACTCTGAATCACTGCTGTCCAATAATATCATAACAATGAGTTTGTTTTGGTTTTTCACAAGACACCAGATGACTGAGTATTTTCTATCCTTTGATTTGTTCTATTTTTCAGAGAAAGATCCAACTTTTGGATTATTTAAGCTTTCAATTACAATTTTCACTTGTCAATAAAGAAAGAAAATAGCCACTATGGACCAAAATACATTTATTTTTTTAACACTTTTAGAGGCAGCATCTAGTGCGCCAATGTTACGCTGAGCTCTCACATATTTAAGAGGCATATGATCATAGCTACTTCATTCACATTGTACACACTTTTTATCTTCATAAAGTGTTATAAATAATTTCCAAGAGACCCCCAAAATTTTGCAGTTGCGGCTTTAAAGGGTCTCAACTGTCAGTCAGTGGGTCTCAGACCCCATAAGCCTTCCATATTTTGCACCCAGGGTATGATCTTTAAAAAAAAAAAAAAAAAAGAAGAATTATCCTGGGATTTTCTTTCCACCTAAAGATTTCCACTTTTTTTATCCAACTGTTTGCACACATGGAAAAGACTACTTAAATAATCCCAGAAAATATTTTACACCTGCCAAAAAAGATTTCCCTATTCCCAGCTGCTTAACATTTGTGAAAATGGAAAAATAACCTTACCATCTTAGAGTACCTGGGGGAAGTCAAACTTGGTCAGGGCACAAATAAGTCAGCCTCATGTACGCTGACTGGATATGGGATATTTTCTGTAAGTTTGAGAGCATCTTTTTTTTCCTTTCTTGCTGTTTTCAGGATTCTGAGCGAGAATCAAGGGTCAGCCTACCTTTCAAAACAGGCTCTTCTCATCTTTTTTAAAAACAGAGCTCCACCACGGTGATGGGTGACAGTTTGGTAATGGAACAAAGAGTTCAGGGCAGCTTCTTCTGAGAGGAATCGAAAAGTCCACTTTTGGACATGTATTATCTGGACAAGCTTATAGCTATCGCAGAACATGTTGACAGTGTTGGGACATTTTTCAATGCTTCAGGGTATAAGTATTTCTATTTGTTTTTATTCTATTAGAATAAAGATGTTCAAAACACCATCCATGAAGCCATTTATACCTTGTTATATGTGTCGCAGTGACATTAATGCACTTTAGGTGAGTAAGAACCCTGGAAATATCCAAAGTGCCCTGATTTTTACAACCATTTAAACACTGACTTCCAGTTGGGTTCATGATTAGGGTCCAAAGGGTTTTTTGCAGATCTCATTATGCCTACAAAATTTAATATTTATCTTTCTTTTTTGAGTTCTGCAGGAGGGTTCACTTCTTAGCTGTTTATTTCTATGGCCCATTTCTGTGGTCCAGCTTTCCTGAAGACCAGGGGGCTGCAGAGAATATTCATTTTACTATCAAGAAAATCAAGACGTCACTGTTTAGTCTGGCTTTGAACTACTTGTCATTTATTTTAGTTATCATATAATACTCTCCTTATTTTTGTTTTTCATCACCTTCACAGTTAATATTTTATTCTACCTCAAGTGTTTCCTCATTCGGATCTTGTGATAGTATTTCCTCAGTTTCCTCTGACTTTTGAGCCCCTGTTTTTATTCAGTCTCTCATTTATAACATGTTCTTACATTAAGTTGAGATTTCGAGGTGGGGATGGGGGTGTTCCCTTTGTTATTTTTTATGCACATCACTTGTATATTGTATAAAAAGTGCTTTATAAATGAAGTCTGATTAACTGAAAGGGGGCACTTTGCCACCTACCGTTGTGGAGGGGGGTTAGATACAAAATACATAAATATTACCACTTGGTTTTATTTCTCATTTTGTTTCAGTATCAGATTATTGCTTGTTCCCTGTTTTGTTTCACCTGGTAGATTTAATTTTAATTTCCTAAATTAACCTTCGTTTAACATCAAAACATGTTTTCAGACTGTAGGAATGAGAGGACAGCAGCCCCTTGTCAAACATAAATAGATGTAGGAGCTCTGAAAATGCCAAATCTCTTCTGGGCTAAAGAAAAGAGAGTAATCAATTCAGCTGTACCGGTTGCTTAGTAACTGAGGTCATGCTTGGACATTTTCATAGGTTATGTATTTGTTCACAATGATGTCCCTGAGCAGTACACTAGCTAAGCTACTTCACCAGTTAAATCTGTCTAGCCTTGTGCACACATCAACACAAAGCATTTCAGTGTTACTATCTCCCTACAGAGAATCAGGGGCTGCAAGTGGAACAGCTACGTGAGCGGCATGGCAGGCTCATATTTTACCTGCAGGCACTGGCTGTCAACATCTCGACCACAGAATTACAAATGACAGAGCAGTTCCTGGAATCACGACCATCAGTTTCTGCACACCAGAGGATGTTGGCAATGCACTGTTAGAGAATACTGCGTTCTGCTCCTCAAGAGTCAATATGGAACAAATGTGATATCTGATCAGTCTTCGTAATTTCATTTTTTTCTGTCTACTTATAATCTTCCCTCCATTCTTTTACCCTGTATGTTTTTTTTATCATAAATTGCATTTCCTTTTCCTTTTTTATTTATTTTTTTAATCTTTTCAAATATACTGAATTAATGTTCATAAAACCACCTTGCAAGTAGTGTATTGTGGTAGAAATCTTCCGTAAGCTTTTTATTTTTCTCATGGCCTATCCAATTCATACTAATGGCCGCTTATTTTTAAAATCATCAGTTAAAAACGGCAACTTTTGGCAGTGATGTTTTCTGACCTAGGTCAACGGACTATCCTGCAAAAACTCAGAAGTTGAAGAGTGTTTTGGATATTATTTAAGCCAAAACTAGGTCTGAACGAGAAAGGAAAAAAATCCAACACATGCAAGAAACATGTACTGTTTAAATTCCTCACTAACTGCTAAGGGCCTCTCAGTATGTGAGGACCAGAATAAAACTAATTGTTTTCAGTTTTACCAATTTAGCTGGCCCAGCAAGGAAGCAAAATGATTGAATTTAAATTTGTTTTTCAAGCGCTAAAACTTTTCTTTGAGGGAGGTGGAACAAAAAGTGTTGTTTTTATCACACAGCCAGCACCACTCAATAGGGCGGCTTTGCTTAATATAACCAAGGTCCCTTAACAATGCTCACAATGAGATTGTTAGTGGGCTTGTTTGCAGTAAAAGAAATGCAGTTTTTGAAAGCTTGACTTGTGTCATGCAACTCACTTTTTTATGTTCGGGTTTTGCAGACTGGGTTGAGAAAGTTATTCACAAACCATTGCAAGTTCTTCTTCCTGTGTATGACTATAATACTGTGTTTTCACATGATGGCACAGTTTACATAAATATCAGGCTACTGCATATGCAAGAACAGTTGTACTCGCTGCTCTCTTGCCAATCAGCAGGAGCTGAACTTGCCTCAAGATATGTGACTCAAGGCAATGTCTATTTTGCCTGGAGTCAACAAATTTCAAGGTAAATAATATGTAACTGTGGAATTAAGTTCAGAGGAAATGAAAGACTGTTTTCAGGCAATGCAATCATCAACGAACTCAAAAGTGCGACATATGAAGGAATGAACATGCGTCCAACTGAGCTAGGAAGGTTAGAGCCGGAGGAAAACACTGCTTTGCTCAGGGGCATTATGAGTCGACTTCATGAGTGTGTAGAGATGAGAGGGAGAAGGTGGGAGACCTGGGGAAACACTGGAAAGAACTGGGCTTCCTGGTGGGCATCTGAGATCAGCCAAGGCTGAGATGAACACATCAGCACACTGGAGCACATCTATGCTCCTTTTTGACCTAATAAAATAGACCAACCCTTGCTATCATGGTTACACACCTTGGCTGTGTCTGAAACCACATACTATTCATTTGATTTATGAGACATATGGACTTATGATATGCAATTTTGAGTATTTGAAAAATGCTCTGATGTTCATTTGATTGGCTGATTTATTTATTTATTTTTTATTTATTTTTTGTTTTTTGTTTAAAGGGATATTCTGGTGTAAAATTAAGTTAGGGTCAATAACATTGAGTTAGACATCCCCTCGAGAGATGAATGTTGCCGACCGCTTGCTTCTCTAGTTATACCAACTTTAGTAACCGCACGATAGCAATACACAGCGGTCTAAGTAGCAGCGGTCAAGAAATGTTCTTTTTTGAGCTTCGTCACTCTGCTGCAGTTGATGATGGACTTGTCCAAGGTCTCCCTACAAACAAGCGGCTGCTGGAAGAGAATGGGTAAGTTGTGTTTAGTCTCTTTGCTAAAAAAATTAGGCAAAGCTAAAATGACGTGTGGTGGCTAGTGCTATGACCGGGACCCTGTATGTACTGTTGATGAAGTTAGGTGCTGTTCTGAGCATTATTAGTGGCTTTTTGTTTGAGGTGTGCGCGTAGCCGCGTAGACCACTGTGTATTGCTATTGTGCGGTCGTTACTAAAGTTGGTATAACTAGAGAAGCAAGCGGTCAGCAACATTCATCTCTCGAGGGGGTGTCTAACCCTGTGTTAGTGTGTTTGACCCTAACTTAATTTTACCCTGGAATATCCCTTTAAGGCCAGAGGTCACTATCCTTACACAAACACCAAAAAAAAACCCATGCCAGCTCTTTAAACTGCACAACTGAGAAGCTCACCAATCGGTAAAAGTGGCATTAAATGTGGTTTAAAAGACATAATTACACAGCTGAATTACCAAGATCCTTGGTAAACTGTTTTTTTAATTCTTCATATGACACAATGGGCATTGCTGGCTCAGCCATTATTACTCAGACCTGAAGTATGTGACTGAAGTTGACCTACTGAGCAGACAGGAATCAGTATATTGAAAGTGGCACAGTTACAGTCAAATAAAATAGACCAACCCTTGCTATCATGGTTACACACCTTGGCTGTGTCTGAAACCACATACTATTCATTTGATTTATGAGACATATGGACTTATGATATGCAATTTTGAGTATTTGAAAAATGCTCTGATGTTCATTTGATTGGCTGATTTATTTATTTATTTTTTATTTATTTTTTGTTTTTTGTTTAAAGGGATATTCTGGTGTAAAATTAAGTTAGGGTCAATAACATTGAGTTAGACATCCCCTCGAGAGATGAATGTTGCCGACCGCTTGCTTCTCTAGTTATACCAACTTTAGTAACCGCACGATAGCAATACACAGCGGTCTAAGTAGCAGCGGTCAAGAAATGTTCTTTTTTGAGCTTCGTCACTCTGCTGCAGTTGATGATGGACTTGTCCAAGGTCTCCCTACAAACAAGCGGCTGCTGGAAGAGAATGGGTAAGTTGTGTTTAGTCTCTTTGCTAAAAAAATTAGGCAAAGCTAAAATGACGTGTGGTGGCTAGTGCTATGACCGGGACCCTGTATGTACTGTTGATGAAGTTAGGTGCTGTTCTGAGCATTATTAGTGGCTTTTTGTTTGAGGTGTGCGCGTAGCCGCGTAGACCACTGTGTATTGCTATTGTGCGGTCGTTACTAAAGTTGGTATAACTAGAGAAGCAAGCGGTCAGCAACATTCATCTCTTGAGGGGGTGTCTAACCCTGTGTTAGTGTGTTTGACCCTAACTTAATTTTACCCTGGAATATCCCTTTAAGGCCAGAGGTCACTATCCTTACACAAACACCAAAAAAAAACCCATGCCAGCTCTTTAAACTGCACAACTGAGAAGCTCACCAATCGGTAAAAGTGGCATTAAATGTGGTTTAAAAGACATTATTACACAGCTGAATTACCAAGATCCTTGGTAAACTGTTTTTTTAATTCTTCATATGACACAATGGGCATTGCTGGCTCAGCCATTATTACTCAGACCTGAAGTATGTGACTGAAGTTGACCTACTGAGCAGACAGGAATCAGTATATTGAAAGTGGCACAGTTACAGTCAAATTTCAAAGTAAATGGTTTGTAAAAGATGAAATTGATTAAAAATGTCTTATCAGGATGAACACTGGGGAGGTTCATTTTGTAAAAATGGATGTATCTCTGTTTGAACCGCTTCAAGGTCGCTGTGTTTAGCAATGCACTGTCTGTCAGGTTGTCTTTATGCCACATTTAAAACATACTGAGTATATTCTCTAAAGAGGTTTGTCTCATATTGTTTCTCTTTCTCCTTTTATTTTAGTTCTACTATGTTTTCATTCCATTTACATACTTTGACAATAAACTGCAGTACCCTGAGCTTCAGCATTCAAAGATTTTGTTGTGCTGAACCTGTACATTGGTTCAACCTAGCTAGCTTTTATCACCCCCTCATCTTTGCTCGTTTTTAACCTTAACTTTTTACAGCATATAGGTACAGAGCTACCTTTTGAAAACAGTGCACTTTGTGTAACAAGCTCTAAAAGAACTGACATCAAAAAGCAAGCTGGGGACTGCCTGAAAAGACTAAAACTATAGAAGATTTCACTGAATTCTCATAAGATTTTGTGTTCTTAGTTTTTCATCCGAGGTACGTGCTCCTCATACACTTTCAGCAAACAGTTTTAACAGCTGTGCCAAAAAGAAAAAAGTTAGTAAAAGTTGAACTGTTGCATTGAAGGCGTGGGCAGCTCAGCAAGAGGTGAAGGTGAAAGGGCATGGCTTCACAAAGAAGAGGAGATAGATACATCCGTATTTGAGATTAAACTATATATTGCATTGTATGTGTGTAGTAATAGGATTTTACCAAAGACAAAACACAAAGGTCGCACTGAGCTGCGGCTCGCATTTCAGCTTGTTTGGAGAGACTGCAGTATGGGCATTAAATGTTAAAAAGACATGTAACCCAATCAACACGATCAGTTCAAGGCTGTGTGGGTGAAGTTGCAAACCTTTGGGAGATTTCATAGATATAGAGGAAGATATTTTATCTTTATGGGCGACTACTGGATCTGATTCGCTCCAATTTTTGGCTATAGATCACAGATAGAGGTATGGGATTGAGGACATGGTCAGCGTTTAAACCAGGATGTGCTTTTAAAACCAAACTCTTTCATGTTTTGCAGCTGCACTGTATGCATTTTGTATCAGACATACTGTGCCTGTACCCTCAGATGAACCTCTGATCGAGGAAGCCACCTCAGGGTATAAATCTTTAAAGCTAAACTCACCCTGCATTAACTCTACTTTTTCCAATGTAAGTTATTTCAGAGCAAATGTAGCTTTGGTTCTTGTACTTGTCCGTTTGCATCTAGCATTCAGTTATTAAAACACAACCAAATTTACGACGGAAAAAGAAAGACAACAATAACAGCATTGTGCACTTCCACATCCTGAAGTACTAGCAGCTGTTTTTTTTATGTTACAAAGCTCCGGCATGATGGCACCATATGTAGAGGAAAATGGCAACCGAGTGCAAAAAGCATGTGCATCATCATCTGTTCACAGCATCACTACATTATTAAAACATGAACAGGAAAATTGCCATATGTGCTGTTTCGTCCACAAAAAAACAGCGTGCTCAACATTTGGGTGAGAACTTTTGTTATTCCCAAAAGGAGGAAAAAAGGAAATGGGTTGATGTTAAACATATTTTGTGAGCAAGAACTACACACGTCCAAGTGTGATTGTATCGAGACATTTTTACAGCAATGAATTTTCTTAAGATATGGTTACAATTCCTGACTGGATACTGTAAAAACACAATCCAGCATTTGGTTTAATTTCTACTTTGCTACATTATTTAGGAAGTATTAGTAAAGAGTTTTAGTACCCCTAAAGCCTCTGTGTCTCAAAGCTGATTCCCAGTGCTGTTGATGAATTTCCTCTCCCTCATCTACAGTCAGTCACTGTCATCCCAGATAAGGTCAGATACACAGGGAAAGGCAGTAATGATATTCTGATTCTAATAAGCTGCAGTTCAAATTTGGATAAATTTACTGAGTAAATATTGAGTTAGGTGCTGCTGTACCAGTACAAAAAAAACCCTCTTATTTTGCTAACATTTGCATAGGATTTTACCACAAGATGGCATTGTGAAGACAGATGAGGTACACCACAGGCAAGTTTCCTCCAAAGGGTGAGGGAAACATAGCTCTAAATTAGAGTGGGTTTATTTTTTTTTCTCTGCAGTGGGTGGAGGTCATTTAAAGTTGTGGCCTGAGGATCAAGAGGAGATTTAACCTTGAAAATGTTCTCTTGAAATAGACTTGTAATGCTTAATTTCAACTTTTATTTTATCTGTAATGGACACCAATGCTTTGCTTGATTTGCTGCTTAAATTCTGGCATCTGCAGAAACATTTAATTCAGCACAAAAATTGTGTCTTTCTCCCAAGAGAAGATGAATCTGACTGTGACGAAAGAGGATTAGGGCCACATGAAGAAAAAAAAAAATTAATTACAGGAAGGAGATTTGAGTCAAAATTTCGAGATTAGCGTTGAGATTTCGAGATTTAAAAAATCAAATTGGTGTCAAAAGTTGGAATTTCAAGATTTAAATTGGAAATTTCAAGTTTAGGTTGAAAGACTACGAGATTTGAACAATGTCGAAATTTCAAAATCAAAATCTTGAAATTCTGACTTTCTTCAGTTTTGATTTTTTAAATCTCGAAATTTTATCTTTAATGTCAAAATTTCAACTTTTTACATTTCGACTTCAATCTCCCTCCTGTAATTAGTAGGGATGGACCGAATGGGAAAATCTTGGCCGAAACCGAATACCGAATATAAGAAACACTTGGCCGAATAACCGAATACCCAATAGCCGAATATGATTAATAAATATGTATATAAATTATGAATTTTTATCACCAAGCAACTTTTGTACAATTGCTGTCATTGCCGTACATTTGTTTTAAAGCTACCTGATTATGGCAAAACCTGGCAAACTTAAATATTAATCACTTTATGTTTGAACCATGAAGCATTTATTCAGCTTCAGCACATGACATAATGCTATAACAATAACATTCAATAAAATAAAATTAAGTAAATAACATCTTTGCAATAACAATACAAAAAAAGTGCAATTTTCCCTGTAGGATAGCCTAAAGTAAATAAAATAAAATGCACATATGCAAAATAAATAAAATAAATGCAGGTACGTGCATGCATATACATGATTGTGCAACAGTAAACACAAATCCAGGCCTGAGGACTTCAACAATAAATGCACTTACATGCATGCACATACGATTGTGCAAACTTTTGTGCAGTGAGTTTCCTAAACTCGTCATGTTTGTCCTTATGTTTAGCGCTCAAGTGGTTGATTAGTCCCGATGTACTGAAAGTTTTTGCCGTCACACCACCTCGAGACACTTCAGCAGAGCAGAGTTTACAAATTGCCATCAGACCATCTTTCTCTGATATGTCGAAATATTTCCAAACCGCAGACATGTCGGTTGAACGGCTTCGAGCCAAGACAGCTGCACGTATCGTGTGTGTCGTATCAGCATGCCGGTGTTGTGCCGTAGAATGCACCCCCGACGGGAGCGCGGTTGAAAGTACTTAACAAGGCGAAAATAATCCAAGTTTTCCTTACCATTGGATGAATTCAAAAGCCTGTGCCTGTAATAGTTTCACTCAGGCTATTCAGATAAGCCGAAAAAATAGCCCTCTGATTCAGAATATTTGCTGTCCCGAAAATATAATGTATGCCAGCTTGACAGTTTACTGTACAGTTTATATACCCAAGCACACCTCCGTATGTGCATTTTTGAGACACATAAAATCAGAACGAAAGTTGTAACGATCAAATAGTCGTGTTTTTTAAAATATGAGATCATTTTCTACCACTTTAAGAAGCTAACGAGTGGATGGTAGGCAGGGGGTGCATTCTACGGCGGGGGTGCTTTCTACGGCACAACACCGGCTTGCCTCTTGTCGCGTTCCGATTACGTCATCAACATGCTACTAAAACAGGGAAAACAGCGCCGTCTGCGTTTTCCGTTTTTGAGAGTTCATACTAGACCCATGTTTATCCACACTATTCGGTGATTTTTTTTCGGCCATAAAATCTATTCGGCCGAAAACCGAAAATTCATTTTTGATGCTTTTCGGCCGAATATTTTCGGCGCCGAATATTCGGACCCATCCCTAGTAGTTAGTTTTTCTTCTCTTGCTGTGGCCCTACTCCTCTTTTATAGACTGTCCTCCACACTGCAAAGAAATCCTAAATCAACAAAGTGTGCAACCAAAAACAGCCAATCAACACCAAGTTTCCCACTTCCTTTGATATATAGTAATAGTAAAAGCTAGACTGAATGTCCAGCTTGATTGCTAACTGATAAACAGTTACTGAAAGCAAGACTATTTTCTAAATACAAAATGACAAACCAAGAACTATAGCACCACTCCACAATCATGTTTGATATCATGTGTAATACTGTCTGCTGCAGTACTTTTCCATTAATTGTGTAACTTGAGCTTTTTTCCCCACATATGACGCGGTTGTCACAATAAACACTTCATATTAACATGAATAGAAGCTCCCTGAAAGCTGCAGATGGATGGTGAATAGGACACTTTGTGCAGCTGCAGAGGCAACGTGTTGCACAGAGACATGCCAAAGCAGAACACTAGAGTTTCTCCTCCCACAATCAATGCTGAGTTTCAATCCATTGAGGATGGAGTACTACTGTAGAAACCATTGTACTGCCAGTTTACATGGTCTAATTATGTCTACAGCAGTCCTCTTATATATCTCACTAGTTCTTGCACTTTGTCGACATTATGTCCTATTTTTTACACTGAAAAAAAAAAAATTATGATTACATGACCAAGAACATTTTCCAGCTGAAGCTTGAAAATTACAACCAAGAAGCCTTTCACTATCACATCAGTTTTGAGAACACATCATTTGAATCTCAGTTGGACATTTGGATTGTAAAGGAAAACTTATGAACTCCATTTCTGCTGTCCGTGCATCATGTCCTTATTATCAGGAGAAAAAGACAGGTGTCATGAACAGAGCCCAGTTATTATTCTGCACCAGTGATTTCATGCTGTTGCAGGCTGTCAGTCAGAGACAATCTGAATGTTGTCTCTGTCCTATACGACATGAAAAGTATTACTATTTGAAAACTATCATGCATGAGTAACCATCTTTTATCTCCCTGCAATATCCTCCATCATCTTCAAACCACAGTGATACACTTCTTGGGGTCCACATGACCTTTCTCATCCGTGCATCACAGCCACACTCCCTGTAAGGCTTCGATGGTTCTAGTCAAGATGGTAAAATCAGTTAATATGATTACAGTGACTTTGTCATCAGGCTGAGTAAAGTTCAGGTTCAGTGGTAGTTCTCGTGAATGCAGCTGGTGTGGGTCTGCAGATGTGTCCAAGTGTGAATTAGGGCTGGGCGATAAAACGACAACGATATTGAAAAATAATTTCCCTCAATATCAATATAAAACATGGTCAACATGCTTTTCGTTAGCCAGCATTCCGCCATGTTTTGGTAGACTATATGAATAGCCGATGAAAAGGGGAGTTGCTTCATGCGAAACCAATCGTGTTCTGAAGTTGAACCAAGTAGCAAACAACTACATAGTAGCAGTAGCATAACACGTGAGGTTGACAGCAGTTTTGGTGAGAAAAAAAGAAAATGAGTGTTACCACAGCAGAAATGTGGATGAAGGCTCGACAGATGTCGTCGACAGCACTGGCACGAAAACGTCGAGGTGTGGTATTTTGTTTTTTTTAGGTCGGACATGAAGCAGAGTAATTTTCACTGCAAATCATGTCAGGTACATGTTCTCGCAAAGTCCGGGAATACCTCAAATCTTTTTCACCACGTGAAGCAGTGCTACGCGGCAGAGCACGCGCAACGCAAAAGGTTACGAATCAGGAGTGGAGCAAGGAGCCCATCGCGCCTGTGCAGCCTAAAGAGCCGACCATTCAGTCCGCTTTATCTCGCGCAACGCCTTACGACAAAACGTCGAAGAGACACAAAGACCTCACAGATGCAGTAGCTTGTTGTACTGCAAAAGACATGCTACCAATACGCACTGTTAAATTTCATTTTTTATATTGTGAAATATATCAACCGATATGAAAAGATATATCATGATAAACTTTTTCCCATATCGCCCAACCCTAGTGTGAACCATAACAGCGTCCCCTCTAAAGGACACAGTGAATATGTGGGATCAGTGGAGTCAACTTCACAGGATACGAGTCAAACCAAGACATATAAGTTTATGATTTCTAGAAAAAAAACTGCTCAGGTGCATCAACACTTACTCCTACATCTAGGTAAAATACAGAGATAAACCTTGTATGCGCCACACATGAAATAACACCTCTCCTTCAAGGTGTTTGTCATGAAAATAGATAGTACTTGTTTCAGTAAACAGCCTGTTAAAGATCTATTCTGAGTGTAATATCTGCTCCCTTCACATCTGCATTGTAGAGGCTATCATCACATTTAAAAATCCATGCACACCTCAATTCATTTTCTATTTATTTAATATGGGGGAATACATTTGAACTTGAGCTTGATATTAAGGGCTGCTGTCGCAGTTGTCCTGCCAAACCATTTCTTTTCGGCATATTATTAAAAATATTTACTGCAGGTGCTTGGCTCTGCTGCTTATTTGTTGAAATAAATTCCAGAGTGCTCTAAATGCTGTCAGTGCTGCTGAGCTGGGCAGGTATTTCACAACACTAACCATGTGGGTCACAAAGCCCGTGGAGGGAATTTGGGTGTGTGTGTGTGCTGCTATGTATCCATAAAAACTGTGTAAAGAGAAGGATGGGGAGGTTTGTGTGCTTTGCAGCAAGGCACAGCATGGCCGTATTCTGTTAATGGCGCTGACTGCTATTGTGGGGGGGCCGCAGCCGAGTCGTAAAATTACCGAGGCTGTTGAGGGTGCAAGAGGAGCCAAGCCCACTGGTGTGATAGTTTTCTCTGGAGATACTAAAGTTTTTATCTCCCGGGATCATAAAGTGAGCTCATAGAGCTGCGGCTCCCAAACTCATTCCTGTGGAGTATCTTCACTTCATATTAAACAAACTAAATTGTTTCGCACAGAAGGTGCAGTTTCCAGGCCTCGCCACAGATTGAGCTGCCTCTCCTGTCGAGACACACCTGTCCACATTCTCTCTGGGAAATTTATTAAATTATGCGCCGCCTTCCTGTCAGTGTGAGACCGAGATTGAGCTCAGCCTATACTTTCCCGCTGTCCTCCCTGTCAATCTTAATGGGTATTGCTACAAATTTGACACCTGGTGGCCACAGTCAGGTTCCACATATAAGATTTCCCCACGGTAAGGCATGACCGCTTCATCAGGTATCCTCAAGAGCATATAAATGCATCTCAGAGACAGAGACATCATGGCACTTTTATCACGTGTTCCGAGCTTTATATATGGTTGAAAGGTAAAACTCTAGGGGGGATAGTAATGTCTTTTTGATGTGAAGTATGTTTTGAAGCATGCTGTGTTATGGTAGAGTGGATAAAAGGGGTAAAAACCTTGGGAAAAAAAGTGTGCCTTACCGGAAAAAGCACTTGTTTAACTGTATGTTTGAAAGCTGTTTTGTGTAAATCCCCGGGAGAAGTATAATCCTCAGTCCCCTTCTAATTTTTCATCTTCTACATGCAGTTAGATCATATTACAGCATAAACCTCGCAACGTTTTTTTGTGTGGTCTGATGTACAGCAAATAAAAGTGTAAATTATGGTGTTGTAGTTGAAGAGCTATACATCTTTTTTTATTAAATTTATGGAGAAAAGAGTAAAACACAAGAAAATGAGTTTAAGAAAATGAGAAACTGCAGCTGTTGCCTTCAACAATTTCTATTATTTCTCATTCTCTAGTTTTCTCACTTCTGGCCCTTACCTGCTGGTGTTCAAGGATTAAATTTGTGATGAAGCTTTGCACAATGAGAAGGATTCAGGGTTTGGGGTTAGTGCAAAAGTTGTTCACTGAAGAACAACATGAATAAAAGACATAATAGTGTCTATTCGAATGCCTTTAACGTTAAGCGTTTCTATTGCATTATCAATCAGTCATAGATAATATCAAGCCTTGCTACCTTGGAGAGGTGTAATATCCCAGCAAGTCTTTATCATGCACTCATTACATTTGATGCAACGATCCCATCTGTTACTTGTGCGCACCATTTGGTGTAATAAAAATCTCTCTCTTTAAGTGACTAATATAACACACGTGCACATTTATATCTTTTTTTTTTCACCTGGTCATGTGTTAAATGTGTTTTATATGTGTACTGCGATGCTGGATGAGTGGCGGTCTAAACTATCAAATAGAAACTGTGTGTGTTTGCAGAGTGAGAGTGCTGAGGAGGTGTATCATAACCTGTTACAGCCATTCAACCCCAAACCAAACTCAGACGTCAAGTCCAGTCTGGCATCACTATTGGCCAAATCTGAGTTGAGTCTGTGTCAGTGGAGGAAAGTCCAAGTCCATTCCTAGCCGTGTCCTCAAAATCTAAGTATTACTTTTTAGCATATTATCCTGGAGATTGTGGTGGGATTACTGCAGATTTCCCATAAAGGAAAAAAAAAAATCAAACAGTACTTTTAGTCTGAATTTTGACCTGTGGACCAAACATATGTAACTGTTAGAGAGAACAGGTTACCTTAGAGTAGGGATGTCCTGATACAACTTCTTTACTTCCAATATGATACTGATATTGTAGCCTTGAGTATTGGCCGATATCGATATTGATCCGATATTGGCACAAAATTGCGCATGACAAGTTTTTCACTCAGCTGCATTGTCTTTTTGGGACTTAAACAAAAAATACTGCCACAAGGCCAACATCACTCCAACTCCTTGCTATCTTGTTTGGACCTTAGTACACACTGTTGTTGTGATAATGTGGGTTCTGAACGCTGGATCCTGGTGCGCCTAGATAGAGGTGCTAGAGCAGAGTCTGGAATGGACTGCTTGTATAGGGTTCTGATTTCTGAGATTTTAGATGCAGGCCGATATAAACCGATATCTGTTTTTTGCTGATATCAGACTGATATCAGATATCAATATTGAATCTGGACAGCCCTACCCCAAACCAAACTCAGAGGTCAAGTCCAGTTTGGCAAGTCCATTCCTAGCTGTGTCCTCAAGATTTAAGTATTACTTTTCACAATATTGTCCTGGAGAATGTGGTGGCATTACTGTAGATTAATCCGAGTTTGAATAGTGGACCAAACATGATTGTTAGCTGGTCGTTCATTAACAGTAACAGTCCAAGTAAATTGTGACTTTTTTGGGTTCATCCTGGACAGATGTCTGCCAGACTTCGAGCTTGTCTGCATCATCACTATAACATTTTACGTAGCGTTCTGTACAGTTAGAGAAAACAGGTAAAAAAGTTGACTTATTGACTGCAGGTCTAGACTCTGAGCTTTAACTTTAAGTTGAACTGTCCGTATGTGTTCCCTCAACACCAAAGGAAACTGGAACCAGCAGGAAAAAAACTTCACATTGTAACTTCACATGTAAAATTCACATTGTTTAATTGAAGCTTTGTCAGGAATATGTGGCTGTAGCAGCATTGTGTCTCATGTGCATATTTGTTATTTTGAGTTTGTAACTTATAAAAGTATTGAGTAAAACAGCCCAATATATGTAGTGTAGTGTTTGCCTATTTCACCCAGTTTGCCCCCTCTTTTTCTGCCCACTCTTTCTTTTTTTCTCTCCCTTCTTAGCCCAATGCACCAGATGCTCTCCTGTTCCCCCTGCTGTCCAAGTCACCTGACTCTCCAATTAACCTGTTCACCTGGTCCAGCACTCCTTCACCAACCCCTCTCCACTCATCCAGACTGTCAATGTAGCTTTGCTCTCCAGTCTGTGATACCTTCAAACCTGTAACCCTCAGCCTTCTGCCCTTTACTCTTAAGACCTGAACCTGGACTTTGTTAGTGTCCTCCTCCTGTTCACTGCAGTTTTTGTTCTGTCTTGGAATCCCACAAAGGAAAAAAAAGCTTGTGTTTTCACTTCTATCAATAGACTCCTCAGCTGTTTCTAACGGCTTGTGTTGTTTGAATTTGGGTCCATTCCCAGTTTCCTTCTGCTTACCTGATTGACCTTTAATAAAAGCCATTCATCAGTCATAAGGGATCAAGGTACAGAGTCTAAAATATCAAAAACAGCTTAAAATGGGACTCAAATGCCTCCATGTCACGTTTTTGTACAAATGTCGCTGTCGCGCTCCAAGGAGAGTTGCTGCTTTGAAATCGTTGCTCCGAAGCTGTCAGTGAAGGATAAGTTCAGAGCTTTCATAACAACTCCATGAAAATGTTGACAGAAAATTACAGCCATATGTGATCAGCTCTAAATCAAGTGCAAAGAACTTTCTCGCGAATCCTTGCGTAACAGTGTCCAGAGGCTCACTGCTTTAGAGAGTGGAGTGGAGAGGTCAAGATAACCTTTTCATCTTCAGTTCCATCTCACAAGCAGACAACATAATGAATATTTCAACACTGACTGCAGGACTCTGATACATTCATCCAAAGACTTATCTTCAAGTTCACTATCCTTTTGGCTCTGGGAGCTAACATCTTTTATCCGAGGCTCATGTTTTTTTGAAAGCAAGTGCAGCTGTTTTCTTTAAATGTGTATTTTAGAAAGGCCTTGAATTGCAATGCTCTTCCGTTTTTAATGAATTGGAAGTTTACCTCCTCTTACCTGAGAGAAACTCTTCCTCGATGTCAGTTCTGGGTTCATCATCCTCCTTAAATTTAAGAGCACTAGAATACATCCACATATTTTCCATTTCTAAAGGCACTGCTGATAAAGCTTGTTTGCTTTCTCAATAAATAAATCCCCTTCGGTGTAAAACGGATGCCATACAGGATGAGCATCCTGGGTAAAACAGAGCTGCTTTGAAATGAATCAGAGCATAAATGACTCTGAAAGATGTCCTGGTCACACAGATTCTTAACCTTCACCACATCATCTTGAGTGAGAATGAGTGCAGATTCCTCAGATTGGAGGAAGAATGTAGAGAATTTAATTCCCAAGAACAAATTAAGCAATTCATTCAAGTCCTGGATAATTAAAGTGTTTTATCTTTGTGACATTTATAATGTCCATCTACTGCTTGGTAAAGGGCAGGAGGACTGATTACTTCCAGTTAAATTTATGGCTCATAATGCTGTTTTAATCTTCAAAGATGGGGCAGGCATGGAAATTGAAGGCTAAATAAAATATCTATATATCATCAGTAAAAAGGAATTATGCACCAGCTGCATTTCCTAAGTAAATTTGTTAAATTAAAGATGAATTTGACTCTACTAAGGGGGAAATGATTCATTTAGGGGTGAAAGTCTTGTTGTTTATTGAGGTAGTATTAGTGGCATCGAGTTCAGAAAGTTTAATCTGAACACTAAACATGGGAAAAGTTTCAAAGTGTGAGGTAGAAGAGTGGGCACAGACAAACTAATGGTCTAATCAACCTTGATAAAGACAGACCTGTTGTTTCTAGCAGTGGTGGCTGCTCTAAGAATGCAAGGAAAGCTCAGATGGGGGAAATATGTACAGCTATGTGTACATTTCATTGACTAAATATGCGCTAGAAGGGGTCCATCTTTTGTTAAGAATCAGCTCTTATCACAGGCACCACAGTACTGGCGCTGAGCGTCTACTGACTTCAATGTTGAAGTGTAGATATGGTTATTCCACTGCGCGAAACTGGACGGTCATTGGATAAATGCTGGGCTTTGTCCCGCCCCATGAATGCTCAGCGTCGGGGCAGTGGGCTGGCCCAGGTGCTCGGCTTCTGCGTGATGATTGGATGATCTGTCTGAGGCGGAATCCCTTTTTGATTGACAGCGAAATCCGGAGACTTTACCGATCCCCAGCGACTTTGTCCTTGTTAAAAATGACGAACGTTGTATTTTGCGACTCTCTTCTGTCACGACAAGGTCACAGATCATTTTCTTGAAAAGGAACAGAGTAGAATTTACACATAAATAAACAAACACATTTATATGTTATGATGTAAGCCAGGAAAAAAAACCAGAAGCCGCCACTATTTTCTACGTTATTCTTCATACATTGTTTGTTTGTTTATTGGGGATTTTGTAATCCTTCTATGATCTTGTAGTTCCCTCGTAATCTTTGATATCCACTTGCCTCATGCTGGGCTACACTACATCTGTGGCATAGATTGAACACAATATACATCTATGCAATGTGCAATTTAAGCAAGTTGAGTGTAGAAGAATACAGGAGAATACAGACATAAGCATATGAAAGAGACACCCCACTGAGAGCTTATGTTAAAGCTATCAAAGGTAGATTAGCTGCCTAACACACACACACACACACCCTACCAGCCACACATGTACTGCAGTCTAACATGAAGGCTGTCTGCAGACAATCAGGTCCAGAATCCACATTACTGGGGGAAATTAACATGTCAGAAAAAAGTTATTTGGGAGAATACATGTCTTCCATTTGGGATTTTCATGGTTGATGGTTTTGTCACTTGTTGGACGATTTGGAAACTCTCAATTTTGTGGAGTAGAGGGTAGAGGGAGTAGAGGTGCATGCTCGGATAGGCCTAGTCCCCTCCAATACGGCATAGAGCGAGCACTTTGAATAATGAAAGCATGAGACAAATTAAATGTTGAAAATGCGTGCATGTTGATGCAAACTGGTAAGATACACAGTGTTTCCTTCCAAAAAAAGAGAAACTGGACAGTTTGAAACATTTGCTCCAGGACCCCATTTGTAGTCTTTCTCCTTTTGCTGCCAAAAAGCTACAAAAGCTATAACTGCCAAATGACCGGCATAAAGATTCAGATGCTTCCCCCCACTTATCTCCTCACTACAATCAGCCATGGTCTGGTTCATATTCGATTTCTACCATCAAAGCATGAACATCCTCCATCCTGCTCTGTGGTCACATCCACAGATGAACAGAGTCACTGGCCCTGTTGGACGAAGCCCCAGATTAGTCAAAGACCAGCTTATGTTCATGATTGCTTCTTCTGTTGCCCGGCAACTGACCCCCTCTGCCTCGCCAGACGCAATGGTTCGAGAAGGACCAGCACTTTCCAACAGTGTCTGTGGATGGAGAGCGTGGGCTTTGACTTTGCATGTCATTTGGCTAAGAGGGTGGATAAAAGTTTGCTTATCAAAAAGTAGATGTTTTCTCTTTTTCTGCTGCAGTCTTACCCATCTTTTGTTCTCTCACTGGCCTTAAATTCATCTACATATGCACATGTGTCTTTTAATATAATAAATGGTAACCTCTACATTTCCATTCGTCACCACAGCTGACATTATGCTGCCTTTATTCTCATTACGTTCACAGTTCTCTTTTTTCTTATGCACATACCAAATTAGATGAAAAAAGACCGGTTTAAAGCAGTTCTTATTTACATCCATTTGATCAATATATCTTTCTAGTGAGGAAACAGCCATTCCTCTTGTTGTCAAAAAGAAAACATCAAACCTGCTGCCAAAAGCATCCTACACACTTTAATGAAGTGAAAATAACATGTAGAAAAACAGGATATTAACAAAACTGAACTCAAACCGACTCTCGACGATGCGCGCCATTATCAAACAAAATGTCTGCGGGAAACAAAAAAGAGAAAAAAAATCCAAATCCGTCACCACTGAGCATGTCCAACTAATGATCTAGTGGGGGAAAAAAGTCTTTAAAAATAATGACGTGCTGAAAAAAGCTTGAAATATCTTTACACGGACCCACACATCCAGATGTAATTGCCCCAGTAGCCATAGCGACCGTAATGAGTCATGTCAATATTTCACCAGCTGCCAAACCTTCCCTGTGTGGTTCCAGGAGTGCCTTTTCCAGCTGCCTTTTTGCACCTTTAGCATCTATAGTTTGGGAAAAATTAGTTTGCCTAATCTTTCTCGATATTTTCTGGTTGTGCGTTGGTTGTCCCGTTTTCTCAGAGTGCTTTAATTGAGTCTGCTGACAGTTGACTTAGTAGAGAAGGGTAAACATACAAAGTAGAAAAGAAGAAAAAAAGCAAAGTTTAGAGTCCACGTTTTCGTGCTAGATAGCGAAAGCACTCGGAAAGACATGTTTGGTCCACTTTTGTCAGGATTAGGGGCCCTGAATTAAACATACCGCTTTTTTCTCCAGCTGAGAAAAGCACCTGGTAAGCTTCGAGGAAAACATCCCATAAGCCTGTGTGCTGCTGGGATAAACAGGTACAAGCCATTCAGAGACACGCTCCAAACACGGCATCACAGGCACATCGGAAATAGACCAGTCCAGCTGAACAGGAGAGGATTTCTGCCACCAAGCCAAGTACTCTGTGGAGAATAGGAGGAGAGGGGAGGGGGGTATGAATAGCTTGGAAACTTCCCTAATCTCCCTGTCAGAATTCCTCGCCAAGCTTGTGAGAAGAAGGCATGGTGTGCGTTCCTACTAAGGGGGATGTGCACTGTGATCCCTCAGCTATTGTTTGGAGCGGGCATGGGTACCTTGGAGAGAGTTGACAAGCAACAAACAAAAGTTTAAAGAGTAAATTGGGTCACCTGGAATTATGCACGCCTGCTCTGGACTATACGGTTCATTTTTTTTACCGTCAAACCTTTACTCAGAACTGTTACCAGAGCACCCCAGCTGTCAAGCTACTTTCACAAAACCTCTGATTCATCTGGCAAAATCAAACAATCACACTAAAACAGTTTTATCTGTTCTCAGAATCAAACACCAACAACAATTCACACCATGCCCACAGCAGTCAGAGCAGGTGGTACACGCCACAACACAAAATACAGAACATAATGGTCAAGGCACTGCTTCAGAAAAAAAAGTAAGAGTAAGTCAGTAAAGTTCATTACAATGAATGAAAATAACTTCAAAAAAGCTGTTAAATTTGAATAAGAGATGTGTTTACCACAAGGCATATTTAAATGCATTTCCAGGAACTCTGACTCAGTTTCCTCAAACACCAGAAATCTCTTGCAAAATAAAACCCAGCACTCGAAAACATGTTCTCTCTCACTAATCAGA